AAGCAGATCCATATGGGCCCTGGTAATCTGAAGTCTGTGGCCCTCTGTCTTCCAACATAATTCAAAATGACAGCTTTCCGGATGTCCTGTGCCTCCGCTCATCAAAGCATTATCGTCGCATTGCTGTTTGTAGTTCAAGGTAAGAAGTTTTGAAGGGTTTTTATGATGATTCAATGAGGAGCATCTGATTAATCCACATTTCCCTTTTCCTTTTAATGTCGCAACGATGTAAATAATGTACTTTAGCAATAGAATGGGCAAGAATCCGGTCATGATTCGTAGGCCTACGATGTTCTTTGTTGATTCAATCCATTCTCTTTCTCTGCGAGCTCATTCAAGCATTAACACGAAACACGCGTGCACATTATGGATCAGAAACATACCAAGATAATTATCCAAAATTCGATACTGAATCTCGATTTCATGAGCTCTGTCACCAAGTTACTGCTTGGCTCCAGCAGAGCACGGTGGATTAATAGTTACGAAATTATGGAAAGGAATGAACGACACACCTTCTGGAGAGACAATAATTTTATGTAATTTAATTATGTTTTGGGTTAGGGCCTAGTCAGTTATAAGATGAAGGGAAAAACCCAGCCAATCCCTAAGAAATCAGTGCTGTTGATACCTTTGTAGGTCTTGGTGATATAGGTTTTGCAAAATACTAAAACTGCTACAAACTGCTTAGTGCTTACTGACTGAATCGAGCTGAACTACTAATGAACAAAATGACGGTCTGACGTTAATATCCCATAAAGAAATGTGTTTTTTTTTCTCAAAGGCACATTGATTAAAAATTAATTTTATCGCAGGATTCAAGCAATTTTATAAGTACTCCTTTTGTTTTGTCTTTATTCAGTGGGAAATTCCAGAGGTCTTTCTGTCACATCTGAGGAATGGGTTGATACTACCGAAAGAACAACATTAACTTGCTCCCCGGGTAGCAATATTGTGAGACTTATCTGGGCAAAGACCGACTTGGCTGCCGTAACTCCTAACAATGCACCTGTGATATTTGAATGGTTTAACGGGCAGGTAACTCCTGGTCAGACCATCAATGAATCACGCTATGATTTTGTTGCGCTCGGTAATTTCCCACTCACCATTAAGTCAGTTGAACTCTCAGATGAAGGGAAGTACTGGTGCCAGGTTATTATTCAAAGCAACTTGGAGCAACGCCAAGATTCGTCTTCGTTAAATGTGCGAGGTATGTTTAAGAGAATTGGTATTATTCTTTGTTATTAAATTTGGTGTAAAACATGTTTTTCATACAAATGAAAATCACAATTGTTTTCCAATCATACGCAATTTAAAAGAGGTTTCTTCTGCATTGACGCAGATTTGAAGTACGCACCATTCGCAACAACTCCTGTTATCAAAGATAAGGATTGACTGAGTTTTTTAAAATTTAATTTCTTGAAATGGAAATAAAGTAGAGATAACTTAAAAAGCCAAAGTTCCAGTTGGACACATTCGTAGATTCTTCTTTATGCATCGAGTCGAGGTTGTGTTGCATTGCTCTTTTATGACGGCGACAATCGCATTAAACACGTCTGAGCAATCCATAGCGTACGCTGAACACGGAGCTTCGGGTTTAAAGGTGTAGCTACTCCGTCAGTGCAAGGGCGGATCCAGGGGGGGGGGCAAAGGGGGCCATGCCCCCCCCCCCCCAAAAAAAAACGAGACCAATTTTTTTTTATGTGACATTGCAATAAAGGCAGGCAATGAGTACACCACCATCTTTTCCTCAAAAAACATTGGTTAAAGTGGTCAGAAATTGCCTCAGATCGCACCACAGAGCATCTAGAATCCAAAAAATTGTCGGGTCCCTTAAGCGGGCCCCGAACCCCACGCCGTAATTTTTTTGACCCACTTTTTGGGGGTCCAAAATTTTTTTTGGCACCCCAAAAAATTGTGTTCTGGATCCGCCCTTGCGTCAGTGATGCACCATACGGCTTTAATTACCTTAAATGGAAGAAAGATGGAACACTTGTTGCATGGGTCCTTTCTGGACAGGCCCCTGATGAGGGGCAATGAAGTACGCAATGAGCACTGATTCAATAGACAGCAGTAGTATACTGACTATCTCTTCTGTCCAGTTCCCGTCTGATGAGGGGATATACGAGTGTTTTGCTCAATTCCGAAAATCAGGTGTTGGATCCATTGACGATGAAACCTCTATAATGCTGATGGTTGTCGGGGTTATCGGTATGGGAGACCGGCTGTAAACGTGGTCATGAAGTAGGTCTGACGGTATATACGCATAATGAAACTAAATATGTTTAAATTATTTTGTAAACGAACAAACCTGCATGTTTTGGTGCCGAACACGTAAATATAGACATTTGCCTTACAAGGGACATTCATTGAACAAAAGAAGTTACATCAACCCTAACTTCCTATTAGGGGTGTGCAAAATCATATTGAAATTGGAGGATTGGAACATCATGTCCTATTGATTTCCGTTTGAAATTATAATGTTAAAGCGAAGAAACATGCTCGTTAATATTTATTAATGAACGTTCAAGTGCATTACGTTTTCTCGTGAATTAGATAGGTTTTTGAAACTCTGAACCAGGAAATTTACTTTCAAAAAATACAGATGAACTTAGTGACCCTGCACTTCACTTAGTCAATTCACTGCCTTTGTTACCGGAAATAAAATACACAAGGGCACTGACGATATCCGTGGACCCCAGGCTTATGAACTGAATAACATTCGTAAACTGGGTACGCAGGCCTCAGTACCACATAGCCGTAAAGGCCTCCATGCAGTTTTGGATGAATTGGGGGAGAATGGATGCCCTTCCGTTGAACTATTTCATCGTACAGTGCATTTCCATCGGCTTGCTGTCTGCGGTACAAGGTAAAGTTACATACATGACGTAAATTATTTGCCTTGTCTATGAATGTTCATAAACATATTGAAGACATCTGAAATTCATTTGGGTGAACTTAGAACAAAAATATGCAGTCAATTCCGCTGTTTTATATTTGCCTCGTGATTCAGATATGGATCACAAAACAGCAAGAAGTATAAAAGTGTGATTTTACTACTTTAATAGTTCTAAAATAGTAAACGTGTTATGATAAGAAAGTAGCCTCCATGTTTGCTTAAATTTGAAACCGGAAAGTCTTTGAAATGTGTGTCTATTCCTGTCCCACAGTATCCGATGGGCAGACTGTTACTGTGGTGATGCACATGACATCTGCCGAACAAGGAGCTTCTGCATCCTTCAGGTGTAGCTACTCCGTCAGTGATGCTTCTTATAGTTTCAATTACCTTGAGTGGACGAAAGATGGAACACGTATAGCATGGGTCTTTTCTGGACAGGCCCCTAATTACTCAGGAGGGTCAATGAAGTATGCAATGAGCACAGACTCTATAGACAGCAGTAGTGTACTGACTATCTCTTCTGTCCAGCTTTCGTCTGATGAGGGGATGTACGGGTGTTTTGCTCAATTCCGAAAATCAGGCTTTGGAACCATTGACGATGAAACCTCAACGATGCTTATTGTTATTGGTAAGGAAGTTAGTGTTACATGAGCAGTGCTTAGGCCCACCAGTACACATCATGAAAAAGTCAAGTTGATCTAAAGGCATGCAGTTTTTCATCTGATTTATTTACGCACCGATATCTCGAGAGTTTGTGTTTAGATCTCTTATAATTGTTTCAGATTATGTCACACGCTGAACGCATAAGTAGCTGCGGTTCATTGGTGGAAAGTCAAACATTACACGTGGAACTCCAACGCTGTAATTGGGTTCAACCCCTCGAGGGAGATGAGGCAATATTTTGCCATAAACCTCCAGTCATCAATTTAAATTTTTCTTTGACAAAGAAAATCGACGAACGTTTCTCGTGAGAAACAAATTGCGTTAATATAACGAATGGTGTTGTTCTGTATTCGATCCCGAGGATAAATATCTAAAGTCATTTCACGTTTTATTTATAAAATCCGCTTTAAACCAAGACATTCAAGATAACAGTGAAGATGTTTCCCCACTTTCCTCCTTGACATTTGACTTTCTCAACTCAGGACTTGTGTTCTTTAGTTTGGCTCATTTGCATGTGAAGAACACAAAGCAACTGCGGGTTATTTGTCGTAAAATGATCATTTGATAGCCCAACGCCAAATGTGTAGTATAGCTGAAGTTGCTGCTGTAACTATTAAAATGAATGATACATTCATAGATGATATCAATTATTTGTTTATTGTGTTGCAACTATTCATAAATTGATTTTTATAAATACAAGTGAAAGGTTTCTTCAATATTCTTTTGGAAATTCCAGTAGTTTTCACAGTGGACATCAACCAGGAAGTTCACACCAATTAATGCGTTTGTTTGTTGCCTTTTCATACCGGCCCCCAATTGTCATGTTATGTTTTTTGTTATCAAGGACTTAGCGGAAATTGAAATACCAGCCGGAATTGTTGATTTGTGTGATATGCCAGGGTGTCCAATATGATTCTCAGTAAACTTTGCAAATGTTTTTTTTGCAACATTTTGCGAGCGAGCTGGCTGCCATGACATTGGCAATGAAAATGTTCCCATCCTCCGCTTCAGTGACCTACCTCGCTATCGGGTCACTGTTGATAACTGTACGGTAAGAACTATGAATGAGATTTACAAGCAGTGAGAGACAGGTTCGTTAGTGTGGAAATATTTCTATAGCAGCCTGGAATCGAATATCACATTAAAAACGACTGTTTGTATTCTTCACTGTTTGGAAACTATTTAAACACTTTTAATGCTATTGGTACTTTTTGTTTTACTTTTTGTTTATGTTTATTAACTTTTTTTATGACTTAGTTAACATACATATGATGTTTTATAATCTAAATTATTTCATATATGTAAATGTTATATGTGTGAAAAATATCCAGTCTTGTTTTGTTTCTTTCTCAACGTGTAGTTGGTGCTCAATCGACCATCAGTGGCCCGCCGCGGGGGTGGATAATGGAACAAGTACCACCCTGCGGTGCGACGCACCTGCGACATTCTACAGAATCCGTTGGATCATCACTGGGTTCAACGTGGATGCGCTAAGTGGATCGTATACAATCACTGCGCAATACACGCTCTCTACAAAAGTGACATAAACAGAGATCCCAGTCACTATACTTTTGATGTAACAGACCCCCAGTTTCCATTAACTATAGCGCCTTTTACACTCACAGATGAGGGAAGGTATTGGTGTTTCGTTACAAATAGTGTGAAGAATGCAGTAGGTTCGTTGGATGGACGGACAAGAAGTAAACTCCAAACCTGTATTGTATCGGATGAACTTAAATAAGAGAAGGCACAGTCGTAATACATGTAATAGGAGTCGTACTTTGTCAAATCGCAGGTGTCATTTCACAATGGTTGATGTTCGTGAGTGATCATCAACACCATGACAATTTGCGTTGCGGTTTGTATCATATCTGGCTCTGTGAATTTCATTTTCTTCTGTGTTTATTTCATTGTTGAAAGTATTTTTAATAGCATTGACCAAGTTAATTGTGACTTACTGTGGATGAGGGTGACTTCAAGTTACAGCTTACTATACAATGTCAAAACTATAGTTAAATAAAACAAAGTTGAATTGTACAACTGAAAACATATAGAATCTGATTAATGATCATAAGGCGAAGTAAAAAACAAAAAAGGTTCTCGTCCCCGCCCGCTTCCTTTTTGGATTTTTTTATTATTTTTTATTTTTGAAAAAATGTAGTAGAAAAACGACGAAAAAGTCTCCAAATTCATCGGAAAATAAATACCAATACCAATACAACTCTAAATGACACTGTAAATATGTTCAGTTCTCTTGTCCAACTTGTCTTTCATCTTTAAAAGTGTCTTTGAACAGTGGAACACCAACGGTTGCAGGAAATTATGAAAAGGCGGTCATCTTGAAAAAAATAAAAAATAAAAAGCCCCGCTTCCTCCCTTTTTTCAAAAACCCCGGACGAGAAACTATTTTTTTTTCTCGGCCTAACCAAAGTCAGTCTGTTATAGAGTTTCCAGAAAATTGAAATTATCCTCGAACAGTTAACATTGACCCACTACGCATAATTTGCTCAACATTGACTGCATGTTTAGAATTCATAATCATATGAAACTGTTCAACTTGCCAATGGATACCAACCTTGCATTCGTCCTCTATCAACCACAAGGGTCCCTACAGCCCCTTTCCTTTCGTTATTGAACTCTGTAACACTTAATTCATATATAATTATACTCATGCGTACACACATGTATTTCTCTGGAGCAAAATTAGCATGAACCTATTAAAACAATGGCTGCATTGCAAAATATCCAATGTTGAATTTACCGGTTCTATCCATGCTGTCGGCAACCCTATTTAGGTTTTGTTCATGCTCTTTTTAAACAGTTCCACCGAGCACAATTGCAGTATCCTACGATGGTACATCATACAGTGATGGGGATACCTTTCCGATCGTGGCTGGTTCCAATCGTCAATTCACCTGCACAACACCTGGCGTCAAACCAGCAGCCAACTTCACCTGGACCCTACCCACAAGCATCACTACAGACCAGCCACTAGGATCTCAGACAGATGCTCCTAATAGTGGTGATAGCAGGTTGACAGACAGCACCAACATGATCACTGTAGACATCGCAGGGACACCAGCTACTGCTCAGCTGACGTGTGGTGCTACCAATAGACAAGATGGACTGACCAACACAGAGATTGACCTCACTGTGACCCTCCAAGTGAAAGGTAAAGCATGAACTGCCGATCATTCCCTCCGTTTTCAACATAATATTGATCTATCTTGAAGATTATGTTTCTGTGATGTTATAAAGATTCTGTATCTATAAAAAATGTTAGTTTCTATGTAATTTCCGACCCACTTTGGGGTTTATTGGAAAGCACCCTTTTCCATTTTTATAAACGTCGTTCCTATTTTGTTATCATGACATAATGTGAAGCTGCTGAGCATATATTTTTTGTCAAATCGCATCTTTTGTCTTAAATATTCTTAGTAACTACTGGAATTTGTTTGCTTGTGGGGTTTCTCAACCAGTTTACTATTTATGCTGGTGGTTATAGTTGTGTTTGCATTTTTGTTTTTGTTTTTTAAGTGCCACCCAGTGTAGTGAAGCTGTCAGACTCTGATGGTGAAAAGACTCCAGGAGCGACAGTAACTGTTGACCAGGGATCATCACACACTTTCAGTTGCTTGGTGCAGGGTACCAGACCAGCTGCTACCATCCAGTGGTTCGTTGATGACGTAATGCCGTCCATCGGGGTTGGAACCCCGACTACAACTGTAACCAACGAGCTGTTTGACACAACAGGTACCTGGACATTCACTCCAAGCAGAACCAATCACAAACAGGAGGTGAAGTGTGCAGCAAACACTGCAGAGTCGCAGCCACCGTACCCTAATGTGGCAATTACACTGGATATCAACGGTATGTAGCCAACTTAGTAACACCCAAATAATTGGTACACAGAAATAATTGGACGATTGCTTACATACTGATGACCGTACCCTAATGTGGCAGTTACACTGGATGTCAACGGTATGTAGCTATCTTGGTCACACCCAAATAAAAGGTTTAAGAAGAGAATAGGACGATTGTAGACATATCGATTCCCATTGTCCTAATTAATAGATAAAATCACTTCAAAGTAGAAAATGTTTATCACATTCAAGACAAAGGAACGGACAGTGACACTCACAAAAATTCCATACCATGTTTAGGTGTATTCTTAATCTGTCATTTATTGACATTAGATTGAATAATTTCAATTGAATGCCAATGTTGTTGGGTCGACATTTTTATGTTGGTGAATGTCTATAAAAGACTGGGGCATAATGGTCAAAAGTACCCTGGTTTTCCGTGTCCAATGGAAAGCACCCAATAACAGTTTCATTACTACACTGTCCGGCAAAGAAGACATTGGATGACAATCTGTTTTGGGCATCATGCCACCAAAGCTAAACTGTATCTTAAACCCGTTTCAAACCTTTGAATTCGGTTTCAGACAGGAAGTTATTCTTTACTGAGTTTTTTTTATTGACAAGACTGTAGCATCCGATCCCTTAAATTGCTTGGAACGCTCATCTTTTTTAAAGGTTGAACTTAATTGCAATTTTCGAATGCCAGTCTGATATTCTGATTATAGTAAAGGTTTATTGAAAGGATTACGAAGTGCTATTCACTTGACGTCTTCACATACATCTGGTATACACGATCATTATTTTCATTCAAACAGGTCCCCCTGACACACCTGTGATCACTCCAAGTTCTCCAATGACTGAAGATGCTCTAACTACACTGACGTGTACAGCAGACATGGGATATCCCGATGACTGGACTCTGGTTTGGTCCAATGGAGGCTCACCAGGTCCAAGTACGAGCTCGTCAGCATCAGGTGATCGCTACAGCTTCACCAGCATGCTGGACTACACCCAAAGGAGACAGGATAATGGAAACATCATCACGTGTGTAGCACAGAGAGATTCAGGAACGCGTAGTAGTGAAGGGACGCTGCCCATCGACGTACAATGTAAGTGTGGTTTCTTTCACATTTCTGCAGGGGCAAGAAGTTCTTCATATGTGAATTGGGACTGTACACGGTGAAGGATGTACGTTATGGGTTGAGGGTACACCATGGAATATATCTTCTTTTAAGTATTGGTCTTAAAAGAACTAGAACAACAGGTGAGAATGGTTCTCGGCCATTCCCACCTCTTGTTCTTTCAGTACAGCACTTCACAGAAGAGATATAATAATAATACCGGAGTCTTATATAGCGCACGTATCTACCAACAATAAGGTACTCAAGGCGCTGGTAATTATGTCTATTTTTTTAAAGACAGGTAAATGCAGTTTATGAGAAATGTGAGACCCATTATGTAGCACCTTATAAGGGTTAAGGTGCGGCGGTGCATATTGCAGCCACTGTCAGAAACACCGGGGCAAACCCCTTAGCGATAAGTGTTACTGGGTTCTTTAATGTGCATTTAATACACAACACACGGGACTACGGCTTTACGTCCAATCCGAAGGACAATAATGGTAAAGTGCCTTGCTGAAGAGCACAAGCACCATTTCCCTGTCAGGATTTGAACCCATGTACCACGGCACACGAGTCAAACACCCTAACCATTGGAGCACAGATATCTCAAGATGTGCTTTACTTATATTAGCAAGCCTATGTGTTCGAGTTTTATGCACCAGCCTAAACACGGATGATAGTAAGTGGCAGTTGATTACTTCATGGGAAAAAACATTGAATAGGAAACCCTGTCACTTTAATGTAGAAATATGCAGTTTTTCAACTTTGAAAATCGATAGGCTATTCCTCACTAGTTCCTGTCTCATTCAATTTGCATTCCAATTCAAACTGATTCTTTTTAAAAAGGTTCTCCCATAAAGAAAAGTAAGTCTAAATATGTTGCCTTGTTGAAAGTATAATATATGATGGACACAGTCGTGGGCTATTTAGTTTGGTTATAGGGTACGATCTTTTGTATTTACGCAAAAAGCTCCGTTACTTTAATGTCTAATAGCCGAGTGAGGGTCTCAATAAACATTGCTTTCCCAAACCCATTTTCTTCAGTTTGTGCTGAAGCAGTAAGCGTCAGTTGTCCATCAAGTACAGCATCAGGTAGCATCGTGCAACTATCGTGCAATTCAGGCAGCAGCAACCCAGCAACCTCACTTGTTTGGTCCAAGAACAACGTGGACCAGTCTAACCCAAGCCAACCAGTATTTACTGATGGAGACTACGATGGCCGAGAGACAACACTCAGGTTAACAACAGGGGCACTGACCAAGGCAGACAACAGAGCTGTGTACCAATGCTGCCTTATAAAGACGTCGCTATGCACTGTGGATATGTGCGACTCATGCTCCTTGAATGTTGAATGTAAGTCGCCATTGTCATTGTGTGCTTTCAACGAATGATATGACCTGATTTTTATCTGATATATTGGTTCTAGAGTGTAAAACCAAAATGCGAGCTTTAAATGACACCCGCTTTGGGTACAGAGGGACACTAAAGGCTGAATATGTATATTCTTCATTTCCTCAAACGAGTTGAAGTAGTTTAAGCATTTTCTTAGGAAATTTTTTGGTGCCGATAGAGTTGATTCTGTCATACATGTACATACCGTAGTTGTTACAACATAAACCTTGTATTATGTAGTGCATACGAATTTCTTGATGCATCGACTATTGACCTGTCAATTCTGCAGTAGGCCTACATCAAATCAAATTAGTTTAATGGCTTTTACCTGTAAGGTTTTGGAAAATGAATTGTTCTTTGTCTTCCTTGTTATTTTTCATTGTAGACCGCCCGGAGTTTTCTTTGCCAACTGTTACGCCGACCGGTCCTATCGTAGTGGGCGGCAGCTTAGTCCTGTCCTGCAGCGCAGAGGCCAATCCTCAGCCCCCTGATTTCATCACGTGGGAGAAGATCGGGTCTCCTGACTCCCTAACCTCTGTCTACAGCGATGGAACAAGCACCCTGACACTAAGCAGCATCAGCAGGGACCAGGCTGGGTCCTACAGGTGTCGCGGAAACAATGGTGTACCACCTGTTGTCTTTTCAGGCTCTGTTGACGTCATTGTGCACTGTAAGATTCTTTGTGTATTTGGTTATATACAAACCAAAGATTACGCCATTTTGAAGAATCCTATTTTTACCCTACTGCTGTGAATATCACTTATTTTTTGTTTACAAAATGTTTTCAACATGGTTCTTTTGTTCCTTTACATTCAAAGATGAAGTGAGCATTCTAAATAAGGTCGACACATCAGTGGGGGCCAAAGATGGTTACGATGCTACCCTTGTATGTGAAGGCAAGGGTAATCCCCTCCCTCGAATGACATGGTCGCGTCCAGACGGTGTGGAGTTAAATAATGAGACCGACCCTGGAAGGATATTTCAGGTCGATACCATTCATGAGGGGGATGATGTGTTTGGATTCACCATCAGGAGTACCTTGCACATCAATCCAGTGACTGGGACTGGAGACTACGGGTCTTACACTTGCAACAGCGGTAATGGAATAGGAATGGTTGACACACTGACCGTTGTGTTGAATGACAAAGGTAAATTAAAACAGTTAGAAAAAAAAATAACAATGGTGTTACATCAAACAGAATTGTTGTATAAAACAGATAATAAATGTTTTGCATTCGTGCAATGGGCAAAAATAATTTCATTCGGTGAGAGATGGAGTGCTCCATTACACTCGGCTTTGCCGCGTGTAATGTAACATAATTCCATCTGTCACCACCTCATGAAATAATTCTTATCATTGCAGTCATAAAGTTTCATCATTTGTGTATTGGACAACTGCATAATCAGTACAATACAAGTGGTATCGTTGTACCAATTGCTATGACTGTGGGTACCCCACTTTTCATTCAACTTCGGAACAGGTATATTTTGCCTTTTTTAAGGACTATTTCAAACAGAATATGTAAAACGCTAGGTCCTTTATTTTGTTTGTCATCTGTGCCATAGTCACACCGCTGCCACCGCAAGATGTGTCCGTCGATCAGGGTACAGTCACAGCGACATCTGTCACGATAACATGGCGTCCTGGCATCGACGTCGGCGAACCTCAGTGGTTTTATGTCAACATCCGGGAAGTTGACACAACGACAGGGTTTGATCCCAGCACTCGGGTGAGAATCGCCGATGGCGTCGTGATGCACGTGATTGAGAGTTTGAGTCCGTACACCAAGTATGAGATCGAGGTATATGCTGAGAATGCTAATGGCGTGAGCCAAAACGTCAGAAGGACTGCGACAACTCTACGTAAGTTCAGCCTTATGTTTCTCTCACACCATATTTATTGTTAATTCAACAAAATATCTTAGCAAAGGTAAAATTAGAGCTATATTGCCATTTCACAGTGTAGTTTCTGATAAGTCTCATTTCGTGGATCACTACAGGTAAGTTTTGTCGTGCTATCTAAATCCCGTATTGAACACAGTTTTCCTTTTTTCTCGTTCAATTTGCACACAGCTGATACGCCAGAAAAGTTAGGTGAGTGATTCAGCCTATTTGTTTCTTGTTTTTTTCAAATGAGACTTGTCATTGCTGACATATCAATCAATCTGTTCAAACAATCTGTTTTATTTTTGTTTACATCTGATTTGCATAATACGATAACCAAAACTTGGTAGAAATAGGCAAATCGATCAAATACACCCTGTCAGCAAACACCTTTTTTTTTTTATATATATTTTGTTCCGTTCAGAATTATTTCCGGGGTCTGTGTTTGTATTTGTTTTTAGATATCTCTGTGACCACAAATCAAGAGACTGGAATCATCTCAGTTGGTGGCATTCCTCAAGATGGCGACACCCTGTCGTGTTTGCGGCTTGAAGCACGTCTAACCAATCAAGATGATTGGTTTGACTATGGCGAGTGTCTTGAGACAAACACAGACTTGGCTCTACGTGAGGCTCGATCTAGATACTGCTATGGAGACTTGTGTAGTCAGGCGACTACTGCAATAACAGGTCAGTCAAACCGGTTTGAGATCAGTCAAACCGGTCTAGATACTGCTATGGAGACTTGTGTAGTCAGGCGACTCCTGCAATTACAGGTCAGTCAAACCGGTTTGAGATCAGTCAAACCGGTCTAGATACTGCTATGGAGACTTAATTGTGTAGTCAGGCGACTACCGCAATAACAGGTCAGTCAAACCGGTTTGAGATCGGACAAACCGGTCTAGATACTGCTATGGAGACTTGTGTAGTGAGGCGACTTCTGCAGTAACAAGTCAGTCAAACCGGTTTGAGATCAGTCCAACCGTTCTAGATACTGCTATGGAGACTTGTGTAGTCAGGCGACTTCTGCAGTAACAAGTCAGTCAAACCGGTTTGAGATCAGTCAAACCGGTCTAGATACTGCTATGGAGACTTGTATAGTCAGGCGACTCCTGCGATTACAGGTCAGTCAAACCGGTTTGAGATCAGTCAAGCCGGTCTAGATACTGCTATGGAGACTTGTGTAGTCAGGCGACTACCGCAATAACAGGTCAGTCAAACCGGTTTGAGATCAGTCAAACCGGTCTAGATACTGCTATGGAGACTTGTGTAGTCAGGCGACTACCGCAATAACAGGTCAGTCAAACCGGTTTGAGATCAGTCAAACTGGTCTAGATACAGCTATGGAGACTTGCAGTGGCGTAGCCAGGATTTTTTTCAGTGGGGGGGGCGCTGGGGGGGCTGGAACATTTCATGGGGGGGCGTCAAGCAGGGGCGTCAATCGCTTCTCAAAAGTGGGGGGGGGGGGGACATACCTTGATCATAACTGATGCAAGCGCGAAGCCCTTACGGCGTGGGGTTCGGGGCCCGCTTGAATTCTAGATGTTTTGTGGTGTGATTTGAAGCAATTTCTTACGACTTTCCTCCATGCTTTAACTAATATTTTCTTGGCAAAAGATAATTATTTGAACATCGTTTTCGAGGTGATAATTTTTTTAGAAACTCAAAATCTCAGTGGGGGGGGGGGGCGACTGGGGGGAAGGGCGACAAGGTTTCATGTGGGGGCGGTCGCCCCCCACGCCCCCCCCCCCCCCGCCGGTGGCTACGCCACTGGAGACTTGTGCAGTCAGGCGACTACTGCAATAACCGGTCTAGATATTGCTATGGAGACTTAGTCAGGCGACTACTGCAATAACCGGTCAGTCAAACCGGTTTGAGATCAGTCAAACCGGTCTAGATACTGCCATGGCGACTTGTGTAGTCAGGCGACTACTGAAATAACCGGTCAGTCAAACCGGTTTGATGTCATTGGTCTTTGTGCTGGTCCCAGAGAGGGCAGTCTATTGTCTTTGCACCTGACTGATGGAATGACTCACTGACCGACTCACTAACTGACTGATTTGGGCTGATATTGGCTTGCGAAGATAGTCGGGTAGTGTTATCATGTAGGATGAAGCCTTGATCGGCTAAATCTAGCCTAACATTGTAGACCAGATGTATGAAGAGACTCCTAGTGAGTTGCAGTTGTGAATCAATTGAAACGAACTTTGGCTGCTATGGATCATCTTTAGTGTGGATGTCAGACAGATTACTTTACTAGACTTGAACGGCAAAACACAATGCGCAAAGCGTTAATTTTTCGGTCCAAAATCAATTGGAAGTCACCTGACTCTACCTCCCCTAAAACACACTTCATGTCTCCATGAAAATAAAAAATAATAAACAAGTAAACATTTCAATTAATTGATATTTTTTTATTTTAATTAATTAATTTAAATTATTTTTTACAGATGATTAGGTAAGAGATAAGGTAAATTACCCGTCAGACAAAAAATTCCACAATGACAAATAACACGGAATTTCACTATTTTTTCCCTATTTTTGTTTGCACTTTTTTGTGCTCACATAGTTGCAGGACAGTCGAGTAATGCAGGATTGATCGCAGGCATTGCAATTCTGGCCGTCATGGTATTAATCAGCATTGCACTGAATGTTGTGGTAATCATGTACGTCAAAAGAAGAGGACCACAACCAGGTAATTAAATTGGAGGTTTTCTTATCCTCGGTTTCGTCACCGACTTTGGAACATTTTAAATCCTTGAAGGACTCCGGCACAAGACAGTTGTTGTTCTGTCACAGAAATGTCAGAGACCAATGTAGAAAAGGTCATCCTAGTTCAGAGTATCCTTATTCCTGTAGCTGTTTCATTCAGTCTTATGACAATCACTAACAAACTAGTTTTCATGTGGTTCTATACAAAGCAGGTATGAATAGCACTCCTTCATATATGCCACTACTTTTTGTCCTAATTTCGAAGTGAAATTAAATATTTGGTTTTCTTTATTGCAGAAACCAAGAAACGTATTTCAATACCGTAAGTATAGTCGCACTTGTACACAATGTGTAAGCAAGATGTAGCAATATCACGAAAGATTTTAATATTGGCTTTAAATTAATATGGAATCATTATCAACCTATTTCCCCAGGAAATTCAAGCCAGAAGACAAACGACCGGTCATCAATGAAGCAGAGGAATACCAAGACTTGGGTAAGATGCTGAATAGATCATGTTTGGACTAGTGTTTTTCCACAGTTTGTGAATGGAAAAAAAGAAGGGAAATATTTTTGTTTTAAAACTGTCGCTATATTGCTTAACACTATGCAGGTGTGAACGACCGCAAATAGCTGTTATGTTTCCCATTACTCTCAATGAAACCAAAACACAAACGAGCTGAACATTTGATCCCCAAAGTTTGTGGTGATGGGTCTCTCCTGGTCCTATTCATGGAACTTTCTTTCTTCATTGCAATTTTTCCGCAGACGTACCCCTACAGATCCTGGCCGTAGGCGGGAGCCCCAACCCAGCTGCGTCGACCTACGCCAGCATTTCTGAAACTCTCGCAGAGTTCTCACGAGAAAAGCTGACGATCGTTCGTGAACTTGGACAAGGCGCCTTCGGGAAGGTTTTACTTGGGAATGCCAATGGTATCGTCCAGCAGGGAACTGTAACGCAAGTGGCTGTCAAAACTCTAAGAGGTAATTGATTACATCGATTAAAAATAAAATACAATACAAAGAAAAGTTGGTTAATTACATTTGAATTAACAACATTGCTAAATAGCTAAATACTTCTTTGTTTTGATATGATAATTCATCATTGTTATTCCACGTATTTGAATTTTCTAATTGAGGGGTTAACACCAAGTAAGGCTACATAATTTCTGACATATACTGTTCTTTAAGATGCATTATTCACAATTGTTTCTGACGGCTATTTCATGAGCAGACGATGCAGATATCACGGAGAGAGGCGATCTGCTCCGGGAATTGGACTTCATGAAAAAGCTTCCGAGTCACTCTAATGTCGTCAAACTCCTCGGATTCTGCATTGACAGAGGTAGATCATTAACACTTGTATTAAATTTAAAGACCCTTTTTTTACCGTCACTTCATTAGAAATCATGATTGCAGGCTTCAAAATATTACCTTAAACCAAAACTTAAATATAGGGGCTTTCTTGACAACTGATTCAGGGAAAGTACAATTTGCTTCGTTAAAAATGCACTAGCCACAGAAAAGGAGACAATTAGCATGCTATTCAGTTATTTGGCAATACATCCATACAAACAGTGAACATGATTTCACGAGACGTTCATGCTCCATGATTCTTAACGATAGGAACATTCTGAGTATTCTGTCAGAGATTTTCTGTTCTCAAATGTTTTTAACAATTCTGCTTTTTTGATCAGATCCAATTTATATCATCATGGAGTACATGTCCAAAGGTCAACTCAAGGAACTCTTGACGAGTAGTCGAGGCAAAGGCAAGTTGCAGGTGTATAGCAACCTGCACGGTAGAAGCAAATCTCTGACGTCTAAGGACCTCATCAAGTTCGCTACAGACGTTGCTGATGGAATGGCATTTCTGGCTTCACAGCAGGTTAGTAGCTAATATCTATGTACTATATCTACATCAGTTTGCGACCGCTGTCTGGATTTACGTAGACTTCAAGGCTGATCATTATGCAATAAATTCGAAATCAGAAGTAATTCGCAAGTAAAGTCACGAGTGACAGGGATGGACACTGACAAGGAATATCTTAGCCAAATCTTCACTTGAGTAACGTATGATTTGACTCGGGACTGAATGACTTGCGTCAACTTGCGATGACTTGCGATGTACTTGTGATGACTTGTGATGGGTTAACTGCGACTCTAACAAATGCAATAAGTGATAAACTGAAAACTAAATTTAACTAGGCAAGGACGAATCCAGGAATTTTTCGGGGGGGGGGGGGGGTTCAGCAGCAAAAAAATGTGAAATTTTTACACATTTTCAATGAGGGCCCTGTTCAAATCCGAAGATTAGTTGCACTATATTACACAGTACTACAAATACCCCCAACAAAGCTGGCTCTGTACGTATTTTGTGCACAGACAGACAATATTACCAGTCTATTTTTTAGGTGTCAGAGCAGTGCTGGGGGATTCCCCCCTCCCAGATCCGTGCCTAGTAGGTGATGATGATCAACAATTATTGTGCCAATCTAACTATTGTATTTAATCAATGTTATTATTTCAGCTCTTTCTGGTTATGAAACAAACAATCATTCAAAGTTCAGAAACAGTGAGGGAACAATGAAAACACTTCTTGTGTTGCAAAGGTGAGAGGAAAATCCTAGGGAAAGCCACAAAATCAGTGACTTCAAACCCTATCCATATGTGGGTATGGGCGGAATTCGTACCCGGGTAACACGAAGTAGATGAAAGCACCACACCAACTTAACTCCCCAACGAACTGACGATATCCTGTCTTTTTATACACAGTGCATTCACAGAGATTTGGCCGCCCGTAATGTCCTGGTGGGTGAGAACATGATCTGTAAGGTGTCTGATTTCGGACTCGCTCGTGACGTCAAGAACATGAGAGTGTACCAACGGAAGTCCGAGGTATGGAACTCTGATATACCAATCTCCAGACTTTTAGTTTTTCTGCAAGGGTCAAAGTACCAGAGTCCTTTAACTTTTTTACACTTCACGAAATAAATTTTCAAGTGATCAAGAAGGACATGAAATTATATACTTCTCATTTTTTTTAAGGACTGTATAGATAAATCTTGAATTGCCAAATCTTGATGTGCGCACGCGAAGATAAAACCAAATCGAGTAACTGAAAAGTAAATTGGAATCCAACATGATGTAATGTCGTAAGTGTAACAAAGAAGGACTTTAAATTTAAATTATGTTGTCTCCTTTTCAAGGCTCGGTTACCAATTCGTTGGATGGCCCTGGAATCGGTTGTTGATGACGTGTACACAACAGAGAGTGACCTATGGTCTTATGGCATACTTCTATGGGAGATTGTTACTCTTGGTGAGTTTTAAAGTTTTTAAATATTCACGACAATCTATTAGCATTATTACACAGAACTTTCCTTTATAATGGATGAGCAGAGTAATACCACTTTCCCTTACTTCATTTGAGTTTCATGCTCTTAGATGGAACAAGAACAAGTAACACATTCGCAACCAATGTAAATAAAATATGGGGGAAAATCCAAACTTGTAACAGGAAGTTCTCTAAATAACGTCATCACTCAATATTTTCTTTAAAATTAATGTGACTTTATGTAATTGTGCATTTTGAATGTTGATCTTTACTTATGTTTATTATCTTTATGTCTGCTGGGACCCATGGCAGACTTGTGGATTACACTCAATGGGCAACCCAGTTGAAATAAGCAATACAAATAAACAAATAAATAAATATTGTAAATATTGATTTGTTTGTTTGTTTCAGGTCCTAAGCCTTTTTATTCATTGACTGCAACGCCTCGACAAACCCTCTTTCATCGCTTGAAAAACATCTAAAATTTTAACAATGAGTTGCCGTTGAGAAGAAACAAATTTGGTTTAAAGTGTCTCAGATTCATCATTGGAGCATGTCAAACTGAATCAAATGTCTCAGATTCTGTGATAATGTTTCGTTGCAGGTGCTCGTCCTTATCCCACCATGAGCTTCAAGACAATGATTAGCGAGCTGCAGGAAGGATACCGCATGCCGAGACCAGAACATTGCCAAGATGAACTGTAAGATATATACATGTAAAATCACTTCATTAGTTACACATTAAATATCATTTACATAATGCAGTTGGAACTTTAGATGGTCCTTATATGCAAACACACCCCTTGATGAGATTGACAGAATGGGTTCCTGCAAACATAGGATTTGTCGCTCGGTATAGCGTCGCTACTGGGATCCCAAGCTTGCTGGCTTAAACCCCACCCCGGTTAAAAAATGAACAGCAATATTAGGTGAACCGTGCCTTAGATGCAAAGGCTCCTTGATTTTCTTGTTTTTGTTTTTGTAAAATGGATTTCGACCTTAAACAATGTGTAACATTTTGGGCTTTACACTTAAAGATCCACGGGTTTACTGTTCAGACCTTCAAAAGAAAAATGTTCAGAAGTCAACCTAAAACAATGTGCATATTACGATACCTACCTAGGAATGGTTACACATTCAAACATTCGACAAGGTACATGTATGAGACTTTGGTAACAACTATGCCTTTTTTCATAACGTGTACCGATAGAACTAACTTGAAAAACCAATAGGTTACATGTCTGATTTTCTTTATTTATATTCACACAGCTACCAAATGATGCTGGCTTGTTGGGAGGAGGAGCCCACAGCACGACCATCTTTCACTGAGATCGGTCAGAAACTTGAGAAACTGCTGGAGGGAGCGCATGTAAGTATGTGATTACAAGAAGTGACAGTTCTACAACTAAGCGCCTGAAAGGACCATGCCACCATCACTCCATCAAGACCCATGTCCCCGTGGGTCTCCCCTCACAATTTTGAGGCAAAAAAAAAATTGTATTCTGTGAAACTTTGACGAAACCTAATTAGTGCCTCAAGTGCCTCCTACATAATTATATGGGACCAGCCACATTACTGGTTCCCAATATAGTAAGCCATTGAAAGCATTGAGGTTGGTGCAGGGCAGGGTGCCAGTTCGGCAGAATCTTGATGATTTCTTGGACCCTGCAGTGCACAAGGCTTCATTGGCCTTTTGTGGCCATTTGCTCCAAGGAATGTCTCCGATTATCCAAATTAAAGATCACGCACTGATCCTAACCAATTTTACAGAAAAGAAATCGAAAAATGATTGCAAAAGCAATACCTTTTATTTACCGATAATTTCGATAAATATATTTAAATCTCACAAACTGTATTTCAACAGTTTTGCTTTTTCCAGGGCAACCTACCAAATACAGTCTGACAGTGAGCCGAATTCACTTTGTTATGCAGGATTTCTTTAATGCTATGACGACGAGATGAATCTCGGTGCAAACTCTTACATGTACGTTGAATCATGGTTTTTTCTTTCTTGCCAGGATTACATAACTCTGTCAGACTACCAAGAATTTGACTACGAAGTGACGATTCCTGATTCTCCTGATGAAAAGATCTGAAACACTGAAGATGCATACTTACAGAGAAAGACAGTGGTTACAGCTAGAACAGGTGATGGACAATCTGAGCACGCTTACAATTCTATCACGAAGGCCCCTTCACTGGCAACAGCATTGTGCTAGCAATTCAGATAATCTGGCACAGGGCAGTTCAATGGCATGCACAATGGTTTTTCCATTGTTGAAGGGGATTTCGTGAGTATACAGTGATGACGTGCGTGAATTTGTCTACAACAAACTTGTAACCATTTCTTACATGTACACATGCTGTGGGCACAAGTGCACGTATTATGATTCCCGCTGCAGTTTTTCTTGTACAAAGTGTACTCTCTGGTTGTAATACTGGCCCGACACAATCAAATGGCTAAATCTTGGCGAGTTTGTCTTCCTGCACCAGGACTCGGCTAATGGTTTTTACCATCCTGAATACGCCAACGTGGTAGGAGGGTGAGCTATTAAGGAAAACAGGTTGTAAAGGCTCTGGAAGAAACAAAAGTGCAGTGTTCCCAGTGTTGTAGTACTCGTACTCAGTACTCGTACTCGAGTACTACTCGAGTACTTTTTCTGGAGTACTCGTACTCGTACTCGAATGTCAAAGTACTCGTACTCGAAATGACGGTACTGTACTCGGGCAGCAAAGTACTCGTACTCGACATGTCAAAATGTACTCGTACTCGAATAGTAGTACTCGGGGGGGGGGGGGGGGATGTTATAGCTTAATTCACCTACCATGGCCTTATTTTTTCGATACTTTCAGTTTGAAATGGTTGATTGGCTTGTGGAGAAATCGAGATTTCCTGATTTGCCTCTGTGCAAGTACAGTCCGGAAAAATACATTTAACAGCTAGCCGTGAGTTGGTCTATATATCGGTCTGATGACTGGGCCTGGGCCAATTATGCACAATGAACCATTTGCCGTATGGCCGTATTCGGAAATGCATATACTCGTACTCGGAAGTACAAGTACTCATACTGGTACTCGGAAGTACAAGTACTCGTACTCGGAGACCCGTTCTTGTACTCGGAGGTACAAGTACTCGTACTCGTATTCAGCAACCTAAGTACTAGGAAGTACTCGGTACTCGGAAAAAAGTACTCGACTACAACACTGGGTGCTCTGGTCTTTCGTTGCACAACTGATCACTATCTTTTTTAAAACCAAGACTAATGCCAACACCACATCGTAGGTATAGCAGAGCCTCATGTCTGCTGTATAAGGTCGGTCTCTTTATGCATCATGTGGTGTTAGTTTTTATCCTCCACAACATTGGTTTGTGCATACATGTATAAGTTGATCTTTTTTTTTAAGATGTCTGTCTTTTTATACAAAATGTGTCATCAGTTTTATCTTTTCATTACATTTTTATATGCATATGTGTGGGTATTTCACATATAAATTAATGCTTCTGGTAATTAGCTTTGGGAGGGTCATATTTTCTCATGCTTGATGACTTTTAAAATTAATGTGATTTGATGTGACTGTGTATTTTTAATGTTGATTGTTTGTTATGTTTATTGTCTTTTATGTATACTGGGCCCCATGGGAGACCAGTGGATTCCACTGAATGGGCCACCCAGTTGAAATAATATATATATATAACTAAGTTAATTCTCCTATATCTAGAACAGTTTCTTACATTACTTTTAACTATAATTCCCAACAATTATTGTTCCCAATGGTTTAAATGGTTGGGTGTAATATGCCACCATGAGTGATATGTTTATCTATAAATGTATATACAAAAAATGTTTGCTACAAGAATGGCTTACTTAGGCACTTACTTATACCGTTCACGTCGTCATAGCAACTGAGGCATCTCATTGCCTTTGAAGACGACTGGTTACCAAACCTTTACCTGTGTTAATGGTATAGTCAAGCGCCGGGAATCCATCCTACTAGACCGGTAACAAGTCTAAACGTGCCGGGGCTGGCGCTATTGAGGGGGAGGGGGGGGGGGGGGGGGCTCTCTCACAGGCTTGGTCCCCGTCCTCAGCTTTGTCTGTTATCTTTGAAACATTTGATTTGCCTTTCATGTCAAAACCAAATGTAAAACTTTCATCTTTGTTTCAAAATCATACAGTATAATGTCTCTGTAGCAAGACATCAATTTATATTTTGCCGGAACCCACAAAATCAGGGACCTTAAAATAAGGTGAAGCGGAGACAAGGCCTTGGTCGGGAAAAATTGTATGCTTCGGGCAAAACCTAATATTGAATTTACAACACCCCAGCGCAATTCCATCTTATGAATGGCATATGCACAATTAACGACGACGCCATATTGGATTCGGTCTGCCTAATAACTTTAAACATTTTACAAAGCAGTTTTCGGTGTATTGTAAAAAAACGTTACTATTTACCTTTTTAGTTCTTTTGATATGAATTGTAGAAATAAGCAAGGTTGTAATTTCTTTTTTGAATAAGAATGAGCAGACTTTGTTCAAATGAAACAGAGTAAAGATTACAATAATGTAAAACAATAAAGACGGGCCTCAATCCATTTGATGGAGACAGTAGGCAGTAAGTATAGATAAGGTAATGCTTACTTCTGAGGTAAACTTAGTTCTGTCTTGAAGTGTGCATGTCAATATCGTGTGGACATTATTGATGATTTTCCCGCTGTCACAGTTACAACTTCCCTTACCCAGTTAACAGGACAAGATCGAACTTTTTCCTTGACCTAAATATAAAACCAAAAGCCACTCACTAGTAACAAACAAGATACAACGACTTTTGAATTATTTTGCAGCAGATTTATTGGAGCTCCTTTTCTGGCTTTCACTGGACAGCACTTTTCTAGGAATGGATTAAAATCAAGAACACTTTGTTTTTATTCGATCCCAGCTGCAACTGGAAAGTACGTGTGCCTTACAAGCTATCAAAACCACACTCTCTTCCTCTCAATCGTCGCTGACCAATTCCTACAGGTCAAAGGTTAAACGGGTAATGTTCACAGACCAATCAGAATGTACACTGACAAACATTCAACCAATCAGACTGCAGAGCTGCTTATCCACGATTGTCCCGCTAGAATATACAAACTTGTTCAGAACTTAACGGCTACAGTTGACATTTTCCAAATATCGGCTTTGTCTTGAATTCGGCTTCATGTCTGGTTTCCAAATCATCAAGAATCGTTTAAATTCCAAACCAAATGGAAATACTATGGCCTCATATTGTAAACATTTATGATCCTGATACAGAATATGGACTCCATGAAGCCACAATCACCAACTCGGCAGTCTAAACACTCCTGAAACTAAATTCTGAGACAAAGCCGACTTTTGAAGGAAAAAGTAACCTTTATTTTTTTTTGTTTAAAAACCGCGGTAAGTACTGAGTATTAAATAAAACAATTAAAACATAAAACAAATATTGCATTTAATCTTTACAGAGATCATAACGAGGACGAAATCCTTCAATTCCAAAAATCCAACACGATGGGCACATTCTTTGTACAGAGTACTTAAAACAGAATCGTAATAGTGGTTTGGTTGCAAACATCGAAATCCTATATACTGCAAAATCCAAGGTAGCAATTTTATGCAGTTGTTTATCAGAAAATACTGCTGAGCAAACTGTGTATAAAGTAAACACTGACAGAGTATACCAGTTTACAACAAACATGGCATGACATTTTGGCGGGTCATCTTGGTTTTTTGGTTTGTTTTTGTTTGGCTAAGCGTATCTCTCTTGTGCTTAGCAGCTCCAGGTGTTGGATTTAAGGTTAAAAATCAAATCTCGGTAATATACATTTAGATGTACTGTCCTTTCTAAATACAATGTATTCCAATTTCACGCCAAAAAAGAAATGATTATTTTCGTAACTGCTATTTTCCCAAAAATATAACATTTGGAAAGAATGTACATGTTTTATCCAGACCACTTACTTGGTTGTGTACAAAGTCTGTGGAGGGTTGAATGCATTTTCAAAGGAGTTTCTCACCAAAATGAAAATGTATCTCAGTCACAGATTCACGTCTTTTTAACATTTTGGAATGACTGACCTTCATTGAGATGATGTATGACGAACAAAAAGTTGCGTCAGGATTAAACACTACAGTGTATTTTCCAGAAGTTATTCACTTTTGAGAAAGAACAAAAAATCGACCCACGGAACTAACAAATGGAATTAAATTTGAAATTATTTACGGCCAGACATCAATATCCAGTTCTAGCGAGGTAGACTGGTTACCGCCTCACGGTCAGTATTGATAATATCCGGTCTCCTCACAGGGCAGAATGTTTTTGAGCATAGACATTCTTAAAGGGAAAATTATATCGAACTTATTGAGGAACAAGGACAGTACATCCTTAATAACATGATCTGGATTAAAATACTCCGATATGCAAATCGACATCTTGATTACAATAACTCGTTTTTTAAAGAATGCACTTACTTTTTAAAAAGGAACCACTTAAATTGCTTCATTTGCTTTTAACTGAGTACTGAAAATAAAAACACTGAGCAAAAACTAATTGCAATATAAGAAACTAAACCAAAATCTGAATTCCAAAAAGTAAAACTGATAAAGAGTTCAACACTGTTTTAAAACACGTACGAATATACATTTTAGTCTAAATTTCAAAGACGCATTTCCTATGTTCTTTTCGAGTCTCAACTCAAAACATGCATTTGTTACTTTCCATCGCTATTTTTCTAGCAATATAAACGTTATTCACCTTTGAATGAGACATGAAACAGAAAAATCCAACGACGTTTATTTATTGACTTATTTCTTCTCAAATTCAAATTAATGCTGCCAGACATTATTTCGGTTCTCGCAGGGTGGGTTCACTTGTACGCACAATGAAAGCCCTTTTTACAGGGTTGCAAATGCCCCAAATCGGAATAATTTTTTTTTTTTTTATCTGTTAGGAGAAAAATCTAAAATCCAATTGTTGTTTTTAAGAGCAAAGGGACGCGTCTTTAAAGATCAACTATTACTGTAAGCACAAAGATGTAAAATATGTAAAAGATAAAGTCTCAATAAAATCTATAATCTGCTTTATACGTGTATATACAGTTTGATTAGTACACAAAAATACATATTTTGGTTGATCATTTGCAGGAATTTGTAAATATCTGGATGGAAGAAAATACCATCAAGCACTAGCTGCAAGCTCACTGTATTAAAAATATATCATTTAGAAAAATCTGCATTTCTTTAATTACAAATATAATCAGTAGGGTGTTTTGGCAATTTGAAGTACTTATATTCCTCACACAAATTTGTTAATTCAATTTTAATGCTTTGTTCTTTCGATATATAAAAAAAATATTCGTCATATTTCAAAATCGTGGTCGATGATACAAAAGCAATTTACAAGCCAGATACTCTCCATTAAACGGTGCATAAACTGATCTCAAATGCACAACAAAATACTGCGTATATTTTTGTTACACAAATTATCCGATCGGGAATATATTTAATATTTCCCTGCGTGTTGGATCTGGTGGTTTATAGCATAGTATAGGTCCATAAAAAATAGCTCTGAGTAACATGATTATATAACTTTCGAAATGCCTTGTCAAACTTAAAACAATATTTCATGTTAAACAAAAATATGTCTTATAAATTCATATCGGAAGGTGAGTTAAAGACTTGTGCCTATAAGAAAACAGGTACAATGACTTCTATCAGCTCTTACAACAAACCAGAGTTGAAACAAATACAAGTTAGGGAAGAAGAGCATTCTTATGGTGTGAAATGATGTAAGATCTGCAATTGTACATGTAAAAAAAATACAAGTTAAAAATGGTCTCTCAAAACAGGAATGTTACTCTTATTTTGTCATCAAGCACAAAATCGTAGGATTTTTCCGAGTCAAAGATGTTTTAAACAATTATAAGTATAAACTTGATTGTCCATTTTTGCTTGTGAGTAGTCCCACAGTGATAAAAGTAGGCCTAAAGGCATTTTCATCCAAAAAATGCCTTTAACATATCCACAGTGTCAATAACACCTGATCACATGGGTTCTGATAAGGCAGGTTATTCTGATGTGACAAAGCACCAAGATATATCGGATCGTTCAGAAAAAATAACCTGCTCCTGATTTTTGGGACATTTACAGAAAAGAACATGCTGAACTCCAATCTTTGGAAAATTGTGTTCACTTTAGGTGTGCAGGGAGAAAGAGACTATGCTGTTCCCAAATAATTGGATAAAACACCCCACCCCCCCCAAAAAAAGGAGAGGGGGCCACTTTCTGTACAAATTAATGATTCTTTGTTTTCGAGCACCGATTCTGTTTAAGTCTCCATGAATTTTGGAAGCTGGAATCTAAATGTAGGGCTGACCCCTCCTTCAATAGACCATTATCATGTTGCGGCCATCTTGATTTTTCCCATTCAAATCAACATAACCAAAGCGAGCCTTGAAGGAAAAATAGTCTGTTTTTTGTTGTTGCACAAAAACATTATAATTGAGTACGGTTATTGGATACAGCATGTACAGGGAGCATGACTGAAATGGTGGCAGCATGATAAAGGTCTATTGCCTATAAGGAGTGAGATTGGAAGATAATGGAAAATCCGAGAAATAATGGGCAGAAGGTTTGCAGGTCGATGACATTCCACAGCAATGTAGGGTGTATCGTATTCGTTTATATTTGCCTTCAGACACCCCTCACAAAGTAATAACACCCATTAAGTTTGTTCTGCAGAAACCCATAATACGGTAAAAACTCAGGACTTCCAGATTTTAAAAGAGATTCAGTGTCCTGAAAGCAGGAAAATCCTGACCAATCACACCCCTAGTTCCCAGAATGCACCACAGTCACCTTGAAGACAGATATTTCAAGGCTCTGATATTCTTTAAATTTTTAAAGTTCCACAACTTTTTCAACCCCACACTTCCTCAAAATTGAAAGATCACCTCTTGTACCTTTTGCCTCCTGTCAATTATCAATGGCAATCTGTGCCCATACAAATGCCTATTGAAAAAACAAACTTAATGTAATGTGACGATTGTTAGTATATTAAAAATAATGGAAGGAACAAAGTCAAATATATTTACAAAAATTAAATGATATTACAACTTAAACAATTTCTGCATAAATTATTACCGTTTTGCATATTTCCATATATTATACAACTATGACAACCATGATTAATACAAAATTATTTTTAATATATATCATTAAAGTACATACTCAAACAAACTAGTTAAAAACCAAACTGTAAACATTTTAAAAATAAAAGTGTCTTGGATAAATGTCTGCCTACTAAACAAAAATGATCAAATAATTGAGCTATGGAGAGAAATAAGCAAAACTGCCAATTCTTAAAATCTGCACACTGTATTCAAGTGAGGAATTCATTTGAGCATGGGTGGAGGAAAAATACCAAATCAACAAACGCGCATGAACAGTGGACAATGCGCACGAATAGTGCATGGCGCCTAGTGACCCCTTTCAATAGCTCCAATGGGAGGGACACGCTGCATGTGCGTACTGACTTGTCGCGTACTGACTCGTAGGCACATGGGGCAAAGTACGCACAATTTTGTTTTCAATCTGCATGAATTGGTGATAACTTGGCATGAGCGTCAGGTGCTTCTGGGCAATTCCACGGTTACTCACGTTACATTTTTGATGTACTTTTGAGTTTCCTTGGGCTGTAATTACCTTACTGAAAAGGTTTATTAACTGTAATCCCCATGGTAGATAGAGTAGACCTAGACCTACCTTAGCACCAAAGTTGACATCCAGAAAAATGTGTTATGTATGATAAACAAGACACTAAAAATCGGTTACTCACGTTACAAAAATGTAACGTGAGTAAACGTGGAATTGCCCTTCTGCTGTGTGCTCAAGATTCCCTCCCAGTGGTCTCCCCCAACTCTCCCTTTGTAACCATTGAGGGGGTACTTGTGCACGGAGTCTATAAGAGCCCTGTATATCTCAGTTCAGTGCTTAAGGACGCTGTTAATTCACACAGCACAAAACAAATTCAATTTAAAAGTACGACAAAAAGAAATTTGGTTTATATTATACCTTTAAAATCTCGGCAAGGAATGTTTATTTACAGCTTGTTCAGATATTGGAAATTAGACACATTTTATAGGTTAAATCAATTTTTTTTTCAAAGAAGGTTTTGTGTTAAACATATTCTTCTGCATCCTAGAATGTGATCATTTGGTTCAAGGAACGATTTGGTTTATCATGAGATAAACCGTAATGAGAAACTAAGTACAAAACATAGGTGACATATTTCACAATCATGTGTTCACTCTCTACTCATATCTGTGAGACTTTGTGACAACATTTTCTACGGTTAACTGGGTGGGACTCGAACCAACGACCCCCCGATTACTAGTACAGGTATCTTGTGATTCACTATTTAAATGTACAACTTCAGTATGATGTACATATACTGATCACATAAAGGTACAACATGTATAAGGCTGCATCCGAATTTGCAGCATACGTGCACTTGCCATGACATGACAAATTCCCATTCAGTTTTGCACCGAGCATGAACATGCCTTAAGGAATGTCTTGGAACACACTTTTCATATTTACGGCTGAGCGAAATCATTCCTTATCAGCGTCTACTTATCCTCCGGTTTCATCCGTGTGAAGTCCAGCGAAGCGTATTCCGTTGATTCCTCTGTCTGGATGGGTGGTTGATCTACAGGATGTTGCTTCATATGACCCACCTCAGCATAGATCAAGCCGTCCTCGGTCACCTGGGAAAATAGATTACGAGAAAGGATTATCATTATATTAGTTATCACCCAAGTGCGAGTGGAAAAATGTATTGCGTCCGTGTCCCATATTCCACGAGGCCAAAGGCTGAGGGACAAATGGAACACAGACACACCACATTTCCGTGAGAACAATAGAGGACAATAGGGTCCCCAATTCCTGAAGGTCCCCAATTTGGTGATGTGTAGAAAACATATGGGAGGTCTTCCTAAAAAGTTAAAAACACAACCAAAAGGGGGACAATAGGGGTCCCCAATTGCAGGCAAATACATACTTGTGTGAGTGCAAATGGGTAAAGCAATTTTCTTCAAGTAAATTTGATGCACAGTTACGATGGAACAAGCACGCTGTACACACACTTGTCAGCAGTTATCGTTCACGTGCATGCAGCAGGAATAGCATCTTAGAATAGCAGAATATGTGGAGTGTGACATGGATTGTGGTATTAAGTATAGGACCATGGTCTTAGGTATATCACACTGTTGTTGCCATGGATCGACAAATCAAAACTGCCCTGCCTGTTACTCCCAGTACCGCCCAAAACTGCCCAGCACTTATCAGACTTATGGATTTGTCCGGGAATATTATAATGTACATGTAACACAATGCAATGCAAGTGCTGGTCAATTTTATCTACATATACTAGTGTAAAGTAAAGTCTGTCGGGAGCAAAATATATGGCCCATCAGGCAGGAGTTTATCTCCGAATGAAAAGACAGGGAATTGTTTCCCCTGGATGGGGTGCCAGTCCATCGCAGGTTATTCCCCAGCTAATGCACGTACCCATTTATACTCCTGGGTGGAGAGAGGCAAGTGGGGTAAAGTGGCCTGCCCTAGGACACAACATATTGCCAGCAGCTGGATTTGAACCCCTGGCTCTGATCATAAATCACAAGGCCCTAACCACTAGGACAGACTTTGTTTTGCCATGTTACCCTTAGTACATTGTTATACTCTATTTCTAAAATAAGGAAATAATTTAATAAACAATTCTATGCCCTAATGCTTTGGAATGAAGTACATAAAGTTCAAAGACTGGCCTCACTATGCTGCATGAGGACTCCCTTCATGGACACCATTAATTGCACGAAGAAGACATGACTGTTTGCCTATCGTTTTTATCTTTGGCAAATAAATATTGCGTGTGGGCTTAAGCATGGTAAATCCATCACATTGTTGACACATCCGGGTTATGGTTCCGTCAAGCATGTCAAGTGTTTTGTTTTGGACTGCTATGCATGGACTTTAGCCAAAATCACTTGAAATTCATAACGTGCTTATAAATTACAAACAAAATGACAGAATTTCCTTATTTTTTTCTGGTTCATGCAACTTGCCATGAGGAAGTCAGTTGCAAAACTAAATTTTTGGGTTGAAAACCTTAATGACTAAAGCATGAATCATGTTTTCATTTAGTATTTAGACTGCCATTTGGTATACAATAATGTTTGAAGATATAAAGATCTGATACCCATGCATCAGTATTATTGTTGGCGAGTTCTTCAGCAAAAAATAATAAAACCCTGAAAACGCAGCGTGAGAAGACGACCTTTAACACATCTAGCCTATTACCCCTCGCCCTTCATCTGTTTATTTTCTATTTTTACACTCTCCAATCCATCTGTATATTTCACACGGATTCTACACAACATTTATCTTCTGTAATCAGACAGACTTTGCACTTTATCACTAAGTAAAGTCAGAAATCCGCTTCTAGAGTTTTTCCTCTGTTTACTGACATTATTGAAACCGAAACTCTCTGTTGATATTTGCTAAACAGTGCTCATTGACAAGATTAAATAATGACATATCAAGTATTGAAACTAACGACTGTATTAAGCAAACTGACAATATGGAGACGAACTCATTGTCAGCGAAATGGCCTTTGTATTTCTAGGTTTTGGGTAAAAAAAAAGGGAGGGAGCCAAAACGGGGATTTTTAAGAAAAAGTCCGATTTTTTTCTGTCCAACAATTGTTGAAAGGGGCAGTTGCTGCAATTCTAAGAAAAAGTACAATTTTAAAAAGGGACGAGATGTCTCTAAGATACTTTAATGTTCTGTAATGTCATTCCTGATCAATAAATATATTTTTTAACACAGAACAAAGAAATGTATCGGGGCTCTTGAACCTGTGCCCTGCAGAATACAGTAGCCAGCATTCTTATCATAGGGGCTGGGTGGGGCTACTGGATGCTACAATGGTCGGGGGGGGGGGGGGGGGGGGAGTTTCACCTGTTACCCAGCCTTTGTAAAATTAAAAAGTGTGGGGGGGGGGGGGCTGGAGGAAGTCATCATCTTTTTATGGGGGCGCTCTTCAAATATAGTATCGGGCAATAGGTGGCACTTCATGGCAGCACAATTACAGACATCCGCAATATTTTTTATGAGGGAGGGCAATATTTTTTATGAGGGAGCGTGCCCCCTCCACTTACTTACGCAGTTGATTCCAAAACTGTGCCAACTGAGCTATCCAGCCAATCCTACCAGTATGTTGCTGGTCCCCATTTTCCCCAATATTTTGTCCTACAACAATTATTTGTTTTCTATTTATAGTAAAAAGCAAAGAAGACTTACCACTCGTCCACTTGTGTCCTGTTGCCCCCCAACACTTGCATATGTGTCAGCAGAAGCTAAATGATCAAAATGACAAATGTTCAGGAAAGGTAGAGTAAGCCATTAGTAATTTTTGCATTTTTGAACAAAGGTGCCCAAAATCTAAAGATGGATGCTTAATAGCTAACCTGATGAAGTTTTGGCTCTGTAAAATGCTGTGTATTTCGAGAAAACGGAACAAACATATACACCATCTCGAGACACAATCCCAAATCTGCATTCAGGACATGATTGCCATTCAGTTGGTTGTCACAGATTCACCCAATTGTAAACCAACTAAAAGGGCAGATTCACAGGGCAGATTCACAGAAATTTCCAAAAATGTGTCACTTGACATATATTTGGAAATGACCTTCTTTTGTTGTTTTCTTCAAAATGACAGCATACCAGGAGGAATAATTTCAAAGGGAGTTTATTACCATTACTATCTTTAAACCAAGTAAGCATTTTCACAATAATGTGGTCGGCTACTTTTTGGATAGCTGCAATAATACTCTACCTTTAAACTCATTGCTTGCTTCCCCCTGTTCCTATGCTCCCACTCATTGCTTCCTCCTTGTCATACTGCCCTGCTTACCCTTTACACTCTCCTCAGCTGCACTAATCTACTCTCCCTTTAAACTCATTGCTTGCTTCCCCCTGTTCCTATGCTCCCACTCATTGCTTCCTCCTTGCGATACTGCCCTGCTTACCCTTTACACTCTCCTCAGCTGCACTAATCTACTCTACCTTTAAACTCATTGCTTGCTTCCCCCTGTTCCTATGCTCCCACTCATTGCTTCCTCCTTGTCATACTGCCCTGCTTACCCTTTACACTCTCCTCAGCTGCACTAATCTACTCTCCCTTTAAACTCATTGCTTGCTTCCCCCTGTTCCTATGCTCCCACTCATTGCTTCCTCCTTGTCATACTGCCCTGCTTACCCTTTACACTCTCCTCAGCTGCACTAATCTACTCTCCCTTTAAACTCATTGCTTGCTTCCCCCTGTTCCTATGCCCCCACTCATTGCTTCCTCCTTGTGACACTGCCCTGCTCCCACTTTACACTCTCCTCAGCTTACATATATTATGATAATGATTTTCCCTTTTATTGTTGCCGATAAACTGCAAGATTTTATAATATAGTTGATTCTTGTACACCAGCACTTTCGGGAAAGTTCTATCAGAGCTTTTGGCAACCACCCTTTCAATGTGTGTGACGCTACTGTCCAATCTCTGTTCGATTTCGAGACATGCGGGTACGGTGATGCGGAATTCATCAGGGCAACGGTGAGGTTTGGTACCAGATTGAAAGAACACCACAAATCGGTCGAGTCAGACAAGAAGTCAGCAGTGTCCGATCAGGGGCAAGCCACAGGACACACCATTCACTGGACCAGCACACGTATCATCGACCAGGAGGCACACTTCCTATCACTAAAGATACAGGAGGCAATCTACATCCTCCACCATGAGCCGTCTATGAACCGTGACCAGGATTACCAATTAGTGCCGGTCTACAAGGCAATCTTACGGCCTTGTAATCAAACAGACACTGGACAATAGCGTCATCACGTACATTGAGAAAGGCAGCCGGATATGGTTGCCAAAAGCTCTAATAGAACTTTCCCGTCAGTGCTGGTGTACAAGACTGAACTATACTTCGACTGATTCCTAGCAAAAACCATCATGCTATTAAGATTTACTTTATTTTATATATAATCACAAAAAAAGACAACCCAATATGAATTTACCTGCAGCTGGGGGGATCTTTGCCTTGTCTTTGTCACTGATCTGCACCTCTTCATATGCTGACTCCTCAGCAGCTGAAATAAAATAAGTCGCACAGAGTAATGTCAAAACTCCTACAATGTCCACTTTCTTTCTTAAGTCATCACTTTCTGTAAATGCCTGAGCGTCATCAACTTTCATAAAACAAGACTACACAGACCAGCTTGTACAAGCCTATTTTATTAAAGCTGGTCTACTTAGGAGTGTAGGTTTTGTAGGGGTCTATGTTGTGGGAGTCCTTAGGATCCAAAGAGACCTTTTGGGTCACGGTAAGGTTCAACCACGACTCATTGACAGTCAGTGAGTCAGTCAGATACAATGAGGACACGAGGCTTAACCACCAAAACTAGATTAAACGTGAACTCCAATACTCATTAGCCCTCCTATGGTAACATGCATTGTCAGGCTGCTTATTACTTGGGTCAATATTGGTCAAGACCCCCATTGGTTTGTACACAGTGGGCCAGGAGGTGAGGAAGAAAATTCTGACCATTGGTGACTTCTTAAGCAAAGGGAGGTTTAGTTCATTATTGTCGTGGCCTTATTGTTAAGGTTAACTCCAGTAGGTGATTTCATGAAACTTTACGCTATGGCTCAACTTCGCTTGCACCACAGTTTATTGAGTTAGCTGCGCAACTTTTTACGCTGCGCAACATTGTACTTATGACACATTTCACGAAAGTCTCACAGTGCATAAGTCTGCTACTTGCGCAATATATTATGGCGTAACTTGCACAATCAACTTACATGTAGGTGGCGTAAGTTGTGGCGTATGACTGAACATGACCTATTTTACCAGCAAATCGTGATCGTCGTGGAGCCTGTTATTGCACATCTTATCAAGTTTGATACAAGACACTCACAGCTTTGTGTTTGAAGTTACTGAATTTCTATTTTACTAGTGAAGAAATTTTTAGAGTTGCCGCACACTCCAAAGAAAGTCGGACAAAATAATTTTCAAAATGGCGGGCTGAGGTGATTCAACCACTGTTCCGTGAACAAATTAATTCATACACAAACAGCTGTAGTAAATGTTGTTATATATCCTTGTCCAAGATGTCAAAATGTTTCGCAGCTACACCAAGTTTCTTGAAATTGATCGGAAGTTTATGCAGCTGCGCAAATTTGTTGCGCAAGTCTTACTCATGGCACAAGCTACGGTACGCCTATTTCCTGAAATCGGCTGCTGGTCTAAATTACAAGTCTTACTCATACATGTAGCACAAGCTATGCATATTTCCTGAAATCGGCTGCTGGTCTTAATTACACAAACAATGCTTAGCTTCAGTTGGAATTCAAAATGCAAGTTACGAAGACTGGACTGGTCCTCTAGACTGGTCCTCTGGGCTAGCAAAAACCAATTCTTGGAAAACATGTTTAAAGCCGGTCTTAAAACTCATCAATTGTCATCTGTACCTCTGGATGATGGAGGAACATATTTCTTGGGTTTCTTCTTTGCTGCGTAGTCATCTGATGGTTAAGACAAAAAAAAATGAATATTGTAATGAAAATAGCCCTTCATCATTACCTTCCTCCCCACCTTCTATTTTTGGTTTAGCCTGCCCCTCTCATCCATCACACCCCTGAGCTGAGTGTGTATCAGTCCAGCCAGGCATGCAGCATTTGCATAATTCTATTGTAAGCCCCATGTGCATGGAATTTGAGCTAGCCATGTGTGCTTCAGTCTGCTGGGTGCTGTGCTAGGGATAGGTTGTCTGTGGAGGGCTGTGCAGGTTTTGTCTGGGCGTGGCAAGGAAAGGCCTTGATGTAATGACCATGTAAGTTGTAGTGCATGACAACTTAATCAAATCCCCCTGGGTTGGGAGTAGAGTTATGGTGCTTTTACCATAAGCTACCCCACTCACACTGACCATCACCGAGCCCCGCCTTTTGTAATTTCTCATAATTAATTGTTTTCCTTGCATTTATTTCTACAACAAATTCCTTTATTCGCTACTTTAATTAAAGAACTTAAATCGTAGTTGCCCCTAAAGTTAGAAGTAATTAGTAATAATTAGTAGAAATAAGTAGACGGATCCAATCTTTCTTAATAAATTTATTTACTTGAAGCCTAAACATCTTCTCTCTCTACTAAGTTATTTGTTTGTCTCGCTGCGGCACCTGACCACGCTACAATTGGTGGCAGCGGTGGGATTCCTTTTTAGAGAAACAAAGGCTCAAGTGTTAATCATAGTTTAAAATAAGTTTAAAATCATACTAATATTCAAAATCTTGTTCATTGTAAGGTAGGCGTAGTTTGAGTAACTTAAATGCTGGGGTTGGAGAGGAGATTGACTCCGCTTTAGTGTGTAAAAATTACTATAAAAATAATTGTAAAAAAAGGGGGAAGATTTGTGTCCTTTCTTCCCAAGAAAGGGAGAATTGACTCCTTGCTTTTGTTAGTTTTGTTCCACCAGACATTAACATAGATGAATGTTAATGATATTTGTGATACAGAAGTGGCCAGTGATTTTTCTTTCTTTCCTTGTTTTGTATTGTGAATTTTTGGAATTCTGACAAAATAGTGACAGAAACTTTCTGCATAATTGTTAGAGATAACTTGAATACTGTGTTGAATTGTTATGCATTCACTTGTTGGTTGTTAGAGAATTAGCTGTGCTTTTATATCAGGTTTTGGGCAACTTATTTTGATGCTGTGTACTGTGTTGTAAAAATGTCGTGGCCAAACAATTTTGTCTCATTTAATTCTACACAGTTTTGCGGAAGAACAATTTCAGTAGTACTAAATTGCACTTACTAACAAGTAACTAGAATTGAAGAACAAGGTAAAGGCGAGTATGTAACATTAAGACAGTCAATCAGAGCTTTAGAAGCCGAGATTGACGAAGCTTATGATAAGCATCAGGGTAACTCGGTGATGGTCGAGGGGGTCGGTCAAGACTCCCCAAGTGTTATTTCTTTCATGCAGTCCTCCACCACAGCACCCGAGGCAGACTCCACTAATGGGGAGTCATTACAGACCACTTATGTGCCGAGCACATTTGTCGGACTGTCTGATGTGGCAAATGCAGGTAACGATACCGTGCCGAGTCAGCAGGATGTGTTACCAGCAGATTCAGTTAGGGAGAAGAAGGTAGCATTTGATGAGAATGTGAAAAATGTACATGGTCCTCCATGTACTGGTAGTTACTCAAAACCACTCCACACTTCTACACCAACATGTAGAGCGAAAAACCCTTTCGCCCCTTCGGCATTTGATCATGCTATGGCTAGTGTTGGACATACCGGTAGTCCTTCACCACCGCTCCGTGTTTCCATGCCAGTATCCAGTTCAAAAAACCCATTCACTCCTCCGTCTTATCATTCTAGGGCCAATCAGATGTGTACTGCCTCGTGTAGTACCGAAAGTAGTTCATTACAAGAACCTAAGCCTGTTGTCATGCCTGAGTCTTTTGATGGTGTATCACTTACCTTTGAAGATTGGTTGACAAATTTTGAAATTTGTTGCAAGATACCGGTAAATGGCTGGACAGACACCCACAAATTTTCATTTTTAGCTGTCAAGTTAAGAGGAGCAGCTTTGCATGTGTTCACAGACTTACCGGTGGAGAAACATAACAAATATGCGAGTGTTGTACAGTCATAAAGGAATAGCTTTTACAGGTCTCACCAAACTGAGCTGTATAAGGTCCAGTTGAGGGCAAGGGTAAGGAAGTCAGGTGAAAGTCTATCTGAGCTGGCTGGTGCCATACGTAGACTGACTAATCAGGCTTATCCTGGGATTTCAGTTGAGGTTAGGGAGGATCTGGCCAAAGATCAGTTCAGAGAAGCTTTGGACTCTTGTCATACCCGTCTGCAGATCAGACGGCGTAAACCATCAAGTTTAGATGAGGCACTGTCCTGGGCAATGGAGGAAGAGATGTTGCTCTCTCTGGAAGAAAAGAGAACAAACTCACCAGCTGGTGTTCAGGTTTTGAAAAGTTCCGGCAGTCCTGGGAAAAAGATTAGTGCCCCTATGTCTGTTGCAGATGGTATCAAGAAAGACCGACAAAGTGAAGATGACTGTTTTGTCAAACTCAGTAAGATAGTTGATGATCTCATAGGGATGGTTGAATCATTGAAGATGAGAAACAAACTTTCTCATGAGAATAGGGAAATTGTTTGCTGGACGTGTAAGAAAAAAGGTCACGTCCGTGCAAACTGTTTAGATAACCAATACACTAACACTACACATACTAACAAACCAGATAACACCTCCGGTGTATCCGGTTCGGAAAACTAAGTTCGGCTAATAAGGGGGTCGACTCTTGGCCGGGGGAAGTTGAAAAGACCCAGAGTAGAGATTTTGAGGGACAGTCTGTGTTTGTCCAAGGTCGAGTGTACAGTCAGGATGTTCAATTTCTGGTCGATACTGGGTAAAATGATGAATTCATCAGAGGGTTGAGGTACAGCGACAGCTAGATGAAATGCTTGAGCAGGGGGTGGTTCCACCATCTCACAGCCCCTGGGCCTCTCCGGTTGTTCTGGTCAGAAAAAAAGATGATAGCTTGAGGTTTTGCATTGATTATAGGCGTCTCAACCAGGTGACCAAAAAAGATGCATATCCCCTGCCCCGGATTGATGACAGTCTCGACGCTCTAGCCGGTTCCTGCTGGTTTTCTACTCTCTTTGCATTGATTATAGGCGTCTCAACCAGGTGACCAAAAAAGATGCATATCCCCTGCCCCGGATTGATGACAGTCTCGACGCTCTTGCCGGTTCCTGCTGGTTTTCTACTCTCGACCTAGCGTCTGGATATTGGCAGACGGAAGTGCATCCTTTCGACCGTGAGAAAACTGCCTTTACAACAGGTACTGGGTTATACGAGTTCATTGTGCTTCCTTTTGGACTGTGCAATGCCCCAAGTACGTTCAAGAGGTTGATGGAGGTTGTCTTACAGGGTCTTCAGTGGGAAGTTTGTCCAATCTACCTGGATGACATTATCATCTATTCCAAGGGATTTGACGAACATTTAGACCGGTTGTCGAGGGTATTTAGTGCACTCCAAGGAGCAGGCTTAAAGCTGAAGTCCAAGAAATGTGTCCTTACACGTCAGGAAGTCGCCTATTTTGGCCATGTTGTTTCCTCTGACGGAATTGCTACTGACCCTGCAAAAACACAACGAATCCTGGAATGGCCTACTCCATGTAACCTCATCGATGTTCGTAGCTTCCTTGGCATTTGTTCTTACTATCGGAAGTTCATCGTTGACTTTGCTCACATTGCTGAACCTCTACATCGACTGACACAGAAAAATGCGAAATTCGTCTGGACAGATGAGTGCAGCCGGGCATTTGAAGATCTAAAATGCAAGCTGACAACTGCTCCAGTGTTAGCCTATCCTGACTTCAACCTACCTTTTGTGTTGGATGCAGATGCCAGTAATAAGGATATAGGTAACGTCTTGTCCCAAATCCATCACGGGAAAGAACAAGTCATAGCCTACGCAAGTCGTACCCTCAACAAAGCAGAACAACAGTACAGCGTCACCAGGAGAGAGTTACTGGCAGTTGTTAATTTTGTTCGACACTTTAAACATTACCTCTATGGACAACGTTTTCTGCTGCATACTGATCATGGTTCTCTGTGGTGGTTATTCAGCTTCAAAGATCCAGAAGGGCAAGTCGCACGCTGGTTAGATAAACTCAACACTTTTGAATTTGACATCCAGCATCGACCTGGTACCAAACACCGTAACGCAGATGCGCTGCCCAGATATCCATCAGTGACTGGGGAGTGTAATGGCATTTCTCTACCTTGCGGGGCGGGGACCTTGACAAAATAAGCAGGGCACAGCAAGATGATCCAATTCTGGCACCGATTATCAAGTGGAAGAAGGCGGGGCAACGACCAGATAGTACATCTATTGGTGGCTTAGACCGACGAACCAAGGGCACTGGTTCCAGTGGGACCAACCGGAGCTTCGTCAGGGCTGCCTCTATCGACGCTGGACCAACGATACTGGCAACGGATCTCGCCTGTTACTCTTCATTCCTGACTCACTTCAACAACAGATCATGGCAGCAGCTCATGACGAGCCGGGCGGTGGTCATCTGGGTATAGCCAAAACAATCCCAAAGGTCAAAAATAAGTACTACTGGATTGGGTGTAGTAAGGATGTCAAAATATGGATTCGACAGTTTCCTCAGTGTCAGAGCAGGAAGTCCCCAAATCCAAAACGGCGTGCTAATCTTGTTCAAGTTCCAGTTGGTGCACCGATGGAAAAGTTGGCTCTATTCACAGCGACCAGGGAACAAATTTTGAATTCGCCTTATTTCAGCAAGTCTGTCATCTACTGGGGATCAATAAAACAAGAACAACAGCATACCACCCTCAATCCGACGGCCTTGTGGAGCGCTTTAACAGAACTCTACAAGCCATGATCGCTGCATATGTCAGAGATGACCAAACAGATTGGGATGACCACTTGCCACACATTATGATGGCTTACCGCTCCAGTGAACATGCTTCCACCAAAGCAACGCCAAACTTCCTCATGTTCGGTCAGGAGATCAACATCCCTCTTGATTTGCTAGCAGGGAAGATCCAAACCAACAGCAACAGACCAGTGACACCTATGCTCTGAAAGTCCAGCACAACCTGAGGGAGGCATACAAGAGAGTTCGGATCCACTCACACGCTGCACAGGAATGACAGAAATGACACAATGACTTGAAGAAAATGGGAGATCCCTTTCGAGAAGGCGATCTTGTCTGGCTCTACACCTTCAGGAAGAAACGTGGTCGTAGTCCCAAACTGCAGACATTTTGGAAGGGCCCCTATAAGATCACCCCAAAAGTGTCTGATGCCAATTATCGCATACAAGGTACACATGGAGGGCACTCACAAATCGTACACTTCGACTGGCTCAAACCATACCAGCAACGGGAGACATTGGACAGTTCTAGCAGTGATGCAACAGTTCCAGAGGAGAGAAGTCAACTTGAAGAGAGATTCTCCTGATCCAGATGAGTCCATGTCACCTATTCCAATGTGGAACAAACCAGACATTCAGTCGACCAGGGCAAAAGACGCATTACCTGATCTGGATGCTGCAGCTCCCGATCATGTGATTCAACCAGCTACTACTAGACGCGGCAGAGTACGTAACCCCCCAGCCTGGATGAGACGAGGCGACTATGAACTTTATGAACTCTAAAGTTGTGGTGGGTTTATCTTACATTTCCAAAACAGAATGTAACTAATTTTGGCAGACTTTGGTAAGTTACTGTGAATCGTGATTTAAACCGACCTGCAATTGTCACTTGTGCATGCATTGTTAATACTAAAATTTAAATGTACCTACCTGCAACGTGATCAGCAGAAGAGACGTCTCTAAACAAACTTCGACACCGAATAATTGTACATAATTTACTACTGAGGTATGATAAAATTGCTTATCGTCTTTGATTATAAGTAAGTTTAATTGGGGCAAATTACGTAAACAGAGTACTCTTAGTTATTATATAAGAACAAATGTAAGTTAAGTATAACCAATTTTGCGGCTAGACCACTAATTATTTACAAGCTTTATCGTCTTGTATACTTTGTAGATTACCTGAGCTGGACAGATTGCACCTAGCGTTGGCGGTTGGTGGAGTGAAGACGTGAGGACACGTCTTCACTGAGAGAGGGGCCTGTGTAATGAAAATAGCCCTTCATCATTACCTTCCTCCCCACCTTCTATTTTTGGTTTAGCCTGCCCCTCTCATCCATCACACCCCCTGAGCTGAGTGTGTATCAGTCCAGCCTGGCATGCAGCATTTGCATAATTCTTTTGCAAAGCCCCATGTGCATGAAATTTGAACTAGCGATGTGCGCTTTAGTCTCCAGGGTGCTGTGCTAGGGATAGGACGTCTGTGGAGGGCTGTGCAGCTTTTGCCTGGGCGTGGCAAGGAAAGGCCTTGATGTAATGACCACGTAAGTTGTAGTGCATGACAACTTAATTAAATCAACTCACTTTCCAATCTCCAATCTTTCTTAATACATTTATTTACTTGAAGCCTAAACATCTTCTCTCTCTACCAAGTTATTTGTTTGTCTCGCTGCAGCACCTGACCACGCTACAATATCAATGAGATTAGAATCTTATTCATAAATACCTAAGACAGTTTACGCATTCCTATTGGTCGAGAGCCCGTCACGTGGCTGGTCTTAAACGGATGATAAAGACATGGCTAGCTGGTCTTAAACACTTTTCCAGTGTCACAATAAAATGTGGACTCCTAAAAATCCAGTGCCTCTTATCGTTTCATTGGTTGAACGTTCACAATCCTCACGTAGGCATGCGCAACACTACCAGGGAGTCAGAATTTTAAAGTTCTATATTCAAAACGCAACGCGCCAGGTGCGTTCTGCGCGACATCGCGCAGAACATGATACGCGCGCGTCAATCTCCATAAAAGGGTTGTTTACATCTTACTCGCCAGCTGAACACTCCATTATTTTGCAAGAGGGATGTTTCAAAAAGCATTAAGTGAATTTGTTGAACAAAATCGGGATGTTTTGAACGAATTATATGATTTTTTCTTACCGAAAAGGTATTTATGAATGGGAATAAATATGTGCTCGGTCAGTATTTATCACTCTGTTTAAGACCGCTTAGAGTCTGGGTGCTGATAATTACCCTCGCCTCCGGCTCGGGTAATTATCAGCACCCAGACTCTAAGTGGTTTTAAACAGAGTGATAAAAACCTCCGAAGCACACATTTATTCCCTTATTAATGGGCTTGGTTGGTGGCCTCGGGCTACGTCCTTAAGACGTCGGCTGAGGCCGTACGCTGGTACGGTACCATTGCAAATGATCGTGTGCGGCTGTACGTGCACGCATCACACTGTATTACCGTGCGACACAGTGATTTTTCCATGTCTCATGTCAATGTTTAACCTTTTGTCCAGCCGGAAAAGGCTCTGATCAGTGTTATGGCCCGTGTTTCTACCATTGAAACACTCCAATAACGACTGGTGAAAGAGTTCAAAACTACGTTCGTGATGATTTTTACATGCCATTTCCATTGACTTTTCAAAATTATGATTGAAATAAAATGACATTTTCTGGACAAATCGTTACAAAATTAAATTTTGGGTGACACGTAAGAAAATTGGAAATTTCGTTGGAAAATTCAAAAAGTCAGATTTCCGATTAAAATCGGAAACATTTCATCTGTGGTCCTAATTCATAAGATGGAATATGTGTCGACATGATGTAAATTCAATATTGGATTCTGCCCTTTACCCACATATTTTAGCAAACACTGTACACTCAGTGTTGTTCCGATCACTTGGGTGATTGTGGCTGGTAACTCACAATTACTCAGGATAACTCTGAGTATACAGTTTATAAAATATATCTGTGAAGGGCAAAACCCATTGAATTCTCACCCTAATTACTCGGCCATAGTTTGCAACTACACATGCACCTATGCCGTGGCGTCCCCCCCCCCCCCCCTACTGAGATTTTGAGTTTCTAAAGAAATTATCATTGATCTACATGACGCCCCCCCATGAAATGTTCCAGCCCCCCCAGCGCCCCCCCCCCCCCCCCCACTGAAAAATTTCTGGCTACGCCACTGCGCCTATGCAAGGGCGTTGATCACTTCTCAAAATGGGGGGGGGGGGGGGATTACATATGTGACCGGATGATACGAAATGAGTCTTAAAGTCATTTTTTGTCACTTTTACATTTTCACACGCGGTATGAAGCACATAATTTGCCCTTCAGTTTTATTTACCACTCAGTTTAACATCTGAATTCATGCAGATGTTATATGGGGAAAAAGGTTGACTGTTCCTACAGATTTTCATTGTGTAAGGTTATATTAAATGGCTTACTACTCAATACTAGTTCTGGTGACGTGACTCATTTTGTTGGGTCGGGTCACATCACCTTGATCAGAACTAATGTGCAAGCCAAGTGTGAAATGCAAAGCTCTTATAGCGTGGGGTTTTGGGGAATTTTTAAAAAAGATTTTAGATGCTGCGCGGTGTGATCTGAGGCAATTTCTGACCACTTTAATCATTTTTTTTAAACCAAAAGATCATCACTTAAATATAATTTTCGAGTTTGGAGTGAATCAGCTATTCTGAGCAATTGAATCAAATATAGGCTGCAACTTTTATTTGGGGTCAAAAAAAGTTGAGGGGCGGGGCAAACAATATGATATCCACCAATTTTAAAAGGGGGGGGGGGGGGAGAGAAGAGAGAGAGGTGTACATGTACAATGTACATGTACCTACCTGGAGGTGGTTTGGGTTTCTTGTCCCTGTTGACTTCAGCATAGGTCACATCAGGCAGATCTGAAATGAATGAGACACAGATTAGTCCGATTGAACAATGAAATTGACTGCAGTGAGATGTGAACCTGCGACCCCTAAAATACCGTAGCAGACACAGTGGAGTTTTCCTTTTCCCACACTGCTAGTATGGGCTCCACGCACAAGTGCCCCCACAGCAGTAAGAAAGGGAGAGTTATCAGTAGGGGAAACCACTGGATTGCAACTTCTAAGGTGTTACTGTTAGCACCTGACGCCAATTGGTGGTGGATCCAGGGGGTGCGAAGGGGGCACTGACCAGTTTTCTTCAAGAAGGCCATTTTCACTTGAAACAGCCCTTCTGCCACCCCCTCCCCCATTTCATTAACTTCTCTGGAACTGTCCTTGCTAATGTGAAGCACCCGTTAAATTTGTATATCAGAGATGCCAATATTGAAGTCAAAACTATAGTAGCATTGTCGAGCAGTTCAGTGATCCTTTTTTTCTCCATAGCCAATACCATGAAGTATATAAATAGCCTGAAATAGCACCCTCTTGTGGCTTAGGATGCGAATATTACTGGGCCGACTGGAAAGAATGTTGCAACCTGACGCCACTTCAGCGGTTGTGTACAAAGTCTGTGGAGTGTCAAGAAAATATGCTTAACATTTCCTAACAAACTTGGAAATGTTTCTCAGTCCCAGATTCATGTCTTGTCATCATTTTTGCAATGATTGACCATCATTGAGATGATATATGAAGAAAAGCAGAGTCGTATTCACCGCTCTAATTTGTATATGCTACGCCCAAATCGTGTATGTTGGCATCTCTGGTACATACTCTGAAAACAATCATTTGTGCATACATGCAAACAAACCATTATGCGCACTGTTTCCCATCTACTAGGCTCCTGAAAGTGGTCAAAAAATGCCATCTATTGTCCCCGCATGGAGTTCGTTGTAGGCTAGTCCAAAATAGTAAACTTGACTAGCACAACCATCATGGCTATCGTGCATCGATGAAGTACATGTTTTGTCAAGAATAAGTCCAAGAAAAGGTCCATTTTTTGTCACATACATGTATGCAACACCATGTTTTCTTAATAATTACATAATCATTGCAAAGACTTACAACATAACACATCTTGTGGGTATTCTCCTTGCAGATGCCCAACAGTGGAATAAAAAACACTGAAATCCATGAACATCTTAGGGGGTTAAACTTTTGTCACGTATGGGACACAGCGTGTGCAAAGTCTTGGACTTGCCCTCAAATGATAGTCTTGATCTCAACCAAATTTGTTCTGAAGTGAAATGAACTTACTTGTGGGAGCTGATCTGGCCGATTGAGGCTTAGGAGGCAATTTAGTCTTGTTGACCTGTGCATAGGTGTCTAAAGGAATGGGGAGAAAAGTAAATAATAAATTGTAAAGGTTTTATCAAGTACCATGGTCCATCACTATAAGTAGCAAAACAAGGATCCCATAACAACCAATGGTCACCTTACTTTTTCTATAACACAGTGTCATATCTAAATGGTGGTCACATGTCAAAGTACCAGGTCAACTGCCAAGATTTGAGATATGTCAGCGCTCTAACTTCTTCACTGGTTCCAACCCATCCTTCTATAAATATTGAGAATAGGGTCTGGGAACCAGCTTAAATTTGCTCCACTACATGTACCAATGCAATTAGGTTTAAATCTGACCTATGACAATTAGTGATCTCCAACCATAAATAAATAAACTTGAAATAAAGCTTTGTATCAAGTACCCCCGGTACATGCACATAATGCTTTTAAAAATTCAACCAGAACATTAAACAAGTTCTACATCACATCACACTACACATAAATGTACCATACAAATGTAGAACATTTACATGCAGCATGCAATCTACTTGTTTAACTATTCGCTATCGAAGTGTTGTAATCGCGATGGATTAAGCCACACACATGTGCATGTATATTCTAAGAAAAGTAAAATCGTTCAGAAAATTGGTCAATAAATGCTGCCACGCAATGGTCAACTGTTACACTGCAGACTGTAATTAACAAAATAAAAGTCACGCCTGAAGATTTCCACTTTCTTAACCAGTTTGTGCCGGAGGCTGTGTACATGCAAAAGGTTTGCAGTATTTGGAACAGATAACAGGTAAACATGCAGGAACCCGAGTGAGGTCGGAAATATCTGTCAGCGACCCGCTCACAGTGAGCGAGGCCAAGAATATGAGTGTGCTGCCCAAGGGTGATGGCTTCAACCTGCCTGGCTTGAGGTCAGGTGAAAATAAATCCCGCGCCTCGTTCCGTTCTTGTCAAAATAATCCCAGCATGAACTGGTTAATGAGACAGCACAACATGCTCGGAATAAACACCAGTCTGTAGTGAGTGGTGGCCTTTGATTCGGCGTGATGCCGTTTTTGCTGTGCCAACGACCGGTTTTTACCGATCTTACGTATTCATTTCAATAGTGAATTAAACAAGATTGTGCTGGAATCAAATTATCAGGCCCTTTCAACCATTACATCAAGCATTCTGCTACATGCATTTCAAAATCTAAATACTCACCCAACCTGCTAACTACCGGTATGCTAGTGCAATGACAGGTGTTCATGTATGGTTTAGAAATGATTGATTACAAGTACATGTACATTGTACTTCAAAGACTGAACATTTCACCAGCCATTTTAAGACAAAGTTGGGCGTATAACACGACCTTCAGAGGTTAGTGTAAATCTTGATCCTCTGCCAAACCATATTAGTATCACACCTTGATTCATTATTTAAGTTAATTTCTCAAGTTAAGCACATTATTTTGTTTCTGTGATCTGCAGTTAAAATAAGGACAGAACAAAACCCATGCACAGGACATTTTTTTTTAATGTGAATCATGAATTCACTTAGTACTGAAATATAGCCCAAAAGAGGGTTATAAGCCAAAGTATAACATGGTATAATTTGTTCATATTGTGATTGATTAGTTATTTTTTTTAATATTTGACCTGTAATATTTTCATGCTTAGGCCAAAAAAAAAAAAAGTCTACGGTTTCTGGTATGCGCGCGCGTCGCCGTAGCCATGCGCGTCAGCAAAATGAAAAAAAAATTTTTTCAATGAAAGATGATGTCTCAGAACCGCCAAACTCACTGGTTTGACTGGAATTCTGCTGCTGCACAATTTTAACGTGTTTTTAGATTGGGTTATGATCGAGAATAAGCTTTATGTGGCCTCTCTGGACTCCCATATATTTGCACTAAGTTTAGTCGGGCACCATTTGCAGTCATCAGCCGACATTTGAAGCAAAAAAGTCAGGTAAAAAAAAAAAAAAGCCGCGTCGCTGCACCACTTGTTGGACAAGCTCCATACCAGAAACCGGAGGCTTTTTTTTTGGCCTTAGCCATGTTAGCATTTGTATTAACATTGCTTATTTTCTGTTTGAGGGGGAAGGATGGGGTTTGACTACCTACTAAACCAGGCCACGCCCTTTCCCACCACACCCATTTCTACCAGACACTATCTACATTTGTACTTTGGTCATGCTTGTTGTTTCAGTAATAGGTACATGTACACTCTAAACGCATGGAGTGATGACATCAGCGACATCCACTGGATGCTGGCATAAGACATGTACATGTAAGAGAACACTACATGTACAAATGTATGTATTGTCTGAACACTTAACTGGTTATTGGCTATATTATTGCCCATTGTAAATTTACACCACATGAAAAAACAGGACTGAAGCTTGAACAAACTGTAAAATACAGAAAGCAGGGAGGAACGATGTGACCACTAGACAAATGAATGGACAAACAAACAAACAAAAGGGTACGACAAACATGAAAAGTCTCAGGTTTTTTAAGTGAGGTTTTCAAGTGACTGATGGAAAAAACATTGGACATGTTGGAAGACAGAAAATGATGACAGAAGAACCAAGGAAGATACTGAAAGCAGAAGACAAGTATGACAGGTTAAGATGGGTTATGATTAGCCGACCTCCACTGTCCACGGTGTATCTCTTGACAGGAATGAGTCCTTTAGTGTCTGCTTCCAATCCATCTAAGGTTAATTAAACACAAAAAATCATTTCCTCTCAGTGCTTGGGGGCAATCAATTCTGCCAAACAATATATGGTAAAAAGCCGCAGATTTGTAATTAAAAAACACATTCTTTAGGCCAACAAAAAAAAGTCTACGGTTTCTGGTATGCGCGCGCGTCACCGTAGCCATGCGCATCGGCAAAATGAAAAAGTTTTTTTTTCAATGAAAGATGATGTCTCAAAACTGCCAAACTCACTGGTTTGACTGGAATCCTGCTGCTGCACAATTTTAACGTGTTTTTAGATTGGGTTATGGTCGAGAATAAGCTTTATGTGGCCTCTCTGGACTCCCATATATTTGCACTAAGTTTAGTCGGGCACCATTTGCAGTCATCAGCACACATATGAAGCAAAAAAATCAGGTAAAAAAAAAAAAAAGCCGCGTCGCCGCACCACTTTTTGGGCAAGCTCCATACCAGAAACCGGAGACTTTTTTTTTTGGCCTTAGCGATGTACATTTTGCATTTTAGAAGAAACTTGAGGTAAATAAGAAGTTAGTGTTATCTATGATTAAAAATGAAGCTGAGCAAAAAAATTAGCTTTTTCAAGTTTATGTTCTGAAACAATAAGCCAAAAGACACTTAAATAACATGGCTTTTGGCTGGTAATTTGCTGAGAAATTATTTTCTGTCTAAGCATTAACACATTTTTGACTTCAGTGTCCTAGCTCATGAACTAAAAATAATGGCAAAACTGTCTATTATTTTTTTTTTTTTTTGCAGATATTGGTTTAGCATTATGGTGTTAAAGGCCTGCAGCAAAAACAAAAACAACTTAATAATAATATGATTGTTATCTTGTAAATGAAGGGCAGCCAAGGATGAACAAAAACTGGGGGTGAACTTTGACCTCAACATAGTCAATACACATTTTAGGTCCATTCTCAATAACTTTTTTAAATTTTACAAGTTCTAGTCAGTGAAAGTTTTTTTCTGTGAAATTTACAACATACAAGAAAATCCGGTTGTGGACTGCTTTCCAACTTTCAAAGTGGAAGTGAAAGTGAAAAATTAGAGAACAGGAAAACTGTAATATGACGCCACTTCCTCATACCGGTGGCTCTACATGGAATGCCAGCTTATTTATAAAATTGAAAAGTCCTTGACTGAGTACAGTGTACCTTTGTAACATACACGTAACCTGCGGTTAGCAGCAAGCAACAGTGTTGACAAGGCACTGATGCATTTCAAGTAATTGAGTTTTAAAAACATCCATTGAACCAATTTGTAACACTGAACATGCACATTCATGCATAACATTTTGATCCAAAGAGACTTACAAATGTCCATGCAATCCATGCACTACGCTCACATTCAGCAACAGGCAACACACATAACAAGCCACTGACCCAACAAAACTTGATCACGTCATAATATTAGCCAAAATGGTATTTCGTTCTAACACGACTAAATAGTTCAGGTCAAAGGTCATTCCAAGTGACACAGTTCGCTGCTTACCTTGCAATGTGTTAAATGTGGCACTTTAAAATCAATTGCAGAAAATGCCACCAAGAACCAATTCCACTGAATATATGTCTTTGTTGTCTTGGTGATCGCTGTTTGTTTATCCTGAACACTGCTAAAAATGATTTTCTGAAATATCTTAATATAAGAAAATGAATATTGTTTCCAGAAAATATTTCTTGTCTCACTCCCTAGAAATATTTCTAGGGAATGAGACAAGCAAGGTTTTCTCGAAATAAGATGTTTTTCTACATGAGTGTAATTTAAGAATTTTTATTTTTTAAATTTTTTAGCAATGAATGACCTTTGACCTGCTATATTTAATGCATACAGTGTTTGAACACCAAATTGGCATATTAGAAAAAAATTGTCCATGAATGCCACAATGTCATAATCAAAAACTCTACCAATCAAATGTCATACAATTGGCCCAATTATTCCCAAATTTGACTGTCTGCATTGTGATATACATGCACACCTTCTTCTGTTGGTTCAGCATCAGGCTCTTCATTTTTTTCTGGCTTCTTTTTAGGAATTTCTTCATCTACTGCAGCAAAATAGGATTCAATGTGTTGGTTAGTTCAGACTACATGCAGGTGCTGTTAAGAGATTGGTGACATGGCCAGAGATTTCTTGGGGGCTGTTACAGGGGTCGGCGGAGCTGGGGGGGGGGGGGGGAGAGAGACGAACAATCAGGTTGGGAGTTGCGTACAGTTGTATACATTATGGGTGGACCCAGGGTACATTCCCTACCCTCCCCTCTGTGTGAGCTGGGTTCTAATCTCACCCAGGCTGCCCTGTGGATTGGGTTTTCTATCCCAGCCAGATTCAATGGGTGCCCAGGGTTACATGCCCCACATTCCACCTCTGTGAGCTGGGTTCCAATCTCACCCAGGCTGCCCTGTGGATTGGGTTTTCTATCCCAGCCAGATGCAATTGGCGCCCAGGGTTACATGCCCCACCTTCTATGTGAGCTGGGTTCCAATCTCACCCAGGCTACCCTGTGGATTGGGTTTTCTAGCCCAGCCAGATGCAATGGGTGCCCAGGGTTACATTCCCCACCTTCTATGTGAGCTGGGTTCCAATCTCACCCAGGCTGCTCTGTGGATTGGGTTTTCTAGCCCAGCCAGATGCAATGGGTGCCCAGGGTTACGTGCCCCACCTTCTATGTGAGCTGGGTTCTAATCTCACCCAGGCTGCCCTGTGGATTGGGTTTTCTATCCCAGCCAGATGCAATGGGTGCCCACCCCTAATACTGAACAATTGTTTTAGCGTCTTCTCCCGATATACCTGTACTAGGTTTCTTCAGGCATCTGAGACATGTGGAGTGCCATGGCCTCATGGTCTAGGGCACTGATTTTGTGGTCTGCAGGTAATTCTGCGGGTTGTGGGTTCGAGTCCAGCCTGTGGCTATGGTGCTTATGTCCTTGGGCAAGGCACTTTGTCCCCACCCAGGAGTAAATGGGGACCTGTGAGTGCAGAGATGGTTATTGTGATTGATTGTAGCTGTTTTGTGCCGAAATGGCAGCATTCAGCTGCATACTCCCCAGGGAGCTGAGATTGTCTTTGGAATGTTTCATTGGCTCAATGAGCAGGGTAATAATGATGTGAACACTTTGATCTTAGTTAAAAGTGCTATATAAGAACCAATTATCATCATTATTATTTGTGCCTTTTTGAAGAATCTTTGGGTTCAGTAAATATATCATATAAAAAGTGAAATTTCTTCTTCTTTTTTTGGGGGGGGGGGGAGGGGTAGGAATAGGGGTAGAAAGGTTCAGTGAATTTCAAAATCTAAATCTGGCCATGTCACCAGAAATGTGCTTTCACATTAAAATAAAAATTTGCTTCAGCACTTCACAAGTGCTCATAAAATAAAAATCTATGCAAGTAATTATAAGTTAGTTAACATCAATCATCATTCTGTGAGCATGTAAACAAATGCAAAACAGTTCACATGGATGAACACTCAGGCTTAAATTTTACGGAGCTGCTAAACAATACGATATCACTGGGCAAATTTACTTGGCAAGTGCAGCTGACATCAGCTGAGAAAACAACCATAAGCAATTCCAGCATTATGTAATGTCTGTGACAGAGCTTTGAAGACCTCAATTGATGAATAAACCTGAAAATGCATTGTTCAAATCTTGTACGTCCATTATCTGGTAATGGTTAAGGAAACTAGGAGTTTTGGATCATATTTCATTCCTTAGTTATCAATTTTTAATTGGCTCTGTCCACAACATCACAATCCCTTTTATAATGTTGGTATTGCCCAATAATCAATTCATATGACTTTTGTTTGTGGTAAGCAAAAATTGTCCATATTCAGTAAATTTGTCTGTTTAGCAACTCCATAAAACTGTCGTCTCATCCGATGAGAGGTGTAGAAATAACTAGATAAGAATGTTAACATCTTGGAAAATGCTTGAAAACTTGTGGAATGTTTAGCAGTAAGTCTTATCCACAAAAACACGGAAAATACACGAATTAAAAAAAAAACAGTAGAAAGAACTATGACAGACAGATAAAAAATATGCACATACATGTATGACGAAACAGAAACGCGACAAATACAGACATGAAAGCTACATACACAGACAGATAAGGACTGCATGACAAATATGAATAAAATGATAATTATATGTCACGCTAGATCATTTGACTTTATGTATGTGGTAAACCGACACATCAAGTTTCGTGTTGATTTACATGTACAGTTAACCATGTTGATACATGAACTGAAGGCCTGACAGAAAAGAAAACATAATAACTGAAAAAGGAAACTCAGAGTGCTGTGGGAAAGAAAGACTGTTGATAAGAAAGACTGTAGAGAGAACAGATGCTCATCAAACAGCTGTCAAATAAAACAATAAGATGTTCATGAGGTGTTCAAGTGGTTTTGCAGTGCAATTCAGCTGGGCTGGAGTCCATAATTAAGATGAATACATGGCCTGAAAAATGAAGGATTTCATAAATCATAATGAAGAAAGGCTGAGTAGTGGTAAAATATGAGGGGCAGATCCAGGAAGGATAAAAGAGGGGGATATTACGATGTAGATATACATGAAGCTGGCTGCACTTCCTGTACATGTAGCTGCTTATATATTTCTATTGTTTATATTTCTATAATTTACACTGATACACTTTTATATAATTTCATACATGTACAGAAGCAACTTTGGTAAGTGTTTTTTTTTTGGGGGGGGGAGCAAAAGACAGCTATTCTGTTATCCTTCCTGGGTCCTTTCCCACTATTTTTTATTTTAAAAGCCTTTGAGATTGATAATGTAAACATGCTGAAACTATAGCAGCTGCTTTAATCACATGATGCATCTGTGAAGACAATCATGTTCAGTTCAGGAAGAAAAAGTGAAAATGAGAAATTGGTGATCTCAGGGCTCATGCCATTCTCATGAGAAAGAAAAACCAAAAGAAACTTTTGCAAGGACTTCTGGCAAATCAATTTTGTGTATTTTATTTTTAGATTTTTAAAAACATTTTAACAATTTTTTTCTCTTCTTCAAATACACCAGTAAGACTTTTTCTTAAATACTGTTCCGAAGCAAGCATTTGAAAATGTCTCCCAAAATTCTCTAAAATGTATATGTACAACAAATGATTGACACCTTCCAGGTCATAGAAAAAACAAAATTCTTAAGTTTTTTTTTTCTCAGATATCATGACAGGAGCCCTGTACACAAGACAGTGATACATGTAGATGTAGGCTGCTGATTCAGAGGAATGCTGCTTTTCATAAAACAAAAATCTTAAATTAAATTGCTGCTATTCAAGTTGCTGACTTACATACAGTTGTATGTATAATGGTAAATAGAAAAATAGAAAAATTTTCAAATTAAAATTTAAGCCAAAGGCTTCAGAACTCGCTTTTTGGGGTGAGGATGAAAAAGGTCCTCATTGTCATTCAATGGTTTAGCACTATGGTCCTCTGCTTGGCTGGTTTTTTTTTTAATTTGTATTCAGATCATGCAGAACTGTATAGACTGATCCTCTACAACAGCAGTGCGACACTGGGATACTTTCAGGATCAGTGTGTAATACACTATGTGATGGTCCTTGATAGTCTGCGATGGTACTGGTACATGTTTGTTGATATTATATTCATGTAATGGCCGGCGATATGCTGTGAAGATATTCTATGGTGGTCTGTGATAGTGTGTGATAGTATACAAATATTGAATGCTTCGAGTGGTGTAGTAAAACTAGCCTCTCGAGGTGATCCATGGGCATTTTATTTTCCCGAGGCGAAGCCGAGGAAAAATAGAATGGTCCATGGATCACCGAGGGAGGCTAGTTTTACTTCACCACGAGATAAAGCATTCAATATTTGTTTTATAACACTTCACCCACAGATTCTGCTTGATTTTAATATTTTAAATTATTTAAACCTGAACACAGTTGAAATAAACGTCAATATCAATACAAAATTGGTGGAAAATGTATTTCTCTCTTCCAAACTACCCCTTCACGAAATGTTTGAACCCAACTCTGCGGCGCGCTCTCTTTGGAACAATACGCGTTATGCCTTTCGCGCAACGCGCACACCAGGAATACATTTGCACACAAATACCGCGCCGTGGATATAGTACTTTGGTTGCTAATGGTATAGTACTTTGGTTGCTACGGGTATAGCACTCTTGGCCGTGCACAGAAAGATAGCAAAAATAGAAAGTATCATGTGACTCTCGGCCAATCAAGACACAGAATCTGTGGGTGAGGTGTTATAATCTGTGATGATCTTTGATAGGGTGTGATATTCCATGATGATCAGTGATGGTCTGTGACAGTCTGTGATAATCTTTGATAGGGTGTGATATTCCATGATGATCAGTGATGATCTGTGATAGTCTGTGATAATCTTTGATAGGGTGTGATATTCCATGATGATCAGTGATGGTCTGTGATTGTCTGTGATAATCTTTGATAGGGTGTGATATTCCATGATGATCAGTGATGATCTGTGATAGTCTGTGACAGTGTTTAGGAACAGCCTATGATGACTCAATGCGGTTGTGATGATGTAAATCAGACCTTCAGTCTTGCTCGGTGCTTGGTATTTCTTGACGGCTTTGGGCTTCGGTCGAGTGACTGGTGGCTTGGAATCTCCTTCAATAAAAGCAAAGCGACTGTTATTTACAAAATGAAAAAATACCCCCCGAAAAACTACAAATTATTTACAAATGCTATGATTTATCTTTTTAAATCAAACAATATGAATTCTACCAAAAAGCTATCACCATTACAGTGCCTTACATAAAATTCATTTTAAATGGGAGACAAACCAGTAAGTTAATGCTATAATAGAATTCCAACTTTGGAATTTTATTGCATTAAAACATGTTACATAATATATTACATACATGACTGTACAGCAGTAACTCACACGTACATGTATAACATGTAGTTGTTTGTACTGGCCAATAGCTTATAAATTGAACTTGCAAAGTACTATTTGTACATTATTCATATTGCCCGGACAGAAATGAAAGTGTTAAGTGACACTACGATCAAGAGTAATAAATACGGGAAATAAAAGTGAAACTTGTTATTTAATGTCTCAATGCAAAGATCATGAAGATAAACAAAAAACTGAACAAAACCAAAAAAACCCTATTCCGATCACACACATGACACAATGTCAATGTGTGCTATTTTTTTTTATGTTTAGCTTTGAACTGAAAGTAAAAGAAGAAACTGTTCAAAATCCCCGACTTTTCTGGATTGATTTTCAATTACACAATGTCAAATGTCTGCCCATACAAGCTTTCGGTTAGTTTTTTTGTTGTTAAGCTTTAAATTGAAAGCAAAATTGGAAGAGCAAGCTCCTCCTCCATGTGTTCAGAAATCCCCCCTCCTCCCCCACAGCTCCTGGATTTTGAAACACACTATCAGACTACATGTATGTCACTCTACATGTAAGTAACAAAATATTCTTTGTCAGTTTTGTAGCTCAATGAAGTGAAGTAAAAACATGATCAATCTTGTAATGAGATCATAAGTTTGCAAAATCAGAACTCTCTTAGCAAGTGTGTTAGTAATCTCACTCGCAGTCTCTGCAGATGGGGAAGGTTTCTCAGAAATGCTTTCTGGTTTCTCTTTGACTGTGTAAAAGCAATACCATGGTTAATTCTAAGATCTGTTGTGAAGACTAGGCTATTGAAAGTTTAGGCTTGTTGGGTTTTCATGCTGTTTCATCAAGATACATTAAAGATATAGATTGTTGTGGGACACTTCCATGTTTTAACTCAAGAAGAAACTGTCAGTGCCATTGACTTAGTCTGATGGGCTATCATGCATGGTCACATGAACTAACAGTCATGATCTAATTGGTCGAATTACACTATTTGATTTACATGTAAAAGCTGATAAGGATACATTTTTGGGTCATATCTTGCCCAAAAACGAAATCAACTCTTAAAAACTACCGTAAATTTAAAAGCAGAGATTAGTAAATTGTTAAATGTTAATTGCAGCAGACCTTTGTTAGTAGCCTCATCTCCAGTCGTTTTGGATGGAGATGATTTGACCATCTCATCTTGGACTGTGTAAAAGGCATGTAAAAACTAGTTAATTCTAAGAGAAGCTATGAAGACCAGGCTATCAAAAGTGTGGGCTTGTTAGTTTAATGCTGCTTCATCATACATTTGAAGACTGAGATTGTCATTGGCTTCTTACATATGTGCATGTAACTCAAACAGAACATGTCTTTGTAATAAATTAAAGATCCTCAATACAGCATTTGCATAAGCTCCGCCCACCTCTGGTTCATTTCTCACAGTGCCAGTGACTTAGTTTGACCGAGCTGTATGGTCACATGACCAAAAGTCATGATCTCATTAGTCAAAGTGCAGTACTTGATTTACACGTACAAATGTAAACACTGTGAGGGTACACTGATGGGTCACATTTAGCAAAGAATAAAAGTTGATTAAAATACAAAGTAAACAAAACAAAGAAAGAGATAAGAAGTTATTAGTGTTAATGCAGCAGACCTTTGTTAGTAGGCTCATCTCCAGCCGTTTTGGGTGCAGCAGATTTCATTATCTCATCTTCAACTGTGTAATAATAATCATACATGTAATTACTATAAGATAAGAATTACATGCAACCTATGTCAGGCTTCAATGCACAGAATCTAAAGCCATTTTTAGGGACTGAAACCACACAATCGTGATTAAAATAGTTCGAGCACATGTAACACTTGATGACATCAAGCTAATTCCCCCACTACAAATTTTTTGTGTGTTTTACTTCAGGACTAAAATATGAAGTTGATTTTGGTCATGTTGGATTTTCCTTTTTTTGTTTTGTTTTTAATTATATTTAATTCCGTTATTCCTTTTATTTTGCCAAGAGGTGGGGGGGGGGGGGGGTGTGCGAGGAAACTTGGGTGGAATAACACAACATTATTAAAGAAAAAAATAAATAAATAAAATGTATAAACTGCCAATTGTTCTTTAAATGAGCTCCATGGACGGACAACAATGGTTTTTCGTACTGGTTCAAGCGTATACAAATGTACATGTCTAGAGTGAAATACGCATTACTACTTTTTTTCTGATGTGCACAAAGCAACAGTGTCTATGCGTGATCATAGGACGTCTCAGCAAAGCGTCAAAATATCTCTCCCAGAACATTGTCTCCCCAACTCTCCCTTTCCTGCCGATGAGGGCGCCATATATAGAGACTGCCTTTTTGCTGCAAAGCAGTGATAAAGCTGATGACACATGTACCTGTACATGTAGTTCAGGTTTTGATATTTGCTAAATGATGAGCAGATCCCTTACAGTCAACAAAAGCCTGAGTGGATTTATCATCCACTTGTCAATACTGAGCAGTCCTTCTAACACAGTATCAGGTACAGGTGTTTCCCGGACTTTGCCTTAATTGGTTTGTACTTTGAAGCTTTAATCACTGGGCGGGGTTGAAAATAGGTTAATGTACAAAATGTACAATGTTCACCACTTCAGATTCCAAACTGTATTACTGGTATGTTCAAAAATAAAATAGTATCATGGGTGGTCGTAAACTTGTTTTATCTCGCGTCTTCCAAAGTACAGAATTATTACATAAAAACAAGTTTGACTTTTTTTGTGCATGTTTTTTTTAACCTAGGTTATTCTATCTAGGTTATGCAGAGCTCACTGGTTGTTATGCACAACCCCGGATTTGCGTCATCATGATAATGTGCATGTTTGTTGTTTGTTCTGATACAGATATGGAATATTTTTGTCCCTGTCTTTTCCCTGGGTTTCCCCCCGTATATTTGTCTAGGGTTTTCTCCCCCATAAATTGAGCATTTTTTCATTATCTTCAGAGCTACAGGTTCCTCAAGCCTTGGAGCTGAGGTGCCATGGGTGCTTTTAAGAGAACGGTTCCATTACAGAAAATAAATGAAACAAAAAAATCAACGAGTTGCAGCCCCCCAAAAATAAATTTAAAAAAATATGGCTGAAAAAAAAATACCTAGATTCTTGATCACTAGCACGACTAATGTGTCAAAAATTACCAATCTGTACTGATGAATGTGTCAATATATAAATGGAATTATGAATTGGGTAGTTTGGCTGACGTGTGGTGGTGGGTGGGTGGGGCACAGCGTAGCAGGGGAGGCATATGAGGACAGTGTATCAGAATGGTATTGATCAAAGCACTCTAAATTATAAGGTTACTAAGTAGGTATTTTCAGCGATGAAAACAAGATATTTTTTTCAAATGAAATTTTAATTTTGGGGGGGGGGGGGAGGTAATAAAGGTATGTGGCAGAAACCTATTTTTCTATCTGAAATAGAAAATACTCTTTGATCTGTAAAAGCTGATGCAGTATAGGTACACATACGGTACACTTTAATATTGTTTTCATTGTGTAGGGCCTACATGGGTGAGGTGGAGGGGGGTGGGTGGTACATGTACATAGTGCAAAGCTGTATTTTTGCCCACAAAAAAATTAAGAGTTTTCATGGTATCAGTGCAAACCATCCAAACTTTACCTCCCAGGATATCTTTTTTCCCCCCTAATATAGTTCATATTTCACTAGGAACAGAAATGAGGACAATGATGTGTTGGCACAAAGGTCCACTTTCCATGAAATTACTATGATAAGTCTGGCAGGATGTGTGTGACTGGATATAGGAGCAGCGATTGACTGTTTTTCCCTGACCTGTTTTTTGAGGGAGAGATGTTTCCCTCTTGGGGGGTACGGGGTATGCAACTTTTCTTTTGTTTTCCATGTGCATGTAACCGTCGTCGCTTTCTGCATGAGTATAACCAAAAGCAATTTCTACATTTTAACAAAAATTCTACAGCTGCATTAGGCCAAAAAAAAAAAGTCTCCGGTTTCTGGTATGCGCGCGCGTCGCCGTAGCCATGCGCGTCGGTAAAATGAAAAAGTTTTTTTTTCAATGAAAGATGATGTCTCAAAACCGCCAAACTCACTGGTTTGACTGGAATCCTGCTGCTGCACAATTTTAACGTGTTTTTAGGTGGGGTTATGGTCGAGAATAAGCTTTATGTGGCCTCTCTGGACTCCCATATATTTGCACTAAGTTTAGTCGGGCACCATTTGCAGTCATCAGCCGACATTTGAAGCAAAAAAAATCAGTAAAAAAAGCCGCGTTGCCGCACCACTTTTTGGGCAAGCTCCATACCAGAAACCAGAGACTTTTTTTGTTGGCCTTATGGTCACTCTCTCGTAATATACTTTGTTCTTAATACTAGCTCACATATCAATTCAATATTATTTGCTTTTGCGACCAACATGTTTATTTACACTGTATACTCGATGTTGTCTGAGGGCTTGAGAAAAAAAATTCACCAGCTTGTTCAGGTTGGACTTGAACCCACAACCACCTACTTAAAAGTGCAGGTGTCTTGCTAGGGTTGGCTGGCTAGTTCAAATCTGACTTACACGTATTACGAATACCACAATCATTATCATTTGTACGATGGAATTATGAGCCAGAATCAAAGCAAATTTGGACTCTTTAAGAAGTCTTTTAATTTTATACAGATTCTAACCCTCTCATCATGTGACCTGTCACTTTTGTAATTACCAGTACATGTTACGGTCACTTTGGCATGCGCATTTACAGTCGGTCAGTATTTCATGGAGTCTAACTTTCACACTACACCTGCCTCAGTGAACTTGGTTGTCATGGTGAGACCCCCGCACTAGTAAGCAGGAGGTCATGGCAGGGTTCTCCCCACGTACAAACGTGCGTATCGGCCCGATACGCTGGAATTGTGGCCCGATACGCCGATAAAAATGCCGATCACATTTTTCAGCCCCCGATACGCACAATATAATTTATTACACAAGCCATTAAAATGCACAACATTATCGTTTCATACGCCATTATTTCATCTTGACATTCAAAATCTTGACAAAAATCCCGTATTTCTGATGCTGCATGTGTGATCAAAATGCACACGATGACGGGTCTTTCGCGACGACCGCCAGCACCCAGCTATATATTAGCGCATTCAGCATGGTACACTGGTTCCCTTCGCGTGCTAACAGTATCAATGCTATGATGAAGGACCGGAACCAGTGACTACTGCCTTGTACGTGCATACATGATGATTTCGGCCGAAGTTGAATCGTAAAACACCAAACAAACATCGATGGAGAAAGAGAATTTCTGCAAATTAATTCACAGAACGTGATCTCTATTTTCTGTGTATGTATTTTCCATTAAAATGACGAGATTGCAAAGCTCGAACGTATGGCGAAACATCGTACGCGTAGCATGCTTCTTAGAAGCAGTGGTGCAAAATTTTCAGCCACATGGGATGGGCCGTACACAGTTCAGTAATGCACACTGATGCTGCGCTGTGTCGGTGAGCACAGCGCGATGTACAGCCGGCCAGACTGAATGTTGACGGCGCCAGGGGCCATGATGTACGTTAAACATATTGTGGAATCAACTACCTCAAATATATTTTTAATTAGGTGAGGCAAGTTTTAATCACTTTTGATGGTCAGTCTTGATAATTTTCGTGGTGCAAAGGAAAATAATCCAGACACAAAACTACATGATTCCTTGTTCAATATGCTCCATTCAATGAAATGTTTTTATTCCTCCATGATTCAATCAGCAGCCCAAAAAATTGGCGAAATAATTTTTCCGACTTACCGACGCTATTTTGAAAGGCATGTAATCGGAAGCAAAAGTGATATTTTTCTTCACCTTAATTTCTTAATTTGAAACTTGCTTGTTAATATAATTCATACTTTCTAGATCAGGAAGTTTTAACACAGGTTTTGAAATGTTGATTTTTTTGTTTAAGTTAAAAATTTTGATATATTTTTTTCTTTAATTACAAAAAATATCACATGCTCTCCTTTAAATTTTAAGGGAAAATCTTCCTCAAAGACTCCCCAGATTTGCTCTAAAATGCACCAGAGAGCCTCTAAAGTTCAAAATTTTTCGGGGCCCTTAAGCGGGCCCCGAACCCCACGCCATGGCTTCGCAGGTTGGTGAATCACAAAAAAACTTCCCCCACAGGTTTGAAAAAATCCTGGGGAGAACCCTGCATGGGTTCGAGTCCCATCCAAGCAATCTAGTGACATTATTCTGACAAGCCCTCGGAAAACATTGAGTATACGGTGTTAAATTTACGTCAGTGCAGGCAAAAACTCAAGTTAAATTTACATCCCCCTGACATGCCTGATGTAAAAACAAAATTACAAAAAAAGTTGTCTTGACCACGTCTGGACCATATGGTTAAACAAAACATATCTCATGAGTGCTAAAAGAAATGTTGAAAAAAAGATCACTTCTCTCTTTTTATTATTATTTTTTCTCACATCTACGCATTTGTCATGTTTGTAAACAGAAAAGAAACAAAACTCTTTGGCTGAAAGCATTTAAATCTTGCAGACCTTCCTCACGCAAGGACCTATATCCAGTAAAAGAGATGCCAGTTTCCTTCTCTGTGATAAATGTTTCCTCATCATCTATAGGACGGAAATGAACAAAAACTAGGCTAAACTATAAAACAGGAATACAGTCAAAATGTACATGTACCGTGGTGATATCCATGTACATGTACATAAGGTCTTCATTTAGTCAAAATGTTAGATCTACATAACCTCTGTTTATAGACCTTTCTTTCACTTGTAAACAATGTCTGCCATTTTTTAATGAGCTGCAACAAGGCACAAACATTATTATCCGTGACAAGCTCTAGTTTACAATCCCACTGTTTGGATAGACATTGCAAAAGAAATTTTGATGGATATACTGCTGTGTACAGAAGTTACGGTTTAAATGAGTTATAAAAATAACATTGAAAAATATTAAGAAAGATCAGGCATCTGATCTGCAGAAAAAAGTGAAACATACTACATGTTAACATGGTTAATATACATATGCATGAATGAACTGAATATACATGTAGTTTTATTGGTGACTGTCCATAGTTGGCCAAAACTATGGCTATTACATAGCAAAAGACAGGTTAGGGGGATGAGTTCTAACAATGAAAAAAGTTGGTGAAAGATCATGCATCTGAGAAATCTGTAAACAAAAAAAGCAAAACATAATCATTAGATAGAGTACATTTGCAGCTGAGTCCTACATCATTTCATGCTCTTACATGCCTGATGTTGGAAGAGTTGGTTACCAAATTAAAGACACACTGTACGGATGAAGTACATCCCCACTGCACGTGATTCAAAGGTGGTTAGAGAGTAAAATAACAGAGAGGCAGTCAAGTCTAGATCTGTGTCTAAGGCTAAAACAGTGAAAGGCCTTGAAATCAACTTCATTTAAAACCAAGTCTATTTTGCGTATGAGCAAGGGTTGAAATCAATCTCAACTTGAGAGTACAGTATTTCATATCCTTGTCCTAGACAAGTTCATCACAAGTCAATCAGTCACATGTTAGGCATTTTCAAATGAACTGAAGGCCGTCAAGGCCGGTTCATACTCGGTGTCAAAGCGAATGTGTATTTTGTGACGTGAATTTTGTGACAAGTTTTAGCACTGAAATTGTTTTAAAAATGAACCCCTCAAAAATTGAACCTTTTTGAAGCAAATGTTTTGTGGCGTCAAATTCGCTGTACTTCTTTGCTTATGCTTAGAGTACAAACCAGCCATAACTTGTGACTCAGCTTGTGATTTACTTGTGATTTACTTGTGACCGGACAGATGATGGACTTTTGAAGGATAAAGCTGGCCTCATGTCGACCTACGATTTGCCTGCACCATGACGGAACCATCCTTGGTCGAGGCGTTTCTCAATGTTGTCCATTAAAAAACATAAGCACTAGCCATGCACCAGCTATGCACTGTAGAAGGAATGTTTGTTCTTTGCCATCTGATTTGCATATTGTAATCTGCTTTGCATATTGTAGTTTCAGAAGGTCGCTGTATGGGCTTCCTACAGTGCACCGCGCAGCGAGTGTTTTTGTTTTTAGCAGTGAGATACCATCACTGATCATGGACACTATTGACGAACGGCTTGACCAATGAGTTCCCTCGCGGGGAAAGCAAATCACAGGTCGACCTAAGGCCAGCCTCAGACTACAACCCTTTCTCATCAGTTTTTCCAGCTTCTACTTCTTGCTGTTTCTACCTGAGACACAGACCCACACTTGACTACAAGACTCTACATGTAAGAACAGAGGATGCAATGTAGCTGAGGACCAGACCTGTTACGTCAGCATTCTTCTTGGGTCTGAAGACCAAAGGTCCTGTGGCTTTCTTGTCTTTGTTTACTTGGGCATAAGTTGCTGAAATACAAATATTTATGGGGAAACATATGGGTACACAAAACTAACAATCTTGAGCAAAATGAGGGTGACTGCAACTATCAGCAGACAATGAAACATTGAAGAAGTCGGGGGAAAACCTGAAAGCCTCAACTGAGTTTGCGCAAAATGAAACCTGATGTACATGTTGTAAAGAGGCATCTACATGAGCATACATTTCAGTTTTGGTATTGATTACTAATCATTCAATCATCTGATGACTAAAATCAACTGACAACTATTCATGTGCAATTTCAGGAAGAAAATTCTTATCCTGAAACTTGGAAATTTGAAGGAAATGGCATTTCACAAACATTTTTTTTCTTCTGCCGAAACAGGAAGTTGCGTTTATTTTTGTAAAAACCACATGAATGTTGACAAACTGCAATACAACTGTGTTCACCAGGAAACCAAGCTGCATAAACAGAAACTGATACCTCTTTACAACAATCTTCTAGTGGTTTTCAAAACCACAAACCAAGGTGATCACAATTCCAATTAAGGCCTTGGGTATTGGCAAAACGTTTCCAAAGAAACACTTGATCCTGTCATGGCACAGTTCTTCCTTGTCATTAATCAACATGTCCAATCTAAAACAAAATTGAAGTAATGATTGAAGAAGAAAGATCAACATAAAACTCAAGCCAACAAAACGTTAACAGCTCAACAAGGAAAGACATCTAAGTACAGAAAGACAAACAACACTTATTTGCATTAATCCAGAAGTTTTGAATATTGAAGTTCAGAAAGAAGTGGTTTTTCAGGGGATTTTTTTGGTAGAGGACTCACCGTTGTTCTGCAGGGCTTCATTTGTTATGCCATTGTTCTCCTCTGGCTGTGCATCATGGCTGAAAAGATGGGGAAAAATAAGAATGTAAATCAAGTAACCTGAGGAATAAAAGGTACACATGTAAGAGGGACTCCATGTGTATCTCATTCAGGGGCAGCCATTTTGTTAACATTGTTTATAAGGTGGCACCAGGCTGGCGTGAGTCACGCTCAGGTAATAGGAACGCACTCCGGGCTCCCACGACCAATAGAGTTACCAAAATGCATGTGCTTTCTCTTCAAGCATGGGTGCGGCATGAGCAGGAATGCCGTTTCACCTCAAAAAATGACTTTTCATTTTGTTTGCCAGATTAGTCTATAGCAAGTCAAAATCTGTTGATTTATTTCATAAGCTCACTTTATCAAACTAGTGAGTCTCATGTGACCCGCCTGGGCGCCCCTTTGCATTTCCTCATCACACTTTTTTTTCCAGCTTATTTCTTGTGTATGTTTTGACATATGAATTATCAAGTTTGCAATTTAAGGTTGGGTAAGAATGTTAACTTGTTAAACTAACCAATCAAAAGAAAAGACATATTTACATTCTGAAGTGACAATTAGTAATGGAGAAAAAATGTATTACATATTTTGTCTTTACATATCACCGACAGTTGTACTGCAATTATACTCCGTATTTATAAGTATCTTGAACTTCTAATTTTTGTTTGGATTTAATTATGAACAGGACCAAAACAGAATGTTTTCTACTACAATTACGGAGAAAACATTATAAACATACATGTACATAAACTGGCAGGTAATTATGATTTCAGTTAATGAGATATTAGAATTGTCTATGTACAAATGTATGTCATTCCTTGACGTTATTAAGTTCCGAGGTAAAACAAATTTTCTCTGAGACAGAGGCATGTCACTGGAAAGTGGAAAAAAAGACGTACATATTTTTTAGGACAAAAATGGCACTGATTTGCATTATATTGACAAATTATAAATTCCTTACACTAATGTTTTAAGAAGGTGTCAATTTCATTATTTTTAAACAAAGTACAATTTGGTTAGTGATGTGAATAAACAGGACATAACCAAATAAAAAAAAAAAACCTTTCCTGGTTCATTTCAATGCCAATTGTGTAAACAAAGCAACAATCAACAGACGACATAAAACACATTAAATAACTTTCAGTTTCACTTAGGAAACCACAAATGAGCGATTGGGCAGGAATTTGGCAGATTTGGATTTGGCCAAGGAAATTACGCTCACAAACAAGGAAAAGCAAGTTCAGGCATTGCCAGTGTTACTTGTGCAAGTACATGTACGTCATCTTTTGGGGGTTTTCCAAGTCACAGACCCACTTTAATGTTAGTAACTTCCTGAATTCCGAGCAAAACAAAAAAAGCTGAATTTTCAAAGGCCTTCAATTCATTGTATAAGTTACAATGGTATGATCATTGATGCTTGTCTTTCAAGAGAATATCTATTTATTGAAGGCAAGAATAATTGGCTCAAGGAGGTGGGGGATGAGGTGTGTGACATCTCTCTAGTAGACAATTTTTTTATGAGAAGAACTGTACACACATAATGGTCCTAGCTGGGAATTGAACCTGGGCCACATTGGTGAGAGGCAATTGCTTTAGCCACCAATGCCACCATCATGTATATTTGGTAGCCACAACACCCCAATCAAATTTCAAACTTGACAAATAACAGCAGTCTGTGGGTTCTAATGTACACATACATGACATACATGCAAACCAAAACTTGTGAACATTAACTACTCACAAGCTCTCAGCTAGCACAGAGTATACAGTGCTCATGTAAATAATTAACACATAATTAACACAATGTCCAAAACTTTCCCCACGTAGTGAAATTGATTATAATTAACCGACCTTTGCTCTTGCAGTTCAACATCTTGAATATCATTGGCACGGCTGAAGGAATCTATTCGAAATAGTAAAAGAGAAAAGTGCAAGTACCCGTTTAAAAGAAATACTGTCAAATGAGTTTTTCATTAGCACATGCAACAGTCCACTTAAAAATATTTTTCCAAAATATGTGTGTCCCCCCCCCCCCTTCCGCCTTGACAGAAAATTCTACATTTTCAAATTTGGTCATATTTGCTCAGACCCAACCAATGGGTTATTTGAAACCTGATCTGCATTTCTAGCTACATTTCAGAATGCCTCGAGGCCTTTGACCCTAACCTTTTAGGCCCCTTTTTTCTGTCAGCCCCATGAAAACAGGGTAAAGTTGCCACGGTGGTGGAGGTCTCTATCAACAAGATGAATCAAATCCAGTTTCGGCAATATTGGCAGCGCGACCCAGGAAATTCCGTGCACACCTCACGTGCATGCATTAGCTTGAATGCAGCGCGCGTGAGGTACATGTATGCTCGGAAGTTCCTGGGTAGCGCTGCCAATATTGCCAAGACTGGATTTGATTCATCTTGTTTTTGTCGCTTTTTACATGTATGTAAAAAGCGACAAAAACAGCGATTCATCTCCTTTTACAAAATGTCCATGCAGCTTTACTAACCTTCCTTGCCACTTCTTTTCTTGGGTGAGGTCCTGACCAAGTAGACAACCAGAACAACGATGATAGCGACGAGTACAACGCCTCCTACTGTCGCTCCAACGATGAGGCCAACATCAGGTCCAGAGGAAGTTGGATCAGGTGGTGTTGCTATTAATGGGAAAAATACATCAAATTCCTAAAAATACAAGTGGTGTCAACGAGTAACTGCAACATTGTTGACTGCAACTTGGACTTAATAGTATGCATTATTTAACTACATGAACATGTGTACCGGTACGTGTTAACGTTCAGAAGGCTCACTCACAGATTCTTACATACATGTACATGTAACTGGTATGGAAAGTTTCCATCAGTAAGCTGGGCTAAATTAAAAGGATCTGCTTTACAAAAAATTCTTAGCACATGTAGACACATGTACCGGTAGGTTCAGTAAAATCTGCTCAACAGGGCATTCATTAAATGTGTTGTCCATGCGTTATTTTGGTTAAGGTTTACTAATCACACTGTTTCCCCCCCCCCCCCCCCCCCCCCGGTGTTAATTAGCTCCTGAAACTGGCACAAGCGCTTCCAAAGACAGATTGTAATAGTTACCTTCATCGGCTTCTGCTGGTTGACTACACAAACCACCAATGCAATGTCTGGAGCGGACAGCTTCAATGTCCCCTACAGCTCGTCTTCTTCGCTTCTGTGATGACGCACACCATTCAGAAAGGGTCACTGTCTGATCAGACTCAATGCAATCCCCACACTCCTGCCAAGTGTCGTTGCCTTGGTATCGGACTTCCAGCTGGATGCATCCATTCCCCTCCTTCAACCCTTCGACTTTAACTGTATCTTCATCCTTGTTAAACTCTACAGTGATCCCTGAGGAATGGATGTTAAAAAAAAAATCATGAATAATTTTCACAGAAACAGAACCCGCATGTTGCCTTTATGACATGTATGAAAAGATCCTTCAAAGTGGCCCATAAACACAAGCAGCAATATTAAAGGGGAAATACAACATTTGCAAACATAAAAAAATAAAACTACCAAATCATTTTGAAATACCTTGCTGGACTGTTAGTGAATGACAGTGTAATAGTTTAGTCGGAAAAGGGGGGTATCGTGCACCCTCGGAAATCAATTTCTAATCAACGTTTCTAGGTCAGAAAAAATGCGTAGAAAAGGATTTGCTATGTTAAAAACTTCAAAAAATGTCCCACGTATTGTTTTTATGCAAATTAGTGCCGCCATTACCGAAAAATCTATTTTTAATTATATCTCAGCCAATTTTGCAGATAACTGAACGAACTAGGTGTCTAAACCCATGTTTTCAAGGTCAGAGATCACAATAAAACTATTCTGGAAGTGACCACATGTGTCTGTGGCATAGGAATATGCAAATTAGTGCCGCAATTACCAGAACATCATGTTTTTGGCATATCTCGGCCAATATTGCACATAACTACACCAGTAAGGTTGAGGGTCAGGTATCATTAGAAGACCATTCACGAAGTAACTATGTGTGTCCTTGGCAGGTAAATATGTAAATTCTAAAGTGTCGATTTATCGGAAATTTGATTTTTAGCCAATATCTCAGCCAATATTGCAGCTAATGTTGACAGAAGGGTTTTTGATAAGCAATAATGATCAAAGTTTATTTTAAGCCATCATATTTAAAATAAACTGTACTATTGGCTGAATTGGAATATAATATTGGCTGAAAATCATTTTTTTGATAAACCAGCAAATTAGAAATTACAGATTTTCATGCCAAAGACATACATAGTTACTTCGTGAATGGTCTTCTAATGATACCTGACCCTCAAACCGTGGGTTTAGACACCTTACTTGTGTAGTTAAATGCAATATTGGCCGAGATATTGGCTAAAAATCAAATATTTGATAAACCAACACTTTATAATTTACATATTTTCATGCCAAAGACACACATAGTTACTTCGTGAATGGTCTTCTAATGATACTTGACCATCAAAACATGGGTTTAGACACCTGTTGTAGTTATGTGGTATATTGGCCGAGATATGACAAAAACATGATGTTCCGGTATTAGCGGCACTAATTTGCATATTCCTATGCCACAGACACATGTGGTGACTTCCAAAATAGTTTTATTGTGATCTCTGACCTTGAAAACATGGGTTTAGACACCTAGTTCGTTCAGTTATCTGCAATATTGGCTGAGATATAATTAAAAATAGATTTTTTCGGTAATGGTAGCACTAATTTGCATAAAAACAATACGTGGGACATTTTTTGAATTTTTTAACATAGCAAATCGTTTTCTACGCATTTTTTTCTGACCTAGGCACATTGATTAGAAATTGATTTCCGAGGGTGCACGATACCCCTTTTCCGACTATCGATTACAAACCTATGAACGGGTACGAGCCAGCTAGACTGGTTCCCTGACCTTACAATTCCCCAATGTATGTAAACTGCTCTGTTTCTTCTTATATGGAGTCAGTCAGGGAACCAGACTACAGGAAAAATGATCGTTTTTCTTGGTTTTTATAACATTTTCGAACCCAAAACCTCAAAAAAGTCAGTGTAACTATATTTGCTATATATTTCCAACCCCCCAGTTCCATCCATTTCTGAAAATTACAGCAAAAGCAAATGATGTTTATTCCCTTTAACAAAAGACACTTTACGTAAACATGCCCTGGTTATCCCATGAGCACGAGTGGAACGCAGAATATAATGTAGTGTGTCTGCGTCCCACATACATTTGTACCACGAGGCAGAAGCCCAATGGTATGTGGTAAACAAACGCCTCACATTTTTTTCTGTGTTCCACGAGCGCAAGTTGGATATCAAATTTTCTTCAAGCAAACTTGACGCACAGTAAAGATGGAACATGCACGCTCTAAACAATCTTTTCAGCGGTTCTTCTATTGTGTGTGCAGTGGGAATGTGCATCTTAGAAAAACGTGATAATTATAAGCGGAGTGCGGTATGAACTGTGGTACAATGTATGGGATAACGTAGCACAGTTTGTTTGCTACGGATCACAATTGAGGATTCAATTTTGCTTGAAGATAATTTTATTACCCATGACCTACATTCTTGTCACAACTTTTTGAGATGTTTCTGTAAGCGAAAAGATAATTGAAAAAATCCATGTGGATACTCAAATTGAACATACCTGAGTCTGGGCTTGGTGCTGCAGCTGCAAGTAATACGAAGAGAGTACATGTAATATTGATTAACAACTATTAGGGCAGAATAAGAAGCCATTTGAATGACAGAAAAAATCAGTTTGACTGTAAAATGGTGGAACTAGGTGCAGAGTAAGATGTGGGACAGGCCGGGGTGCTGTCGTTTGGAAACCAGTTTTGCAATCATATGGTTCTCTATCATGTTAACTATTCTTGTTTGTGCTACCGGTTTTAATGATAATTTGTATGTGTTTAACTCTCCTATAGTTAGACCACTCAAAACACCTCAAAATCTGGGTGTTGGCAAATTGGAGGAAAAAAAAGTGGACCTTTTAAAATCCTCCAGAATTTATTGTTACAGCACTACCACACCTTGGTTCAATTTTGACAGATCAGATTTATTCCATACAATGTACACGTACCGGTAGGTTTTGTCCAGAATATAATATCCATTTGTATACCCACAATTATTTTCTCTTTCCCAGACTTTATTTGTCCTACTGCAGCTGGCTCCCAAATAAAGAAGAAATGTACATAAAAATAAATCCCTTACATGACTTTATATTCTGTACTATCTCATTTTTATTTTCACCATGGGCCTGTGATGATCTGGAGGAGGGGGGGGGGGGGGCTAGTAGTAGCACATTACATTTAATCCCTCATCCCTTACAGTACTTTTGCCGAGGGGTAGCAGAGGGTATTTGCCATGGACCGAATCAACCCCCCATCCTCCTACATGTAAGTTAAAAACAAAAAAAATCATGAAATTGTCTCATATACGGTAGGAGTAAAGAGATATAGATAGAGAAGCATTTTCATTGTATACATACATGTACATGTACATTCTACCTCCATGATGTATTTAATGACCTCAGCATCAACCGGTACATGTACATGTACATTTATGTCAACTGTACTGTGCATTACGGAAGCTTGAATTGCCTTCCGCGATACCGCGTTACCGTGATAATTTATCACAGAAATCCTGAATTCAAAGATAAATCCTTCCTCGATACCCCGTTACTGAGATAATTTATCACAGAAATCCGGAATTTAAAAATAATTCCTTCTGTGATACCGCGTTACCGTGATAATTTATCACAAAAATCTGGAATTCAGAGATACCTTTACCTCGATACCGTGTTACCGTGATAATTTATCGCCGAAATCCGGAATTCAGAGATACATGTACCTATTCCTCGATACCGCGTTACCGTGATAATTTAAGGCAAATCGGTAACGAGGAAGGAATTATCATTGAATTCTGTGATGATTATCGCGGTAACGTGATATCAAGGAAGGAATTGTCTTTGAATTACGGATTTCTGTGATAAATTATTGCGGTAACGCGGTATCGAGGAAGGAATTATTTCTGAATTCCGGATTTCTGTGATAAGTTATCGCGGTAACGCAGTATTGCGGAAGGATTTATCTCTGAATTCAGGATTTCTGTGATAATTATCACGGTAACGCGGTATCGAGGAATACGTATCTTCAATTCTGGATTTCTGTGATAAATTATCACGGTAACGCGGTATCGAGAAAAAGGTATCTTTGAATTCCGGATTTCGGTGATAAGTTATCGCGGTAACGCGGTATCGAGGAATGATTTATCTTTGAATTCCGGATTTCTGTGATAAATTATCATGGTAACGCGGTATCGCGGAAGGATTTATCTTTGAATTCTGGATTTCTGTGATAAATTATCACGGTAACGCGGTATCAAGGTATCGAGGAAGGATTTATCTTTGAATTCTGGATTTCTGTGATAAATTATCACGGTAACGCGATATCGAGGAAGGATTTATCTTTGAATTCCGGATTTCTGTGATAAATTATCACGGTAATGCGGTATCGAGGAAGGATTTATCGTTGAATTCCAGATTTCTGTGATAAATTATCACGGTAACGCGGTACCATGGAAGGCAAATCAAGCTTCTGTAGTGCATGGATACACTTGCACCATCCTTAATAAACAGCGCCACCATATGCCTACAGTATCGTGGACTCTGACCCCTGCCTCACCCAAACTAAAATTTGGGACGCTGGAAAAAATTCAGGTTTTTTCCCATCATCATCCCCAGTCAGCAGCACACATCTCAACTGATGAATACCTTTTCTTTCCTGGTTCATTAATCACATGAAGTGAACAATGTTTGACAGCTTGCAATTGTTTGTTCACTCTGCTTCTTAGATTTCAAATGCCAGGGAATTTCCCACAAAATACCAAGTTTTTGTACCTTTCCTTTTGAATTTCAGTAGACCGAAGGTAAGTATTGTGCTCGTACTTTGGACCCTGGAGTTAAAACTTGACAATACGGCCATGACATAATTACACCTTGTTACGGTACCTGAGCAGGTAATGTTGTTTGTTAATTATATCTTACGTTCAATTTCGAACTAGAAATTGAAACGATGGATCTTTAAAATTAGACTGCAATTTTTTTTTTTAAAAGGGGGAAAAACACACACACACAAATGAAAAATAATACAACAGTTTGATTTTTTAAATGTTAGAAATCCAAACACACCAGATGTTTGATTTCAATGGCCTTAATCAAAGTACAAGTTCAACAAATGAGGAACTACCGCGGTACCGGTACATGTTCACATAATGGTTCCCACGGTGAAGTTGCACAATAGTAAAATGATCAACAAAAGCCAGCCTTGACAGCCTGTGGCATTGTATGGGTTTCTTTTTATAGGCCTGGCTGAAAATGTTTATCGTTTCCTGTTTCCTCTTGTGGCAAGCAGGGGTATTGCCATGATGCCTTTTTGGACATGTGAAATCACAATTTGCTGGGTCATCCTTTGAGTTGATGCATGAACCATAGAGGGAGACATTTTGGCATACCCATATGAATTATGAAGGCTGATTGAAGGCACTTCTTTGTGGCGTACATGACAATCTACATGCCCATGTACATTTACCATTAGTACATTCAGTGTTTTACAATTAACACATGTACACCGTACATGTACTTGTACAAGTAGTTTTTAAGGAATGCAACATTACCTTGCTTTACAACAGCCTTGCTTTTCTTCCATTAAAAATATCAAAACTGAAGGGGAAAATGGCCATTTGAAATTTTCGCACTATTACAAATATTGAATTGTCGCATAAAATTGTCCAAAGACAGAATAGGCCAGCATGTTTAGTACACAAATTTACCTGAAAGGCCCATTTTAAAATCAAAGTTTTTTTGGAGAAACGAAAAATTTTTTTGCTGGATGGGAGGTCATGATCCAGGAAAGAAATGTCCCAAAAAATAGTCTGCACTTGACAAGAAACCAAAGTTCATATGGGTTATCAGACAATGAGCATGGCAAGGCAAATATAAAAGGGGATTTTTATGCCATTACTCAGCTCTACCAGACAACAAAAGGTGTTTACTACTTATTTTTTTACAAAGTTATTTCCGCGTTATTGCTAGACCATGATTTACAGAAAACTGCATTACACAGCAGGTTTCAAAACTTTTGAGAACAAGTCAGGGTTTTGCCAGTGTTTATTTTGTCAAGTATTTCCTTGTTGGATCATGTACAGTATCTTGCATGTTTAGAAGTAGTGAATTTTCCAGATGGTGAAGAAATCTGCCAAAAATAGTTAAGGATTTGAAGATAAAAAAAAAGCATTAAGTGTTCCGCTAACTTTGCTTAATGATGTTCGTAGGCTATTTGTCTGTGCTCTTCAACAAATATATATTTTTCTCTTGACACATTTCTCCCGTCAACAACATTTTTTACAAGGTATTGAAAAAAAAGAAGTTTTTCCCCTTTCCTTTATATCTTTAACCCTCTGAAACAAAAGCCCTTCATTTTTGGTTGCCTAAGTTGTGCACACGCACATTTGCACTGCCGACATCACAGTCCCTTCATCATCAATCCTAATGGGCTCCGTGCGCAACAGGGGAGGGTGCTTTTTTACCACTTTTGAAAGCCCCGATAACGAGACACACCACATGTGTGCATACTCATTCGCGCGCATATAGTGGAAGTACGCACAATTGGTTTTTTATTCTAAATGTGCTCAAAGCGTTGACTACATGTGTATGTGTCAGATCAATTGTCTCTCCCAATGGTTTCCCTCCGCTCTCCCTTTAATGCCATGCAGTGAGGGGTTACGTACTGTACATGTGCACGGAGCCCTAGAGTCTAGAGGGTAGAGAACCATTCTACCCCGTATGTACCGGTACATGTCAGGATCCAAAAATTCAAAATGTGTAAATATTCCCGTAAACCTGGACAATTTTATTTTGGGGGGGGGGGGGGGAAGCATTGGCTCAATCAACAGTAAATAACTGTTGTATTGCTACAAAAAGTCATTTTAAAACAACAACCATTTTCAAGTTGAAACTTGAAAATAGCATGGTAAGTACATTTGAATAGCTTGTGTGTTTTGTATGCATTTACCGGTACAACTTACATGTACATGTACATTTCAAGTATGTAATACACTCTGCTGATTGTAAAAATGGGTAATTACCTTAAATTTATTGCCCAATTTATTCTGCAGTCTGATTAGACACGTTTTTGATTTTCCAACTACCCATCTACATGTAACTATCCATAATCATTCTCCTCTCTGACAGAGTAACTTTGACCTTGGTAACCATGGTAACTGACACAGCAACAGGAAAGACTACCTCAAATAAACTGAAGTCAGGAAGTAGAGACCACATCCTACATGTCCTATGGGCAATCTGGGCAGTTCATTCTCAGTATTCTTCATGAACATTTTGTTGCAGTCCGATGAAAAACTTTTTTTTCATGAAAAACTTTCTGGTTCAAAACTCAGCCACAATAAAATACCCTGTCGCTCGCACAATGTAGTATTTTGTGCTACATGTAACTTACATGTACATGTATTACCCCTCAACTATACTTCATGTTACTCTGCTCAAGTGGGTACAGATAATATTTAACCTGCAATGGGAAGTTGTGTAATATATCACCTTCCCTACAAGTATCAATTTAGTAATGGTTTCACTAATTACTGAAATACTGGTACATAGTATACATGTAAACAAACATGTATGTGCAACGGGTCAACAACAAAAAAACAATGTTACTTTTGATCCTGAATAACGCTGTTGTTTACCAAACGAATAAAACAAAAATTTCACATTCACTAAATAAGGAATGACAAATTTATGCAGCAAATTTCATCAGCTTTGTGCAAAAGGGTGAGATTTAAACGCCATATGAAAAAAATATTCACTTTCAGAAAGTCGATGCAGCGCTGGAGACTGTGGCGGAAGGCGCGTGCTGCGGCCGAAACCTTCTGAAGGAATGCAGGATCACCCCTGATGTCATTGCACACCTCCTCGATCGTGTGTTGTGCCAGAAAATCAAGGAGGTGTGCAATGATATCGGGGTCGTCCTGTATATTCCTTCAGAAGCTTTTGACCGCAGGACGCACCTTCCGCCACAGTCTCCAGCGCTGTAAAAACATTGGAGGACGCCAAGTCGAAAGTGGCAGATTCTGAATATGAATATTTTTTTTGTATGGCGTTGAAACCTCTTGCACAAAATTGATGAAACTCACTCCATAAAATTTGTCAAATTTATGCCTTGTTTACATCATCTCAAATTTTGGTTTAATTCCATTTGTAAACAACAGGGTTATTTACAATCAAAAGTTGGACATTTTGATTTTTTACACGTACTGGTAGTACATTGTACATGTACATGTACACTATACGTATACATGTACATGTACATGTATATGTACATGTATGTCTATGTACATGTATGTACCGGTACATGTACACGTACATTGTTCACCCAGTGGTTCCACTAGGCTGAACATGCTCATGTTACAGTACGGTATCTCCAAACGACACAAATTTAACATAAGAATATCAAAAATCCATATTTTCTTCATTTAGTGCTCAAGCGTTTCAGGGATTGAGGGACCAATGGGTCAATTTAAAAGTGACTACACCGTATAAAAACCGAAGAACTTGAAAATGAAAGAAACATTAGTGACACTCTTTAGAACGGAAGGACATTAGGTAAAGACCAGTAACAGTCCGCAACGTATACTTCCTCTTCAAGTTCAATTCACTGTACTTCATGTATATGAAATACCGGTACAAGCTGATTTACCCGATCATAGATCGGGTAGGGCGTGCAGTTATAGAAAAGCAATTTCTGTGGTGTGATCTGAGGCAATTTCTGACCACTATTAGTAAAACCAATTGTTTCAGGCAAAAGATTATCTTTTAAACATCATTTTCGAGTTTGAAGTCATTGAATCAGCTATTCTGAGCAATAGAATCATAATAGTAGGCTACAATTTTTATTCGGGGAAGAAAAAGTGAGGGGGAGACCAAACGATATGGTTTTCCCCGGCCGGGTTTGGGTGGGGTCCCCCGTCCCCCACTGTTTTGTGAGAAAATAAAACCAAATACATGTACGGTACATGTACGTACATCTTTCCCAATCACTAACCCTGTATATTAAAATATCTAATGCAGAAAATATTCATATTTCAACTTTTATATTGCTTGTACATGTACGGTACATACAATGCTATTGTTCAATGGTGCACGGAGACTTCACAATTGATGTTATAGGCCTACATGTTTCGTACATTGCACATGAATTTCTGCCGAATGATGTAGAACTTAGTGATTTTTTTTGTGATTGCAATTTATATACCGCATACATTGTACAAATGTGTGTACATGTATGTGTACACGAATACAATAAATTATCACAAATTCAAATTTCTTCAAGTATATTTATTTGAAGAATTTATAAATGTGCAAGGGATCAATACATGTGTAATCTGGTATGTTAAACATTATTCATGTTTAAATACATAAATAGGCCTATAAATGTACTGTAGTAAATTATCAGTCTGCATGAATTGTGCAAATACTATTCATCAGCCTAAAAATCTGAAAACAAATACATGTACATGTAAATATGCTTGTGGTCAATGCTGGGACCACACACTAGTTTCACGATACATTTTTCAGGGTACACTGTACCTCTAATTTCCTTATAAATGCCATGTTTCAAAGTTTGTAAACACTCTCCAAAACCATGAAAACACAGTTGTACCAAGGGTAAAAACCACCTGTTGCACATGTACATGTACACTATGTGTAAGAAGTACCGGGAATTAAAAATTTGCACTTGTACAGTGTAGTTGTACAAAATTTATACAGAAATGACACTTGTAAGTTCTTGGGGGGGGGGGGGGGGTTACAATGTTAAAAGTATTGCTTCTACCGGTATTTCAAATATTTCTTTTCAACAAATTGAAACCAAAAATACAACAAAAACAGAAAAGAGTAAACAAGCCACATAAAAAATGACAAACACTTACACAATTCAACATGCAAAAAAAAAAAAAAAAAAATGATATTAGACAATACTTACGCAGTGTATATCCCATTGTGTTGCCATATCCAATGCTTTCACCGATGGAATTCTTGGCATACACCCTGATCTCATACTCTGTGTAGTCATCCAGACCAATCGCTGTGGATGTTGTCTTCCCACCTGTCTCTTCAGTGAAGACCTCTGTGGAGTCTGATGTCTTGATGTAGCTGACCCGGAATGACTGAGTCTCACCGCCATCATAGCCAGGTGTCCATGTCACAGTCAGAGACTCTGCCGTCCTCTCGGTTATCTCAACTCTAGTAGGCTTGTCTGGTCGTCCTGAAATACATAAACAAGATTAAGTATAAAGCAGCATTGTAACAAAATTAAACAATTCTCTACCCTGAGGAACTAGAACAACAAAATGTAAAATTGATTGTTGCCTTTTTTTTTATCAATTCATTAAATATATCCCTACTTTCTCAACTTATTATTACTAATATTTTTTTCCAAACTATATGAATATGTACCTGTAATGTGTGTCCCAAGGAACCATTGGTCATAAATAGCTTATTTTTTTTTGGAAATTGCCTCCACACTTTCAACGTAAGCCCTTACCGAGACAGTTTTTATTTAATTGTGTGACAATGAAAGTACAAAGACCTGTCCTCAGATAAGAGTCACATGCAAGAGATGTACATACATGTATTGTCATGACAAGGAAAAACACATTGGTGTAGTAATCTGAATGAAGCATTGTCATTCATGGCATTAATAGATTTCTTACTTGTTCCAGTGAGGGTGATGTTCAGTGAGTCCTCTCTCCCGATGGCATTTGAACTGATGCAGGTGTATACCCCGTAATCAACCTGGGAATCTACTGCCTTGACGGTCAACTTGCTGGTGACTTTGAATTCAAAAACTCCATCTCCACCAGATGTCTCATTGGTGATGAGGAACTTTCCTTCGTCCGTGTCACTGATTATCCCCGTGGTGTTTGGACCATACCACTCCATGACTGGCTGAGGATTGCCCACAGCAACGCAGGTTAAGACGGCAGTATCACCATCTTTGACTCCTACTTCATTCATTGCTTTATTGGTGATGTTCACTTCATCTGTGGGAGAAAGAAATGCCATTAACCCAATAAGCACCTGTACTATATCTAACATGACAAGTTAACATCTGTGGTTCCTCTCGTCTATGGGTAGAACAATACACACATATAATAATCTTCAGTACCCGTATTTCAAGAACTTGTGTGTATCATTATGCTGCTGTTTCTTTTGCAAAGCAATGTCCATGCATCCATAATGATCTTATAGAAAGTGGGTTGCAAGAAATTGTTTAATAATGCATGTAACAACTCAATAAATGAAGCCACACTGACAAGTAAACAAACAGTAATCAAAAATATAATTGACATGATAGATACAGACATGACAGATGCAAATGTTCTCAAAAGTGAACTTACAGTGTACAATGACTGTGATTGGAGATGAAACCACGTCAGTAGGATTATCTGTAGGCACACCGTTATTCGCTGTACATGTGTAGTAGCCAGCATCCTCCCTCCTGATGTTACGTAGACTCAGTGTACTGGTGACGCCACTCGTTGTTTTAAGCGCATCAACTTGTTCGTTCCTTTTCCAAGTGATTTCAACAGTAGACGGATTAGCATCTACAGTGCACGTCAGGGTTACATCATCACTGCCTTCAGTGACGGGGCTTTGCGGAGTCTGATTCAACAAGATGAAGTCAGGAGGATCTATGGGGAAGAACATGTCCTATTACATGTAACTGAGACATCCTCATTATTTTTCTTATGATGCGAATTCAGTTAAAAATGAATAACTACCCGTAGTTCATACCAAGGCCTTTAACCCTTCGCCCTGTAAGAATATACATGTATAAATGTCCGTGAAACTCTGGAACGTGGAATACATCTACCAACAAGTATAGTAATTGAAGAATTATGAACAAATGTAAAAAAAAAAACCACTTGTACAAGCTAACGTATCTGATTAGGATGTTTACGAATGCAGGGTCACTGGGGTTAGGAACTTTAGGTAAACGTATATGTAAACGGACAAATGTTATCTTTGTGAAGGACAAATGTAAACGGACAAATGTTATCTTTGTGAAGGACAAAGAGCAAACATGAGATGGGAGACAATGGCCAGATCCGTTTGTATCATTTTCCTTGCATGATAAGAATAGAAATTGATCACCCTTCACTACAAGGTTTCTTCCATAAAAAAATAAACAAAAAATATTAAGAAAAAAAATGTCTAACATACATCTGACATTCAAAGTATGCATTTCACACAATGGCGTAGCACATGATGCGATGGTTGGGTTCGTGGCACAGCAATTGTAAACTTCTCCGTTGTTAGTCTTGTTCAGGAAAATGGTGTAGCTGACACTAGTCAGTCTGCCCCCGTAATCTCCTGTTGTATTTGACTGATTAGTTGGCACTAAGTTCACATTATCCTTGGACCATATCAGAGAAGTAGCTGGGTTGCTGCTCTCTGACGTCGCACAGCGTAAGCTAACTGAACTCCCTGCTGTTGCTTGTGGTGGGATCTGTGTAACACTTCGTGAGCGTGCACAAACTGAAAATTAGACATAAAAAGGATTATCTGACAAAACGAAGGATGGTGAGCAATTTTGAGTAGCTGCATATAACTCAATATAAAGCTCACATTACACATTCGTCAAGGCACACTTGATGTTTTATAATAGTCAGAAAGTGTCCAACACAAATGCAATCAATTGTTTTATCGCTTGAGTATTATCATGAAAGAAATATTCCCCAAAAGAACCAATACTCTAAAACAGGGAAAACTACGTAAGACAACATGCATGCATGTAGACTGCACAAACACAAGTGTAGTGAGCTCCATGCACGTCCCCGAACAAAATATGTCAAACCCCCCCCCCCCTCCCTTTCTAGAAATGTGTTAGTCATTAACGATGGTTAATAGGTTTAACAGTTATTGGGTGCCCCTCCACTGTATAACATCCAGGCCCCCCCCCCCCCCCATATGGTGAAAACCCTGGCTACGCTGCTGGCTCCACATAAAAAGAGTGAAATGTTATTTGCACATGTATAATGATCAACAAACAAATTAGTACCGGTAGATATATACATTTCCATATGTACAGTACCGGTACATGTGTGGTACATGTTCAGTTATTACTTGTTTACATGACGCATCGATGCATGAATTATGGTAACCATTTTTCTCCTTTCACGGGAATTCATGGACAGTGATACCGGTAGACGCATGCTAAGTTGTATGATTATTTGATTTTGCGTCAAAATGTTATACAACTACAATTGTATGAACATTGAACCAGTAGTGTAGTACTCGTACTGGTACTTTTTGCAGAGTAATTCATACTCGTACATTTGTATGTCAAAGTACTCGTACTTGAAATGACGGTACTTGTACTCGGGCAGCAAGTACTTGTACTCGACATGTCGAAATTGTACTCGATCATCTAAGTACTCGTACTCGAATAGCAGAACTCGAAAACAAATTGGTACAGCTTGACTTACCATGGCCTTATACCGGGTACATGTTACTTGAAGTTTGAAATGGTTGATTGGCTTGCGGAGAATCAAAGTTTCCTGATTTTCCTCTGTGCACGTCCGGACAAACACATTTAGCAGCTACATGTAGCTGTGAGTGGGTCTTTATATCGGTCTGACTGGGCCTCGGACAATTACGCACAATGAACCATTTGCCTGAGAGCTGTACTTGTACTCGGAAGTACTTGTACTCGTTACCCTAAGTACTCCGTAGGGCTGAGTCAATTCGAATAATTGAATATTCGAATATTCGACCTTCCAATCGATCGAATATTCGAATATTCGGTTATTTGGCCATTCCAAATTCCCTCAAGAGCAAAAATATGCCATACATGTACATGTAGTCAACGTACGTGCGCACGTCAGCATGCCATGCATGATTTCTTCACAGGTAAGTCAGGTATTTGACAACAATCAGTTGTTCTTCAGTCGTCAGTAATTTAAAGATTAACAATAACCAGAGAAGCTGGAGTGAAGGATTCCTTGTTTGCATGGGGGACGTATTAAGCCGTGAACCCCAAACACGGCGGGTGGCGTCAGCTATTGTGACTCTCCGACCCTTAACTCGCAAACAGGAACCGAGCATATCTATTACTGGAAGCTTCTTGAAGTCTACAAAACGGTGTACTTCCTAGTCACAGTATTGAGGATAAAAAAAAATCACTTTTATAATAACTCGCACTTTTGTCACCAAGAATTGAGGAAATGATTTTATATCATTTTAAATAAACTTATTCTCAACAACCAAAAACTCCAAGAAAAAAACCTATGATATTGAATGTCTTTATTCAATGAAATATGGGTCTTTGAATTGTAAATGCATATTTAAGTTTATGCAAATAATGGGCGTGGGCGCGGCATACACACGCCCCAGCTTGACACGTGCAAAGCAGTATTTCCTTGTTTGCCCACAGGGGATGTATTATAAGCTGTGTACCCAAAACACGAAGGGCGACATTTCAGCAAAAAAAAAAAAAAATCGCCAGCCGATCTCCGGCGGGCGCATTGTTGGCGGGCTAATTAGGGCGCAGGCGCGCTGACCCGGTTCTTTTGTCTGGCTAAGTGCGTGCTCTGGAGATAACTTTCTAACAAATAGGCCACTAAAAGGTTTGGATATTCCAACTTGCAACATTTTGATACATTTTGTCTAGCTGTGGTTTTCTATGCTGGGAATCAGGGGTACGGTGCGGTGAGTTGACCGCAAAGTCTGTCTGGCGAAATAAATGAGAGCTCTTTTGAGTTTGAAATCCTCTCTGTTGTCTGCCCTTTTTCTTGCGTTTTGCTCGACTTGGAGGACATAAGCCAGAGGTTCCCGCTATTATTACTGAAAGTATAATTGCTGAACTAGTTTTTGAAGTGTTTATGTATGTTTTATTTGTGCAAATATTGGGTGCAATTAGCAGACTAACCCAGCGAACAAAGCTGACGGACAGCGAACGAAAATGTGTTCGATAAAAGGGTGCTCTGATCAGTTGAGAGAACTAGATTATTTTGTACATGTACATGTATATATTTACGGAGGCATTGAGGCGAACATCTAACAGCCATAATAAATTTACCCCTAAAAGTAAACAAGAAATTCTTTTAGAAAAATCCCAGAGTCCGTAACGTAAATGAACCAAGGTTTTCAAAACGTTTTAATGTAATGTTGGGGTTCATGACAAGTTTTCTACAACACCGCCACGTGCTGTGAGCAGCATACTGCGTGCAAGGCGATTCCCTATAACCACGTGCATTCGACACGATTGAACAGGCGATGGAAAACTTTGGGGGAATTGGCTTCGCTGTATCAGTGTAATGTACCACTTCTTGTGCGACCCTGTGCGAGCAGTACGTCCCTTAAAATAAGTACATGAAAACGGAAAATACAAAGGCCCACACAGAAAAAAGAAATCAAGTTCTTTGCATGAGGTTGCAGAGGTCTTCTACATCGATGTTGGCATGCCATTTTCGCGATATCAATAGCCGATCCAGTAAGCCCCTCCCACTGCGCACGTGGGCAAATTAACACGTGCTCCTCTCCAATGCCACGCTGCATTTTCTGCATATGCTGCACAAATGTACATGTAACACCAACGCGCGGGGAAACTTGCCAGGATCGCATCGGGGAAAAACAGCGGCGGTTTTCTTTTGAAAGTAGGGATTGTAAGTAGGACAACAACAAACAAAAATACGGACAACGGAAACGTTACTACTCATGCTAGAAGTTTGATATGAAAAGGTGTCAGGAAGTGTTTTGTGAAGACATGAAAGACAAAATGTCTTGTTTATCTTGTCGGAAGCATCAGCGATTGGTGTTGCAGTCTGGCGTTAAAAAAATGGGTTGGCTTTACTGCAAGCACTCCCAAAGCAGAAGTAATATATGTATGGCATTATTGCTTGGCATATACGTGTATACAAGCTACTTTTATGGGTTTTTTTGGCAGCAACTTGAAACTTAACTTTGAGAATACACTTTTGTTGTTAAAAAAAAGAGTTTTTTTCACCTTTTTATTTCATTGCATATCACCACCGAATATTCTTATTCGAAAATAAATATTCGAATATTCGTTTATCGATCGAATAACCGAATATCCGAATATTTGGCACAGCCCTAGTACTCCGCCGTTCTTGGTATTTGGAAAGAAGTACTCGACTACAACACTGCATTGAACACCACATGACATGTAATTTGGGTTGGTATTACAAAACTAATTTTTGTTAAAATAGTTTCAGCAACAACAAAAAAAAATAAGTAAAAACGGATGTTTTCTAATTCTGTATGTACACGAGTTGCAAAGTAATATCTTCAGAGAATTATCTTTATTTCAGAGGAAAATTCATTGTTCGTTCAAGATATTTCATCATCAATTGATGACAGTTTACTCACACTTGACATCAATTGGACCCAGAGATCCCACTGGTCCAGGGATCCACGGGGCCCTATTTGCTGTGCACGTGATGGTGTTTCCATTATCCTGTCTCCTTGGGGTGTAGTCCAGCGTGCTGGTGAAGCTGTAGCGATCACCTGATGCCGACGAGCTCGTAGATGGACCTGGTGAGCCGCCATTGGACCAAACCAGAGTCCAGTCATCAGGATATCCCATGTCTGCTGTACATGTTAACACGATGGAGTCATTCTCCGTCATAGATGTGCTACCAGCATTGCCTGAGATCACAGGCATGTCAGGGGGACCTGAGTGAATACAATATCCAATGGTTGAGAGTTGATGAGGAGAAATCGTCTTTGTTGTATTTTCCAACTTTGCTGGTGTCCTAAGCAGCTCACGATATCCCATGTATTCAGTACATTTCATTACAGTCACAACATTCTCAGTCACTGATGTTCAGATTTAGTTTACATTTATTTGTTTATGCACAATGCACTGTTTGTTTATAAAGAAATTCACAACATGAGCTCAAGAGCAAAAGCTGTACTCTGTCATATTGTCTGTGTGAGAGTGTTACAGTATTTTGGAAATGAAAACTTTTAAGGCAACAATATCCCAACAAATTGTATAACAAACCACCAACAATTTTTCATTATTACATGTTCATGAATAGGCCTCGGGCTACATTTTAAAATATAACAACTGATAATCCAATATTTTTACATTCTAACAAGGAATAAATCATCAATTTCATTCACTTTACATGGAACTATACACGTATGCATATTAACTACATGTAGCATATTTTTTCCCCATTGAAATCAAGGCTTCATCGTATTTGTATTTATAAATGAACGAATGTACTGACTGCATGGGCGTCGCCAGGATTTTTTCTAGAGGGGGGCAAAACATTTTTTTGCCAAAAAACGCTTGTATTTCTCAACACATTCTCGATTTATCAGTTTTAGAGGGGGGCAGGGACATTTTGCCCCCCCCCCCCAACTCATTAAATTTACACCACTTTGTCTTCGCGCCTTTTTTTCTTTTCTTTTTTTTCTTTTCTTTTTCTTCCTTTTTTTTTTTTTTTTTTTTGCTTTTCCAGGGGGGGGGGGGGGGGAAGTGCCCCGCCTTGCCCCCCCCCCTCGCGATGCCCATGACTGACTGGTCTTGAAATAGTTTTGCAAGACAATCAGTTCTCAAATAAGGAAAGGACTAAAATTTCAAATGCATAAATTCTTGTAATATTGTAAAAGAAAACCAATGTGTACCATTGACATTCAATGTAACCATGACTGCTGGGTATGGTTGCTGGGACTCTGAAGTGTTGGCCATACACTTCACATCCTGTCTGTGATTGGTTCTGTTTGAAGTGAATGTCCAGGTTCTTGTAGTATCAACCAAACCATTGCCTGGGCCTGGATTGGTTGGTCCGATGATACTCTGCTGGTAACTAGGAGAACCGACATCCCACTGGATGGTAGCTGCAGGTCGAGACTGAGTCTGACATGTGAAGGTGTGTGATGCATCTTGGTCTACGCTGACTGAACCTCCTGGTGCGAACGCTCCATTGGAATCATACATTGACATGGATGAGGTCTTGGGTGGCACTGGCACATATAAAATAGGAATGTTCACAGAGAATTGTCAAGATTACTGGTATGCCATAGCATTCACAGGAGTACATACATTGAAATCTTACCAAAAATGTACAAAAACACAATGTAGATACACTGTACATGTACATACTGTACATACCAGTATATATTTTTGTACACGTATACATTTATCTGCTCTTTATAAATTGCAATCAGAGACTGTAGCAAATAGCCTTTTTTGGCTTGGAACAATCCCCAATCCTGCAAAATCCTCTGCCATGGCATGACTGCCATTTTGTAATAATTGCATTCTGCCTCAATCCTCCAAATCATCCACAACATGTCAAAACATCTGTTCAATTTGTATTGATGTCATGAAAGCGCATCTGGGACCTCACGGTGATATGCGTTATAAGACTGAATTTTATTGCAGTTATCCCGCGAGTGCTCGTGGAACACAGAATAATGTAGTGCGTCTGTGTCCCACATACCTTCGGCCTCGTGGCATGTGGGACACAGACGCACTTCATTTTCCGTGTTCCACGAGCACAATAACAAATTTACCTTCAAACAAACATGACGTGCAGTAAAGTTGGAATTAGATCGCTTTACATGAACCTCTTAGCGGTTTAGCGCATGCAGCTGGAAAGTCGCTACCATCTTGGAATATCGCAATACGCAGGGTGCGATGTGGACCGTGAGATACAGTACATGTATATCACACTGTTGTTGCCAGTGATTGACCAATTAGGATTGAGGATACAAGTTTGCTTGAAGTTGAAGATAATAATTATTATTATTTTTATTATTTCTTGACTTAATTGGTCAGTGGAGGTATGACCACTGCTCCGAACCGTCAATATTCTCCAACAATCACTGTCCATGTAATACGTTTAGGCAGTGCTATAATCTCGAAGCGGTGCGGATGGCAGATCCAGTGATTTAGGCCTCAATTATGCATGGCTGGACATACATGTACGATACATGTAAACAATGCAGATTAGACATATTGTGGAAAATACAAATACCTTTAATGTCAAGTGTAACGCTGATGCTTATCCCGTCATGGCCATCTTTATTGGAAGCCTGGCATTGTAACATCTCTCCGTGGCTGTTCCATGCTGGTGATACGGTAGCCAGACTCGTGCTGGTAGTTAATTTATCATCACCTGTAACATTCACGGTGTTATCGGGTGTGATGACTCCTCCATCCACAGACCAAGTGAATGATGCTGCTGGGTTGATGTCTGGTACCTCACAGGTGAACCGACGGTCCACACCTTCAATAAGATATGCTGTACCGCCAGTAGAAGGGTAACTTCCAGTTAAGTCGGATAGGGTGATGCTTGATGGAAACACTAAATTCACAAATGCACACAAAACGCACTCTGTTACTGGAGAACCTGACCAGCAATTACTTGCCTACAGGTACCGGTACAAGTATTTAAACATAAACTAAAAAAAAAGTTCTTGCCACCTAAGGGGAATGGATGACTTGACTGACATGACTGATATTGTGTACATATGTACATGTTTATGCACTTGAAAGTTTATTGCAAATGTGTTGCATGGGCCTAAATATGTATTAATATGGAATTTCAGAATGTACACGTAAATGTAAATGCATACAAGTGTACCTGTACATGCAGCAATAGCAATTTTTATTTAGCATTGGTCAGTTCCCATGAAGATCTGCCACCCATGCACAGTGACTGACAGTTCAAGCCTGTAACTATCCCCTAGTTTTGTGTAGTTCCCCAAAATGGGAGCAATCGTGAATTTAATGTCCTATTACTACTCTCTGAGAGACATGAATTGAATTGAGCACCCATTTAAAGGGAATGTACAACATTTGCTTTTGCTGCAATTTTCTGAAATAAATGGATTTGGAGGATTAGTACATGTTACATGTATTTATATAAAATATTGTTAAACTGACTTGTTTCATGTTTTGGGCTTGTAGATGCTGGAAAACCAAGAAAACATCATCATGTTCTTGTAGTCTGGTTCCCTGACCCCACTTAAGATGAAACGAAGCAATTAATACACTTTAGGGAATTGTAAGGTCAGAGAATCAGTCTAGCAGGCTTGTACCCCTTCACAGGTGTGTGATCAATTGCAAAGAAAAGTCAGAATAACTAAATATGAAAAATTAAGAACACTTTTTGAAAAAAGCCAGTTTTCTCCAACGCTGGTCGGCCGACCAGCGTTGGAAAAATACAGTTTTTCTTGAAAATGTCAGCACACCAGGAGCCACGATTTTAAAGGATGCTTTAGACCGTCATTCCCTAACAATCAAGTAAGGTATTTCGTGATAATTCGTTCATTTCGTTTTTAGATGTTTGCAAATGTTGTATTTTCCTTTTAACCAAGCTTTTTTCAATGTACATGTACATGTACAGTGGAATGTCGCTATACTGAACACCGCTACACCGAACATTCGGCTATACCGTACATCGTCTTTGGCTCTTGATTTTTGTGTAGAAAATGTAACGAATATTAATGTTAAAAATGTCAACAGAAGAGCGAAAACTGGCTATTATTTCCCCAAGGAATAGAAGGGGAAAGCCTCCCATTGCTGTAGGTACCAGTAGTAAGCTCACAATCTGTGTAATTACATTATTAAATAGTTGGCACGTGTTCAAAGTCATCTTTCAGTAACTACATGTAGAAGTACCAGGGCATGCAGGTGAAGTTATGAAGGGCGCTATTTATTGAAAAGTGAGTACCGGAGCACCAGCAGCTTAAAATCGCTATACCGAAAGATCGCTATTACGAACAATTTCTGTGGATCCTGCGATGTTCGTTAGGCCAAACAAAAAAAATGGTGTGTTTACGGTAACCCGACCGACCTGGAATTTTTTCGGCCAAATTGCCGACCTCAAACTTTTTATTGCCATTTTGAAGGTTGATAATTGACAAATTTCAAACATTTCAAGTACTTTTAATTATTTGCCACGAACAAAAGCCATTTTCCACACTTGAATCTGACCATGATTTGACACAAACATACCAGTGTTAAACGTGCGAAAATCGCGACGTTCTCAAAACTTGAATTCTCAAACTACGAAGTACGATTATTTTTGCACAAACGCATCGGGGTACGCCTGGCTGGCCGACGGACGGCATGGTTCTCCCCACGTACAAACGTGCGTACTGCGTATTGGCCCGATACGCTGGAATTGCGGCCGGCCCGATACGCCGACAAAAAAATGCCGATCACATTTTTTAGCCCCTGATACGCACAATATAATTATCATAGTACACGCCATTAAAATGCACAATTTGATCGTTACATACGCCATTATTTCAAAATCTTGACCAAAATCCTGTTTTTCCGATGCATGTGTGATCAAAATGCACACGATGACGTGTTCTGTCGACCACCAGCAGCACCCAGCTAACATACAGCATGGTACACTGGTTCCCTTCGCCAGCTAACGGGATCAATGCTATGATCTGATGATGAAGGACCGAAACCAGTGACTACTGCATCTCTCCGGTCCATACTTCATATCATACAGCATGATGATGTAGTGGGCCGAAATTGGATCGTAAAAATATTACCAAACAGACATCGTGGAAGAGAATTTCTGCGAATTAATTCACAGTTAACGTGATCTTTACATCCTGTGTATGTGTTTCCATTAAAATGACGAGATTGCAAAGCTCGAACTTGTGGTTGTGGCGAAACAGCGTAGCGTGTTTCTGCAGTAGTGCAAGATTTTTGGCCACGTGGGCCGTGAGCACGGCGCGATGTTCGGCCAGCCAGGCGGAATTGTTGGTGGTGCCAGTGGAATCATCGACCTCAAATATATTTTTAAGGTGAGGCAAGTTTTAATCACTTTTGATAGCCAGTCTTGATAATTTTCGTGGCGCAAATGAAAATAATCCAGGCACAAAATAAACATGATTCCTTGCTCTATGATTACAAATGTAGTACGAATGATGCTCCATAAATCAGCACCCCAAAAAAATTGGCGAAATAACTCTTCGACCTACTGACGCTATTTTGAAAGGCATGTAATTGGAAGCAAAAGTTGTTTTTTTCTCCACCTTAATTTCTTAATTTGAAACTTACGTATGTAAATGTAATTCATACATTTCTAGTTAGGAAGCAATGAAACACAGGTTGTGAAATGTTCATTTTTGTTTAAGTTAACAATTTTGATTTTGTTTCTTTAATTACAAAAATATTAGTGACCTACAAGATCTCCTCTGAATTTCAAGGACAAATCTTAAGATAAAGACCCCCGATTCGCTCTAAAATGCACCAAAAAGCTTCTAAAGTTCAAACATTTTCGGGTTGTTGAATCACAGCAAATCTTCCCCCACATGTTTGAAAAAATCCTGGGGAGAACCCTGGCCGACGATACAAATTAATTTGGATTGAAATGTATCGATTGAATATCTTCAATGCTTGAATAGTGGTTTCATACAATTTTTTTGCGAAAGAACACGCATGGGCATGCAGAACTGAAATGAAAAAAAAAATTACAAAATAAAATTATTTCCCTACCTACCTACCTGGATTTTTTTCAGGCCGTTACCGTACACACACCTTTTTTTTGTTTGGCCTTAGAGGTGTTCCACTGCATCACTTAATTGGTATAAATAAGGCCAAACAAAATATAACCTGTCATGGCCTAAAAATAGGGTTGGTCTGGTACATGTACCGGTAACTGGGGGCAGAATTTTTCCTTTTTTTTTGGCATAAAGAAAGCAAACGAAGGGAAGCAGGTGTTCACCTGCAAAACAGGCGACAGCAAACAGGCAGCAAGACCGCACCCCCCAAGGCCGCCAAGGCAAAGCCTAGACAACACTAACAGTTCTACATACAGAACATTGTGGTCTAAAATTAATGAAATTCATCATTGTAAAGGTACCGTACCAAATGCCTTACACATAATGTACATGTATGTATTTGATCGCAAAATTAGGCAAAATACCCCAACTTCATAATGTCATTTAAGCACCGAGGGTATTTAGACAACATTTAGACAACGCTTAGATTATCTATAGGTACGGTATGTATTTCAACAGACATGAGGGCCTATCCTATGCCATGTACAGATGTGGGTCCGGTAGTCGTTACTTTCACCCACATGAATGTACAAATGTATGAAGAACCAAAAGAAAACTCTGCATTAGACGAAGATTAATGACAAGATTAATCCACTCACCATAAACTATTAGATGACTGGTTGCTGTTCCTTGATAATTAGTAAAACCATCTTTATATGACACCATGCAGCTATATCCTCCATCATCAACAGACAAGTGAGTACTTGCTATCGTCAGAGTACTCATTGAATCATTCCTTGATGCAACATAATCAGGTTCAGAAAATCCAGTGCCGTAGGTTGGTGTCTGGGCTCCGTTGTAAAAGTCAGCAATAAGAGTGCCTCTCTGTCTCCATACCACGTTGAATAAGGCACCAGGGCCATCCAGTGAGAAGGTACAGGTGAGTGTTGCTGCTTGGCCTTGTACAGTAGATACTGGTAACAGGGTGACGGTGACTGTTTGGGCGTGGACCAAGGGACATAAAACTGAAAGAATCAAGAAATAAATTATACATTTATTATTATTGTTATCATTTCAATTTCTCACAGCGATCCTAGCTGTTATTGGAAGATCCGCAGACTAAGCGCAAGGCTTGTGAAGTACATCAATAATCCTGTCATTGGGCCCAGTCATTGTCCTCATCCTTTTAGTTTTAAAGAGGTTGTGGAATGTTCAAAGACATTTCCGTCATTTTTCGGGTATATGTAGCCTAGGGTGTGATGAAATAAAAACAACTATTGTTTCTGTCATGAAATGAATACAAAAGGTACTTTTGAGAGCTGTTTTTCAGGTCCTGTTTCGACCTGAACGTGCAATTTGTGTAAAAGTCGTCGTTGTGGGCAGCAAACAAAACATAGTAAATCGTGACGTAATAAACAGGACTCCCGATGCAGCGTAGCTCCAGCGAAACTTTTTGCAAATCACTCCGCGCAACGACATGACTTTGTTTACAATTTTACACTGAGCGACATTTTGTATGGGCAGCCACATGCTCCATATATTCAACCGTAGTTGGCAAATACCCCCGAAATTCTAATGGGCAAGTTCAGGATTTAATAGGAAGATATCTCCATAGACTTTTTGTACTTTCTATGGATTATTCAGTGTTTTGATAGTTACATGTACACATCATTTTATTTATAGATCGGGGATCATTCTTTTGTGTTTGCCCCAACGGCCAACCATAGTAAGAAATGTCTGCGTTACATCAACATCGTTCGATCGTTCACATGCACATCGCATCACCGTGACACGCGCTATGTATACTATATGTAAAGCTGGCTGGAAATTCACGGGTGTACTGTGCCGCTGGCCCAGCCGTTGGGACCGTAGATTTTGACACCATTAAACGGTGTTGGAATTCAAAATAATTCGTTGTTGATACGTGTACGGGTAGCGAACGCACTAGGCCAAGGCAAACCTATATGCCTTTAATTGTGTCAGTCGCTGGCTGTAATCACACCACATTTTGTTTGCAATAAATTTCCAGCTTTCCCGTCCGGGTGTCGGCATGGAGGAATAAGAATCCTCCGTAGCCATGCAGTTTGTCCGAAGATCGGATTTCAGCCAAATTAACGGATAGAGCGCTTATCATGCACTGTACATTTTGTACGGCAAAAGTCTTCTTTTCTCAAGAGATTTGTTGAAATTGGACAAGAAATAATAGAGATATGATTTGTTAATGATTTATAGGGAAGACTGTTTTTGACCCCATTTGTCCATTGCCAATCTTGAAGAACCGTAGACCCGTTCAAATGTATCCTCGACCCTCCATTATCTGCGCAGCATACGCGCACGGTACGCGTTGTCACACACATATCCAGACTAACCTTGCTCTACAAATCCATTCTCCACAAAATCGCAATTGATGTTGATCAGTACCAAGTTGATCCCAAACGGGACAAAATGTCAACTAGAAAATCATCTTCATTATCCTTTGTTCACCCTACATCTAAGAAGGACTGCTACAGATACTCTTTCGTACCAAGAACAACAGCTCAGTGGAACCTACTTCCTACAGAAGTCAGGGAAGCTACTTCAGTGGAGTCCTTTAAGTCAAGATTCCATGAGATGCAGTTGTCTTCAAAACTAAGGGGGCCTACTAACAAAATTGTTTAGGGATGCGAGAAAACAGTCTGTCTACATTTCAGCACTGATTAGTTGATGATTATAAAAATTGGACAGGCCTACCCCCCCCCCCCCCCGCAACAAATCCTGGATACGACCCTGTAATTCAATATTGATTCAAACTATTTTTTTGTGTCACAGCAAGGGGCCCCCCCCCCCAAATCCACACCTGTATTAGGTTTTTTGTTCCTGTTACATGTGGGTTGTAAAGGGGAGGTCAGGATGGGCGCTGGAAGTAACTTCGGTACCCTCCGTACAAGCGCTCCACCGAATCGACATACTTTGACTGTATAAACACATTTGTTTCAGATACTGGGTCACAAAAGTGTGACAGGCATCTCAAAAAATTGAGTACAAAAAAACAGGAAAATTTCTGTGTTTATGATCATACATATAGCCTACCGGGTATTTTAAAAATGTCACATTTCGCTGTAACGTATGTAACATGTATCAATTGTGTGGACACTAAAGTTCAACCATGCACCTATTCTTAATTTGTATTTGAATGTTATGAATTGTGAATCGTACAAGATGTATGAATGGGTACCGGGGTAGCTTCACTTCAAATATATTTTAAAGCATACATGTAGTTTCAATTTGCTTCACTCTATGTAGGAGGAAAAATGAAATGTTACGTACATGTAACGGACACCAAAGTGATTTGTGTTCTTAACATGATTTTTTCGTACATGTATGGAAAGCACATGGAGACAATAAAAAGTTTTTAACAATATGTCGTAACTGCTGATGGTTTACAATCACTCCACTTTCCATCAGGACATGTCTGTTTTCAATTGTTGGTATACCCATGTTATGTTTGTAACATGTGGGACACCAACTGCCAATTTTCTTATTTCCTCATTTTTTTCAGAAATTTCAAGTATTTTCCATAGAAACTTCTGGTATTGATAACAAGAACCTTTTATATAAGGGAAAAAAATCAGTTGTCAAAAGAAGTAAAATAAATAACAGTTTATCAGGAAATAGAAGACTTCTAACCCCTTATTTTGCATGTCACATTTTGGTGTCCAATTTTGTGCCCTATTTTCACGCTAAATAACTGATAAAAAATAAATCCCATGTCCAGTGGTCATAAAGTTGTCTCCTTTTAATCTCTAACTATGTACGCATGTGAGAAAACAATAAAAAGACAAAACGGTAACAAAAAGGTTATTCAATCTGGATCCAATTTTCTCACCCCAAAATCTCTCCGGTATTGTCAATGACACACAGTACTGGTACATGTATGTATTTTACCCGTGGGGGAGGAAAGGCCCAAAAAACTGGTAAAGAGAATACAAATGAGAAAAAAACTTACATTGGACAGATCCACACATTCATGACATGCCATAAGACCCCTTAAATTGTTCCCAACAAGTGGTAATTTTGAAAAAAGAACAAAATATTCTGATAAACTTACCGCTCACAATTAAATGTGTCTACCGAGTTGTGCCATCCATTTCTTGGCTAGATCGTCGAACGCGTGTGTGACGTCATTATTGAAGAAAAACAAGTTGCGCTGAATCAACGAGTGTTGCGTGTAATGATATGTGCTCCGCACCAAAAGCCCATACTGTCATACAGAGCGGGGCACATATAACTACACGCAACAGTCGTTGATTCAGCGCAACTTGTATTTCTTCATTAGTGACGTCACACAGCCGCTTGACGATCTAGCCAAGAAATGGATGGCACAACTTGGTAAGAGCGGTAAGTTTATCAGAATATGTTGTTATTTTTTCAAAATTACCGCTTGTTTGGAACAATTTAAGGGATCTTATGGCATGTCATTAATGTGTAGATCTGTCCAAGGTAGTGGAATTTCTTTTCGTTTTTTGTACGATATGCTAATTGGCTCGTTGCAGCGCTTACGTCAGGTTATGCAATCCAGAATGTTCACCTAATCTCCTTTATATAGAGCTGATTTGGTTCTAAAGCATTCATTCTCGGTCAAGCAACACACCCTGCTACACCAGACTTAGTGACTGCCAATACAGCTCCTGCTTATGCGTCATGTCACAGAGCGATATACAGCCTCAGCCCGTTGGCGGCAATCAAGAAATCTTACAAGCCATCCAAGCTCTGACAAACGCTATAGACTCAAAAGTCCAATCTGCTTGCAAGAAGCAGAAACTCACCGACACACCTACCTTCAAGAGGGACGGTAATCAGCAGCAATTTTCTCATTGCGAGAAAGTGCTGAACTTAATCAAAACCTCTCTACAGAACATCGAAACGCTTGACCTAGACGAAGCAAAAAGCAATCTGAAAGAAGCAATCAAAGCCACCAAAGAGCGTCAGAAACTAATTCGACTCGCCGACAGATCGGAGCTCGGCTGGGGCGTTGTCAAGGAGTACGTGGCGGATACCCTCGCCGAGGACTCCAGCGATGAAAAGAGAATAAAAAAAGTCAGGTGTGTTTACAAACACAAATGCCCCGCAACGGTGACAGTTCCCATGACATAACACCACTCTTTTAACATCAACTTACATGTACCTTGGTCACATGGAACATTCATTGACAGCATTAGTGTCTTCTGTAGGTTTTATATGAATTAATCCCTAATCCCTATAATCTCAGAATAAATACATGATTTCTATTGTTTTAGCCACTGTGAACTTGACCCTTGACCTTTTGGCCCAAAATTCAATGGGCTTCTTAGGATTACCAAGAACAATCCACAAACCAAATTTGAAGTTCATATGTTAAGTATTTCTCAAGTTATCGCGCTGACAAGATTTCTATTGTTTTAGCCACTGTGAACTTGACCCTTGACCTTTTGGCCCCAAATGCAATAGGCTTCTTAGGATTGCCAAGAACAATCCACAAACCAAATTTGAAGTTCACATGTAAAGTATTTCTCAAGTTATCGCGCTGACAAGATTTCTATTGTTTTAGCCACTGTGAACTTGACCTTAGGCCTTTTGGCCCCAAATGCAAAAGGCTTCTTAGGATTGCCAAAAACAATCCACAAACCAAATTTGAAGTTCACATGTAAAGTATTTCTCAAGTTATCGCGCTGACAAGATTTCTATTGTTTTAGCGAATGTGAACTTGACCTTTGGCCTATTGGCCCCAAATGCAAAAGGCTTCTTAGGATTACCAAGAACAATCCACAAACCAAATTTGAAGTTCATATGTTAAGTATTTCTCAAGTTATCGCGCTGACAAGATTTCTATTGTTTTAGCCACTGTGAACTTGACCTTTGGCCTTTTGGCCCCAAATGCAAAAGGCTTCTTAGGATTACCAAGAACAATCCACAAACCAAATTTGAAGTTCATATGTTAAGTATTTCTCAAGTTATCGCGCTGACAAGATTTGTCCGGACACACACACACACCCACCCACACACACTTGTTTCACATGACTAGTGTGGACTTTCCATTGCTTTCGTGTAGTTAAGAAAAACCAGTGAAAAAACTCATTTTTCTCAAACTGTGAAAACTCTTTCAACCCAATTTTTTTTCTATGATTCCCTTTAGTGTTTCTCTTCATTCTGCTACAGATAAACCTAACCCAAAAATGCCTCTAAACCTGTTTTCCAGAAAAGGGGAAACACTGTGTGGACGTGGGGTAAGTCCACACAACGTCGGTGCTACCTACATTATGTGGACGTCTTTTGTTCGGAAGTCCACACTGCGTATGTAAGACAAACTCACCCACACACCCACCCACACACCCACCCACGGAAGGACAAGGCGGAAACAGTATGCCCCTTCGGCTTCGCCGCGGGGCATAAAAAGCCGAGAAGGCAGCTGCTGCTAAGAAACCGGCCCCCAAGAAGCGAGCCAGCAGTAGCAGGAGACCATACCAAACCAAGACGATGGCAGCCAATTATATGGGTACTGCTACTCCTTTTCGTCAGCAGTATTTTCGTCCCTACCAGGGAACTTATCACAACAACCGTATCTGCTTCCAATGTGGCATCCAAGGACATGTGCGCACAACATGTCCATCCCTTTGAGCACTCCAACAACCAAGACTGCAAGCATCCAGAACATCTGACAAGCAGTAGAGACTGGGAACATCAAATCGACGGCAAAACAACAGAAGGAGTTCAAGGTAGATTAAAACAATGCATTTCCTTTTGGAGAAGTGTTTTGAAGGCCACTAATTTTGTTATAGATGTTTTGGATTCAGGTTATAAAATCCCGTTCCTAACCACTCCGCCTGGTTTGTCGAACAAGCCATTTCCGAGCTATTGAGAAAACGGTGCATATACGAAGTCGATAGTCCGCCTTACTGCTGTAACCCTCTCACAGTTGCCGTAGGGAAGAAGCTAAGACTAGTTCTAGATCTTCAACATCCCAATCAATTTGTTTACAAGACCAAGTTCAAATATGAAGGTCTATCCCACATATCTCAAATTCTAGATCACAACCAGTACTATTTCAGTTTCGATCTCGAGTCCGGCTACCATCATGTTGACGTTTTCGGTCCCCACCAGAAATACCTCGGTTTTTCTTGGAGATCTAAGAACTCCACCACTAAATTCTACGTGTTTCGCGTCTTACCATTCGGTCTCTCCAGTGCGTGTTACATATTTACTAAGATCACCAGGCCGCTCATCTATCATTGGCGCGCACAAGGAATCACTTCGTTTGCCTACATCGATGACGGCATCATAGTATCCCCAGATTTTCATACCGCACTGCACAACTCTCTCACCATTAAACAAACTCTAGTCAAGAGCGGATTCAGCAATGGTTATGCAATCAGGTTATGCAATCAAGAATGTTCACCTAATCTCCTTTATATAGAGCTGATTTGGTTCTAAAGCATTCATTCTTGGTCAAGCGACACACCCTGCTACACCAGACTTGCCCACCCTTCCCAACCCATTTAAATTAACTCAATTAATAATGGAAATCGGTTCAGGGGGTGTGCACCTCCGCCGAGGGTCCGGGTTGCACCCACGTTTCCCCCACAGGGGGTTTTTCGTGGCCACCGAGTAGCAGGCCAAAACCTGTTACGCCGACACTCGGCATCGAACCGATAACACTCCTCAATCAAAAATATTTTTATCAACAAATAAATAACTCATTAAATAGTCTAACAGAACTCAACATGACTTTATTCTTCGATTCGGCTATTTGTTGCCAAAAAATTGCCGATTTGCGGCTATTTGCACAATTTGTCGCTTTAAATCCAGGCACTGAAGAAATGTTTCTCTTTGAAATTGTTAACGTTCCATTTTTGCAGGAACATATGTTTATATAAACAGACGAATTTGTTCGTCATTGTTACCCGTACTGTTGGGTGGTCTTTTTCACTTTTCCTCTACAGAAATATCGAACAACTACATGTATACATCTACCCTCCGTGACTCATCCCTCCGTGAACTAGCAAACAGCACACTGCTGTCTCTCTTGATGTCAGCAAAGGCCGAATCCACCACGACCAAGTACAAGGCTTCATGGACAAAGTGGGAGACCTGGGCTTCATCAAAACCAGAGATTACCAAGTTCCCGGTCAACCCATTCCAATTTGCACTCTACATACATCGCATCTGTCATCCACCGGATCCAAGTCCACCGCCGAACTCGCTGCAGCAGCCGTCAAATGGGTGCACAGTTTGGCTGGTCTACCCTCACCAACAGACAACAGCATTGTCAAGATGGCACTGCAAGGCTTCAAAAGGCAGAACTCTTCACCGACCATCCGGAAAGACCCAATCACACCAGACATTCTGACAAAGCTGCATACATGTACATGTATCAACCACGGTCACTCCTCGGCAACACTGGCAGATCTGCGCATCCTGTTTGTTTGTTTCATTTCTTACGCCGGATTCCTTCGCTTCGATGACATAAGAAACATTAGCAGAAATGACTGTACAATTTCTTCAGACCGTCTTACCATACACCTTTGCAAATCCAAGTCTGACCAATTTCGGCAAGGGACAGATGTCGTGATCACTAGAACTTTCAAACCGACTTGCCCAGTGCTCGTGGCCGAATGGTATTTTTCGGCTCTAGGCGATTCCAACAACTCAACCTTACCGGTGCTTCGCAGACTTGTTGCCACCAAGAGGCCTTACATCGTCCACCAAACCACTCAGCTATACACGCACACGCGAGATAGTACTGGACGCTCTACGACCCATCGTCCCCGATGTTGCCACTTACGGTCTTCACAGCTTGAGATCAGGCGGGGCATCTGCTGCCTTCAATGCAAACGTTCCTCCATTCCTGATATCCAAACAGGGCAGGTGGAAAACGGAGAGCGCCAGGAACGTATAAATTTTCAGTTAGACAACACGTCTAATTTGTTTGCTACTAGGAACCTGGGCATTTAAGACACAAGCCTCTTTTCCGGCTTAAAACCGATTTGCGGTTGGAAACATTTTCAAGTCTTACTTTTAAGTATTAAAAAGACTGATTGGATACTGAGTAATAGAAAATTAAATTAAATTAAATTAAATTAAACATTTAACTTAGTCTTGCAAGTAAAAAAAAACAAAAACAAACAAACAAACAAAAATGAAGCACGGAGAAAATAATCTGATGCACAAGAATAACTTGTTACTTTGATTCGTTTATCTAATAGAATGCTTTTTCTTGAAGATTTCGTGGAACTGTTAAAATGCTATTACACATAATTTAAATAATGAATTACGATATTGAGGAATATTAAACATTGTTCAGAAGATCTTGTAGAAGAAATGTTTAAAACGATACCGTGAATAATGTTATTAATGGAATTATAATATAGAAGAATATTAAACAGCAGGGTTCGCTCACGACCGATCCCAATGTTCACCAAAGCAAACCTAAAATTGTTGTCATTTTCCTTTTGTTCAATGAATCGTCGCAGTTCTAATGAGGTCAAAAATAGAAAAGAAGTGTACTTTCTGACGGAAGAATGGAGGAAGAAAATTGTTTTTCTCAATTTGTATTCACTTTACCAGCCTTTTCTCCCCAAGGGTATGCACAAAAATGCATACCGTGTGTCAGTGATCTCCATGTGGGTACAACTATAGTATACAGGGCCACTCCATTCTATATCCGCGCATCCATGGCTGCGTGGATGCGCAGTCGGTTTTCTATAGCGCCCTCTATTGATTAATAATAATAATAATATCTAATTCTTGTATAGCGCCAAATCCGTCAAAATTGACGCTCAAGGCGCTTCACATAAATAAATAAAATTTAATTTAAAATTAAAATTTACTTCATGCCCACTCCGCATCCGCTCATCCAATAAAGTGCCCTCTACTGATTAAAATTTACTTCATGCCAACCCTGCATCCGCATTTCTAGGCTTCCAATAACGCGCCCTCTATTGATTAAAATTTACTTTAAGCCCACCCCGCATCCGCGCATCCATGCATCCAAGACGGAATGAGTAGGTACATGTAGGTTGGGGTATGTTTTAGATAGGGAAATAAAGTAGTACATGTAGGTCCTATAGGGTAAATACAGTAGAGGGTCCTGGGGTAAATAAAGCGCACTCTATTGAGGACTTCATGCTCATCCACCCCGCATCCGCGCATCCACGCATCCAAGACATCCCAAGCTGTCTCACTTGGTTTAAATACTACGTACTTGTCAATAATTCACTCTCTATAGCGCCCTCTATTGATCACAATTTACTTCATGCTCATTCACTCTTTATACCATACCCGCGTACGCATGGGAGAAGTGTCATATACCAACGTTGCTTTGTTCTCAAAAGAGTGCCATTTTACTCAACAACCCCACTAAGCACATCGCATCCAACTACAAAAAAACCCACCCTTTTCCGACATGGCCCTGCATTCTATACGGTAGTTGCTCCTAAATGTGTAGTCAAAGTATGCCAATTCGGTGGAGCGCTTGTACGGAGGGTACTGAAGTTCCAGCGCTCCACTCAGAACTACAAATGAACTAGGCCTACTAGGAGTGCTAGATACGGCCCTAGGGCTAGGTAGCCAAGGTGGACTCCCTGCGTTACATTGGTCGTAATACCAGGCATGCAACTGGGAAGTCACAAAAAAGAGGAAATCCAAATTTTTCCCAGACTTTGTAGGCCTACAGTGTTTTTCTATTTTCAATGGCACACATGGGAAGTACAAAAAGAGGAAATCAGCTGATCCGAGGAAAAGTTGCGCGCCTGTAATACTCGTAGTCTAGTCCCACTAACTGGGTCGCTAGAACTCCTTTTTTGACACTTGGGATGTTGCTGTCGTACTAGCGACCCACTAAGGAACTATTGTCAATTTAACAATTTCTAAAAATCACACAAAATACTTAACAAAAATACCTTTGAAAGCACCTACATGTACTGGCATCTCCACATGTCAAAGACAAAGTAATCGGGCTCCAATGATACTCACAATTATTTTTGGGCTGCAAATCCGTGAATTTCAACCACCATAGCACAGACATCATACAGCGATCACTGATGGCTTTGATCTATCAGCGTATTATATGCACGTCACCATGGACATTTTTGTACATGCAAACACGTACGTGAAGCATGGGGACAAGCACATAGCCATTGTCCAATCGTCATGCATGCGTGCCACGCTACATGATACATGTACAGTGCAGTGACTGCCTTGTCATGAAACAGTCGTAGGTGCATCCCCGATCTACATGCGTCTTTACATTTTTTTCATCATTTTGGCCTAAAAACCGACAGAATCCACCTATGTTAGTTCTGCGCATGATACGTGAGTATGTCAAGAGATAAAGTACGGAGTATAGGGGCAAACTGTGCAGCGGTTCTGTGTGAAATGTCTCCATTTTGATGGACGTTTTTGTACTTTATTAGTGTTTTGTGCTGCAGGCAATTTTGCGGGCTTCTTGATCTATGTACGTGGAGCCTCATAGTTCTAGGAGTAATCCACATGTACAAAAACGTGTCGCACTTTGCCAACAATTTTGATTTTCACATTTAGGCTTACTTTGTAGTTTTTTTTTGCTTTAGAAGCATACTCACCCTCTTTATAGGCTAATCAGAAAGTGCTGCCTTTTTCAGATGTCCATTTTTCGTGAAATTTCCAGATACATTTGCACACGTTTGCGTATCAAAATTTCAACATGAAATTTCACAAAAATTAGACCTCTGAAAAAGGCAGCTTTTTCTGATTAGCCTACAGTATAAAAAAACAGCAAAAAAAACCTACAAAGTAAGCCTAAATGTGAAAATCAAAATTTGGCAAAATGCGACACGTTTTTGTACATGTGGATGTGTGGCCTATGTTTACGGAGGCAGTCCAGTAAATAGGCCACTTTTATGGGGCTAGGCTAGATTATACAGCCCCAATCATGCCAATAAAACATACATACATGTAGGCACAATTGCAGAATACCCCGCCACTCACCTATCCCACCTCGTATCCGGATACGCAGATACGGAGTCACGCTTGGATGCTCAACCAAAACAACACGCGTGTGCCACCCCGTCTCCCCGTATCCGCGTATCCACTTCCCGGCACCTACTTTGGACTTGGACGTTTTCCCCCAAAACCACACGCGTGTGCCACTCCGTATCCCCGTATCCACTTCCCGGCACCTACTTTGGACTTAGACGTTTTTCCCCTGCTCCCCATTCAAATCGTGTTGTCTCTGCCTTCGTTATTTTCCAACATGGACATGATGGATATCGATGCTTCGTTCTCATAAATAATACAGGGAAATAGCGCCCTCTTTAGACCCTCCAGCGCCAAAACCACACGCTTGTGCCACCCCGTATCCCCGTATCCGTGTATCCACTTCCCGGCACCCCATTCAAATCGCGTTGTCTGCCTTCGTTATTTTCCAACATGGAGATATGATGGATGCTTTGTTCTCAAAAATAAGACGGGCAAATAGCGCCCTCTTTACACCCTCCAGCGCTCAAATCCACCCCGTATATTGTATCCGCATATCCACTTCCCGACATCTACATGTTTTCGACTGCGTAGCCATTTATTTTTAGGGGGTAATTTTCGCGTGGCGGGGTATTCTGCAATTACTCCTACATGTACATGTACCTCCAATATAAAGCAACATCACAACAAGGCCCTCACGAAGCAGTGAAATTGGACATCCTACACTGTGGATTCTGATGCCGACATTAACCAGTGCTGGCATGACAATCACCATGATGGAAGATGGCTTGAGTTGACAATGGGTGTATATTGAAAACGTCCCTCGTCACTAAAGTATCAGGCTTTGGTGGAGCCAAACAGTTAACAAACACTGGGTTTTCTTCAGTGTACTGGCACTACTACTGGATAAAACAACAACCCAAAGCTCCATCAATAAAATCCACTGTGCTTGGCTTGATTAGACTTGGTCAAGTCTGGGTTGCGCTCGGCTCGGTCTGTGCCTGTAATATAGTAAATCCACTCACGTCACATGCACAGCGCATATCGCATATACAAATATTGAGTGGCTCAGCGTTGAATGGGAGGAATATTATCGCAAGGTAAAATCTGGACTTTTCCATTTCACGAGGCGAAGCCGAGTGAAATGGAAAAGTCCAGATTTTACCGAGCGATAATATTCCTTCCATTTCACAATTTAGAGCCACTCAATATTTGTTTTATATAACTGACATATAGATCCTTGTCTTTGATATATTTGAACTTTTATTTCAATACAAAACTGGAGGAAAATGTATTTCTCTCTTTGAAACCACCCCTTCACGAAAATGTTTGAATCCAACGCTGCAGCGCTTGCTCTTTGGAACAATACGCGCTACGCGCAACGCTGAACGCGCACACAGGTACACCAGC